TTTTTTTTTTTTTTTTTTTTCTCCCTTCTTTTACTTCCAAAACCAACCTTTGTTGGTCTCGAGACTTCCATTCAACTTCAAGCTGGGTTCTCGTTCATCCTTGCCTTCCTCTTCGATTCGACCGGTCTCGTTGTCCTTCGGGGCTGGTCGAACCGTATAGTGGCTATGGCTTCCAACCTCGTTGCCATTCTCATCCAGCGTCTTGACCAGTGTCTTAGTATGCAGGTAGCCGAACCGATCAACATATTCATCTTTGGTAACAACCTGCTTCTCATCGTCTGCAGGTTTTTGTAACTGTCTGTGCTCTTTGCTCAAGGGCGCAGCGGGATCCTCGTTGATAAACTTGACAAAGGAATCCCACGCGGATTGACCGTTAGCAAAAGAGGATTGGATGGCAGAGAATAGGTCCTCAAAATGTTCAGCTTCCCGTCGGCTATTTTGACTTCCGTGAAGTTCATCGCGAAGGAGCTCAGTATCATGATGAGTGTGATCATCTTGGTCTGAGTCAAACCTCTTTTCATTTCGCTGCTGGCTACCCATCGCAACGTCTCGTTTACTTTGGTCATGATGCCCGTGGAAGTTCGATGAGTCCTCATCCTCGTCTTCACCCAGTGCGGCTCGCCATACTGCTTGAGCGCTGCGATCGAGTTCTTGGTGGAAGCGTTCCCAGTTCTTTTCCGTAATAGACTTCATCAACCTGGTAGGTGTGGATTCTTCCAAGAGACCCTGCGATCTCAATCTGCGTAGCCAGAAGTAGGCCGGCTCACCGGTTGGGAACATGGATCGCAAGAGCTTTCGCTGTTCATATCGGGATCTAATATCTGGAAGCGGTTGCCCTTGAGAAACAGCAAGGAGGTCTTCAAATGCATCCTCAAATGTAAAGATAGAAGTGTCTAAGTCGGATGGCGCATCGTTTGGTTTCGGCTGGGGTATATCGCGAAGGGCCAGTGGTGAATATGAAGAGTAGGCAATAGCTGCCATGCCTTGTTCAGATGGCCAATCGAAGCCTAGATCCAAAGGTGCCAACATGGTGGATATGGATGTAGGTAGGTCTTGTGAGTTGTATGCAGTCGTGGCTAAATGAAGTTAGACGCCAATCGTTTACTGTTCGCAACCCGGTTTCCGTGATCAGATCATTCACGAGGTGGCACCGCTGAAGGTTCACCTATTGCACTTCCACGTGGGCTGAGCTTTGATTAAATAGATAGAGGTGCGAGTAGTTTGGAAGAAAGTGCCAGAACTTTTAACGCAACATTCGCTGTGATTCCAGAACGTGAGCTGAATACCATGTGACATTTTAGAAGCTCCCATCTTGGTAATGACGGAAGGTCTGGTGGGGCGGTCCAAACTACAAGTTCATTGGCTGAAATGGTCTGGTCAAAGACGTTAGGCAGATGTGGCTGGAGAAGTCTCAGGGTCCATCTTTCTGCCTCGGGTGTCGACATGCGAGATGACATCCATAGAATGGAGCTCGCCAAGAACATCACTCACTAACTCTCTACCTACCTTGAGTACCCTACCTTGTCGCTTTTACCGCAGCAACTCTTCTTTGAGACATTATTCTTCTGAGTCGTTATGACTCGCTCCTAAATATCACCATAATCTTTGTCTTGTTTTCGCTCCCACCCCGTCAGCGACGGCTGGCCATGTTCTGTTCTACGCAGTTTTGTAAAGATAATTCGCTACCCCCATGATACTATCGATTCTCTCCACTACGACGCCAATAACGCATTGTCCGTCCAAGCTTGGTCATCTTATCGCCCATCGCCGGTGACTGATCCTCCGGCTTTCCCGACGACCTCTAATCTTACGACCGAACCCCAATTTATTGTCGTCACGAACATTCTCAACACCTATCTATTACAGCTCGCGCGCCTGACGATGCGGCAGGCTGACGTCGAACCGCCATGGCCTTCGATGGTGATCGATTCCTCGGTGCAAAGTAACTCCAGTAACTCCTCCCACCACGGCGATTCCGGAAAACCCGGCGATAAGATACAGGAATGGTCTTCCCTCATTGGCATTATCACAGCCATTGTAGGCAACATACTGATCGCTCTTGCGCTCAATGTCCAAAGATATGCTCACATTCGGCTGCATAAGCAACGAAGCAGGAATAGAAGGAGAGCCAAGGAAGCCATGAAACACGCCCAAGTTGGAGACCATGGAGGTTCATATGGTACCATCGACGGCGATGGTCATGGGAATGGATATCAAAATGGCCACAGGACAAGCACAGATGAGCAACATCATACCAACGAGAGCCGCGAAACAGATCCTTTAACTGGGTCCTTCCATTCTGCAGCGTCTGAAAGCTCTAGCAGCAAGCACGACGAAGACGAGACGTCATCTTCGTATCTCAAATCGCCTTACTGGTGGCTTGGTCAAGTCCTCATCACACTCGGAGAGATGGGCAACTTTCTAGCATACGGGTTTGCCCCTGCTTCAATTGTCTCTCCGCTTGGTGTTGTTGCACTGATCTCAAACTGCATTATTGCGCCTGCCATGTTTCATGAAAAGTTTCGTCATCGCGATTTCTGGGGTGTGGTTATTGCCGTGGGTGGTGTCGTTACTGTTGTTCTAAGTGCAAAGCAAGAGGAGACCAAACTGAACCCTCATGATGTATGGGACGCCATCACTACATTGGCTTTCGAGATATACCTGGCAGTGACGATCTTCCTCATTGTGTGCCTTATGTGGGCAAGTCCTAGGTATGGGAAGCGCACGATTCTCATTGACCTAGGACTGGTCGGCTTGTTTGGTACGTAACGAGATATGGGAACGAGGGTGAAAATACTGACAGTTAGGTATAGGTGGTTACACTGCTCTTGCAACCAAGGGTGTCTCTTCGATGTTGTCTTCCACCTTGTGGCGTGCTTTTACAACTCCTGTTACATATGTCCTCGTCGTGATTCTTCTCGGAACGGCTGTCATGCAGATTCGTTATGTCAACAAAGCACTGCAACGATTCGACTCGACTCAGGTTATTCCGATCCAGTTCGTTATGTTTACGCTTTGTGTGATCATAGGCAGCGCCGTGCTCTATCGCGACTTTGAGCGCACAAACGCTGAACAGGCGACAAAGTTTGTTGGAGGTTGTTTACTTACCTTTTTTGGCGTCTTTCTCATTACTAGCGGACGTGAGCAGAGCCATGATGATGACGATGTTCTGTCCGAAGCCGGTGATTTTGAGGACACCATTGGCCTTGCAAACCAGGATGGCAACACTGCGCCAACATACCAAGATGGTCAGGGATTCTCCACTCCCAAGTCGCAATCACGGCGGTCTAGTCATCTGTCGAATTTCAATCACTCTGATGCACATAGAGCTTTACTGTCCGCTGTCACACCGCAGCACGAAAATAACATGCCATCGGCCAAGGCTATGAGTTCACAAAGGTCTCCGGGTCAAGAGACTCTGGCTTCTGGCTTTCCTTGGGATGACTTTGGAGGGCCTTCAACACCACCGGGAAGAGGCGTTAGGGCGTACTCCACTGATTCGGTGCTTGTTGGGCCGGGTGCTGCGTCTGCAGCAGCGTTTGCTTCTCACCCTACGACGCCGCTGAGAGAACCTATGGCGAGTGACGGGTCGCTTCTCCCACGTACACTGGCTAGCCCTACTAAGCCCAGTGGTTCTGGTAACCGATCTAGAACTTTTATCTCTCCATCTCCCCTCTCGTCGACAGTCACGGCTGTGGTCAAGGATGCCTTCCTGCGGGCGTCCGACGATCCTCGTATGCGCCAGTCTTCAATGCGTCGCATACGTTCCACCATACGTGCTGGACTGTTCTTTAACGAAGACGGTGAGAACGCAGATGCCGGGAGCAACACCCAATCAAATATATTGCCGACGGGTTCAGCGGTTCCCGCGTCAGTGGAAAACCTCCCAAGCACAGTAGAGGAAGAGGAAGGTTCCACTGCGGAGGTTGACCAGACGCGTCGAAGATCACGAAGTGTTAGCGATACATTAGGCGACTTTTTTGGCGTCAGGCGCAAGAAGCGCTATGACAGCTATTTTGCGGGCGATGTTGAAGACGGAACAGTGGGAGGAGCTACCCCCGGTCACGATCGTGTAGATCTTTAGAAAGGGCCCCGGGAAGCATGATAATGCATCATGCATCTAATAGTCATGTGTATTCAGGTTGAGGCGTTGGTTAGCATTCTGCACTCGTTGCTGGTACCAGAATTATTTCATCATCATCATCATCGCTTCTAGCGTTGGCGTTTGGGACTTGGAGTAGGAAAGCTATGGGATAGGATAAGCTTGGTTTATGGGTACGACATATATTCAACAACATCGTATTGCTTCATATTCAGGTCCCAGTGATTGCTTGTTGACCCAGCTTAGTGCTTCATATATGAATGGAATAAGGGAACCTCATATCTTTGGTGTCATTTATGGCGGGTCTTGTCTGAGGCTTCGTGGTTAATCGTGAAATATCAGGCCAACTTTTCTGATACCCTGAGCAATATGAATCCGTATGCTACTTTTCTTCAGATTTATGGCGTCGGCTGTACAGCGGGTGGAGGGCTAGTCCTGAAACGAAACAGTCGGATGTTGTTTTTGTCGATCGTGATGAAGATGTGAAAAAGTGCCGTAATTGGTTGGAAAGGTTGAATTCGCTTCCGCGTTGCACTGACATCCCATATCATTAGACTCACTGTAGCATCCTTACTTACCCTGCTTCAGCTTCGCTTCAGGGCTTTAAGACGGTATCGGAGCTTAATGCCTAAAAGACAAATACTCGACGTATCTATGCATATTGCTGTAACGTATTTTTAATACACAACTGACGTATAGGTATAATCGGTTGCCTTTGGTATAGGTTGTGTGACTTCAGGTATGACAAATGGTGTCACTAGAAGTGTCTCAATTCGCAACCGTCATTGTTGAGCTACCAAGCAAGCCTTGAGAAAGCAAAGCCCCCTTTCACATTTAGGCTGGCAGGGAAGCCGTTGTATTCTCCGAGGCTATTTCACCCTCATACGGATAGGATCTGCCGTCGTTGCCATAGCCCTGGACCAACAAGCCCATGTCAAAAGCTAGTGTTTCTGAGCTTGTGAACCATACCATGGTCCATGAGGTTCGAACGGCAACCTCCGCATCCAATGTCTGTCGTGCCAGGATTGATAAATAACGACCAGCAGGTAAAACTCAATTAGGTAGGCTCCATGTGGGCTGAGCTGAGGTTTGCAATTGAATTGAAGCAGGGAGAGCCAACTGACAAGCATAGACTATCGAGAAGAATGATTGTTCATTTACCGACAGGTAGGTAGCGTTGATGCCATGCAACATGGCCAGTTAAAGCGGCCAGATGTCAAGGCCCAGATCCATGGCTTTTGAAGAACGAGGGTCAGGGAAGGAGACCCAAATCCCTGACCTTGACTTTTGACAGACGGTGCCCATTTTGAGTTCAGGAACTGCTGAGCTAAAGCTCTTGACGTGTGCACGGTTTTAGCCAGAAAGAAATTCTACCGTGGCCAGTAGCTTGACAAGGTGGTCTACCTTGCAGAAGGATGACCGAGATGCATTGCAGCGCCTTGAAAAAGACGGCAATTGCAGCGCACAAACAGAATCAAGACAAACAATGAGGCCGAAAACCCCAGGAACGGAAGACGAGAAATAGTTCCCCGGCGCTAAGCTCCAGCATGGAAGTGAAGTGACAGGCCCATTTAGCGGCGGGAAGAAAGGCCCAGAGGGCCGAGGAGGCGACGGACAGCCTACAGGTAACATGGAGGCCAGGCCCAGCAGCATTGCTTGCCCTAGACCTAGACTGCATGGGTCTGGAGAGGCTCAACATCCGAAGAAGCATTGCATCGCATCCATCCAGACATTGCAACATTGGCACCCTGACCGAGTAGACGATTGTCCCCGCAAAGAGAGGGACAGTAGAGATCGGTTACACTGTTCCGTACGGTACAATCCAGCCCAATGCGAACGCGCCAAGGTACGCCGATTGAGGATAATGCTTGTTTCCATTCTTTGGCGAGGCTTCCTGCTGTGCTGTCCCACCCGCTTACACGTACACACATCGTATCGACGTTGATAGTGTGAAGCCTCGGTAAGAGGGTACTACTATCGATGAGCCACTTTTCCCTTGGGCGTGCTCGTGCCTAGGTACGACTGTAGGTAATAGCCGTTGTTGTAGCCGTAGCGTACTAACGTCTTACAGCTGCAAGTTGCAGCTCCGAGAGTTCACACGCATGTGTATGGTGTATGGCAAACTACCTACCTGGGATAGTCAGTCACACCGACTTACTTTGCAGTTCTGTCCAGGGTACGCATGAAATTCGGGGTTGTACAATCCGTGGTCGCATATGTATGTGTGTATGTGTAGCTGACATATTGAAAAAGAAAAAAGGCCAGAACAGAAAAGATCAGTCTGTCCCGGTGCTGTGCCTCGAGCCTAACTGACCGACAGCTAGCCCTGCAGGCTATACCTGCACATACATACATACCCGTTGATGATGTATGCTGGTGTGTGGTACAGTCGAGTGACTAGCAGTGTTGTGCTTGAAACCCGAGCCCAAGTTTGTGGGTGACCGTTGCGAAGGAGGAGACAGGGCAGGGGAAGGGAAGGGAAGGGAAGGGAAGGGATCCGCAATGTTGGGTTCGCGGTTCCGTTCCATGCATAGTCATAGTAAGTACCTTACCTTACCTTACGTACAAAGTGACTGCCCTACAGTACAGTATTGACAGGGAATGTCTCGATGCGATGCGATGCGATGCCGTAAAAGCCACTGACTGCGCACGCGTCCGGACAGGGATCGGATGCTGTTGCAAAGAGACTGGTTTCCGATGTCCGTTGAACCTTGAACTTGAGGCCCAGCATGCACCGATTGGCTGCTTTACTAGATGTCCAGATACTGTCCCGATGGATAGGGTAGGCCTAGCTAGAATGGAGCGAATCGCATTCAGTCTTGTAAACAAGCAAAGAGTTAAGCGAGCAAGCATTGCCTATTCTGGTTATTCATGAGAGAATGGCGATGATACTGCATGTATGTATATGAGATTGGAAAAGAAAAGAGCAGAGCAGAGCAGAAACATGTGTTACAGTGTCAGGTAGGTAGGTAGTCTGGTAGTCTACCCAGGGGACATGTTCCTTCGTAAGCATGTCTCCCCATCAGTAGATATCCAATTTACGACCCATCAACTACTGTAGGTACTAACATCCATACCGAAGCTCGTACGTACAGTACCTACGGATACACTGAGAAGCCATTAAACCAATTGGGGTAGGTAAAGAGGATCAGCAAAAAACCTCACGCAATCTCCCCCGCGCTGCAGATTTTAAAATGCTTCAATCCCTTGAATCCCTCCCATGTCCCCGGTCAATAACCGTACCAGGTCAAATGTGTGAGATGGCCAAAACAGTAAAGCTCCCGTCTGTCTGTGAGCGAATTCGACAATCTCACCAGAGATCATTGGATCGACCTGCCCCGTTGGGCAAGGTACTGGAATGACTTGATGATCCCAGAGATTCCTTGATAATTACTGACAGTACTGTATGCAGTACTGTACAGTACTGGACGGGCAGTTATCGGCTAAGTAAGGTACAGTACCGTAGATAATTTGCTCACTGCTGAGCTTTCTTGGTTTATAAGTTATGGTGTAAGTGGCGTTGGTCTGCCCTGATCATCCTAGACTAATGCAGGTCAACATGTAATCCCAAGAAACCAATGACGAAGATCAATACCACAATCATGGTTGGTTAGTAGGTATACGCAGGCTGCGATGGCGTAGGTTAGTACTGTAAGTAAATTGCAACTCAACGGCACTATTGAGGCGATAAGTATTTAGAACACTACCAATTCAATACATCATCATTTCTATCCAGCCGCTAGGGTATTGTGGTAATTGCCAGCCTAATGATGTATCTACTAACTCAATTGCAACATTTTAATTGGGACGTGGTAAGGACTTTTGCGTCCGACAGAGACCAGAACACAGAAGCCGGGCTATTTACAAAATCATCTAGACAATACATGCCCAAGTGCTAAAGCTCAGAGTAAACTATCCCAATCTTTATGACACCCTGAACCAAGTCTCGCCTTTTCTTTAGCCCACCTGCAAGGTCAACAAAGATGGCGACCGCGTAAACAGACCAAAGATATATCCCCATATGGATACATCAAGATCCATTGAATCGATCCAGGTTATACCCGGTACCATTTATCGTACGGGCAACTTATCTGCGATGGAAGGCGGAGGGGACTCAAGGGTAAGCCTGTACCAGAGCCACCTAGAGAGGGAAGGTACACAGACCAACATCCATTACCACGTTTTTGACATGATCCAATCCAATTCAAAAATGGTTTTCACCTGCATCAGAATCAGAATCATCTACATGCTCAATCTCTGACAGAAATCAACTTGGCAGAGACCCCTGATAGCTGACCACAATCGCGCTCGAGCAAAGATGAAACAAGATCGCAACAACGGTACAATGGAAGCTTCTATTTCGGCTTCTGGCGCCACCTGGCGTTCTGCTTAGCACCCTCCAACAGTCGCACATCCAGCCTTAGCGTCTCGGAATATCAAGCCTCCAGGGACAGTGGCGGCAAACATCCGTCTAGCTCAGGGCACAAGGGCAGCTCTGCCCAACTGGCTGTGGAGCTCCAACCTGGCCAGGGCGCAGGGGTAAGACACCTGTTCCTGGATCCTCCAAGCAAGAGCTTATCGTGACACAGGACATCATCTTCTACTGCACCTGCACTGCACGCACTTGTGCACGACTCGAACAAGAGCAACCAGAGCTCAACCGAAACACCACCTGATGTATTATGTTACACGCACGTTTTTGCCGACCTGAGCGTCTTCTTGGTAGGGCCGGCATTTCCACAGTACCCCTGACCGCCAACCTCAAAGAGCAACGAATCCCGGTACTGACACTACTGCACCTCGTTGCAGGGGCTGGGACCTTACCTTTCCTTTCACCAAAGACCTCGACTTCCCAAGCATGGGGTACAAAAAATACACAAGCCAAGAGCTCATCCAAATCTCCACAAGCTGGCTATCTAATTTCGTCTCTTGCATTCTCACAAGTCGAGTTTCTAAACACCCCGAACGCTCTATCAGAAACTCCGTTGTTGACCCTCCCAAACTGGAACTGTGACTTGTCTGTCATTGGAGAACCAACAAGACCGCGGTAGTATCCCGTACGAGATACACCGCGTCTGTTTCGTCGCATCGGTATCAAGCTTTTTTCTTCAGTCACATATTCGCTCATCCGGCTGTCCTCCGCGTCACCCACGAGGCGATCTTTTTCTCCCAACCCGGATTTTTGGGGGCTCAATGCCTCGTAAAGTCCACTACGCACGCGTCATCCCACATCTGGAGGCCCGTCCCAGAACAGCGGGCCAGGCCAAACACATCTGAGCAACTAGTCACAGAGTTTCTTTTCCTATGTTTCTTTTGTCGTGATTATCGTTGCCAGGCGTTGGTCCGTTCTGTGTGCACAAGCAGAAGCTCGAGCTCAACGCCCACGCTGGTTGCTACGCCATCAATGTACTGCAACAGAGCCAGTACGTTAGCATGGCCCCAAACCCGAACCCAGTTAGCTTCTGAAGCTAGGTGTGTTCTTGTCCCCTTCTAACTTTTTGCTCTCTTGGGTCTAGTGGGAATGTCTTCACAGAGAAGAAGAGAAGAAAAAAACCATCCTTACACACACCCAATGCCCAGAAATAAGTCAATGGGTTTTACCATGCTTCTAAAAAAGAAAGGGTGAATGAATACTCGATCCCATCAAGTTCTATTTCAGTCTCAGCCAGCTCTTGGAATAATTATACCCAGCAATTTCCGCATATCAATAGCTTCTTTTATACTCGAGTGGTCGAGTCAATTGTTTGTTGATTGTCACGAAAAGCAAACATCCAAGCTGAAGAGAGGCTGTTCCCAATGACGATGTACTGCAATACCGATTTGGCGAAGGATGGCTTGACCAGCACACTCCTGGGCTGATTGTGATAGCCGTGTTTGAGCTATGTCTTTAGTTAGACCACCTACAAAGCCGCTGATGTTCCTCAAAACGATGCAACAACGCGAAGTCCCCCTTGAGCTAGGAGAAGATGAAGCAATCTGCAGAAATGGTCATTGCTTAGACTTGACCACGGGCTGTCTCATCGTCGCCGTCCCCGACGCTAAAACGAACCACAGGATATTTTGTGGGCTTCGAGCGCATGCAACGCCGGACGCGTTTCTCTACTGATGACCCGCAAAAAGGGTCCTGTACTAGCGCCTTCTAATGCGTTGTACTCAATGGCAGCTGCAAGCTCACCCAGTTCAGTGAAGCTACCGAAGCAGAAGGGATGGTAGTGGTACCGTTCGTATCGACTAATTACGCACATTTGTTCTCCAGATCAAGAGGCCTCAGAACCAAGCAGCTGGCTACAAGCACGGAGACAGCACAGGATAATCAGGACGAAGAGGCCATCAAAGCACGACTGGGGAAGCACAAGCGATTGCGTCCCGAAGCATTTATACGGAAGCGCAGCGGGGGGGTACGGTTGGTTTGGGAAGATCCTTGCAGCTTCATCTTTCACTTGTCGCCCATCCCGTTGCATTGTCTTTTGAGTACTCAGTGCGTAATTTCAAACTTTCATTACGCCTGTCCTATTAATATAAATGATCGAAAGCCTTGGCTGCGCTCTGGTCACGGTCATTTCTTCAGGGTCTGAATACCGAATGGGTTAGACCAGGAATCAGAAATACTGGTCTTTATTACAGCTCGCGACGTCAATGATCGAGGTACAGTCCACGATGTGGGTTTGTTTATCATCCTAACCAGACCGAGTGGCTATGACTTCGTTCCTGCAGCTACTAACTGAGAGGAGAGCCAACAGGGTACATGCTTGATAGTTTCCCAGCGTCACAGCGAGGCCAGTAGGCAGAGTGTGGCCTGTCATTCTTGTATCACACGTCTCATAACATTTCACCACCAAGCCTTGAAAATAGAAACGGTTATTAGAACAGACGATAACGAAACGAAACACGCCTGTCGATCATATTGGCGGCTGTCATCGATACTCTTTCGTCCATCGTCTTGTTTATTCGTATTCCAGACGCATCGTGGCTGACATCTGATAACTTACAGAGTGCTGGTGTCAAGCTGCGTGCGTGCTATCATTTAGCCCTATTGCGGATGCCTTTTGCTCTGTTACCGTCGCTGGAGAGGTATTGTGGAATCAAATATGCAGTACCGGACCATACTGCATGGTAACGATCCTTTGCATTGAGCATGAGCATGAGTATGGAGCGTGAAGCCTCCCTTGCTTCTCGTTGCTTCTGCAAGTGAAAATTCTGTTCACATCACGATGGCTGACCTTGTTGTTTTTCTTCTGGTGTTTCGAGTGGAATGAAGGAAGCCTGTGTGGCCTCTTGTTGTCTCAACCTGACATGTCCGTTACCAGGACGCTGATGGTCAAACAAGTCGCGCCCACTTGGTTTCTGAGCGCGATAGTCAAGGTGTCCCCAATCGCACCACCACGGACCTCATGTCGCCCTACAAACCAGTTGAGCATCGTCTGAGTCTGAGGTTACGGACAGGCAGGGGAGCTGCACAGTACGCATTGCGGTACCAACACTCAACTCTGCCTGATCGAAACATCCTTGCACAGCACAACTGGGCCTTGCAGCGAAGGAAAACCCCCCCAGATTCCCGGGGCCTGTGTCCGTCGAGACGGGCCAGGGACAACCCACAGCAACCCACCCATAGCCCTGTCGAGGGTCCCCCCTTACCACCGCCCTAGTCCTCCTTAGCCCCAGTTCCTAGGGCCTTCCTAGTCTTTGGGGAGGGTACAACTTGCCTTGCCCCAAGATTGCATCAATCTCTCACTCCCAAGCAATCTTATATGTACATTGTCTTGCTGCCATTCGTGTCGTTATTTCTATCTCGTCTTGTCCCCCATTGACTTAACTTGTCCGCCCCTCGTTTCAATATATGCTTGAAACCTTGGGTATCTGTCTCTCATTAGGTTTCATCTCACTTACTTCATTCCTTATTGGCTTTCGACATATCAACAATATATAACACCAACAACAAATCGGGAAATAGGTCACCCTTAGTAGCCAGGCATCGCTTACATACAGGGCAAGCTTCGACGTTGCCCTCCTTTCGGAGGCATTGAATCATCATGTGGGCCGCAACAATGCCTTATTATTCGGAATACCAGTCAGACCGTTCAAGGCGCGATACTCAAGCAAAATTGAGCCCGCAGGCTAATGTCGGCACCGATATGACAAGCTACTACGATGTTTCTCCCCCAACCTCACACTCACCTCTTGATCTGGACGAATATCTGGTACCAGCTGTCGACGGTCCTCCATCTCCCGAAAGAATACGCCAGTTGAGCAAACAGATGAAACATGCGTCTCACCTCAACCGCGGCCAACGCACCGCATCCACTGGGTCCTCTACATTTGTGAATGCTGAGCGCGGATGGGAGCAGGGGTTCGAGAACATGAGCATCACTCGGCACTCATCTCAACGATCTACAACAACTAGTGGCAGTTCTTCTCGAGACCGACCTGACAGCGTCCAGGTATTAGGCAAGAACATATTTCATCGCCGTGCAAAGTCGAGCAAGTCCGGTCGTGCAAGACGTGAAAGCAGTGCCCAAAGCTCAGCAGCAAGCTCACTATATTCCACCGAAGTGAGCAGCGAAACCTCCTTGGCTACTTTCAAAGACTCTATCATGCCGACCATCTTCGCGCGCCGGAAGTCTTCCCGAGACGACGCCGCCCTTCAGAAGAAGCTTCAAATCTCTGGACCCTTTAACTTCCAACATGTGACTCATACTCCTCGAGATCAAATCGCTAATTCAGCCTCACGTGCTCCTACACATGAGTTGCGCCTGCCCAACTTCTCTGCTTCTACTGAACACGTCCCCGATCCTCAGGTATCACCTCGTAGTTCAAGAGTCTCTGTCTTTCCACGACGTTACATCAAGCAAGCCAAATCTCAGGAGCAGCTTCGCACCAGCCCACCTCGGCCAGTTAGACCCCCAAGATCACCACCAGCTGAGGCGCTGCACTCACCTACCTTGGGCGCTCCCATGCCTCCCCCGAGGAGTTCAAGCCGACAGCCAAGAGATGGCGACGCACTTGCGATAACGGGCCGGGACCGTCCTCTAACAAGTGGTGGCTTCCGACACCCTCAGCCTTTTAGCCCCAATGACCCCGTCGAGCGATCTTCAGCAGTCAATCCTGGGTATGGCATCGCACTGGATCGAGAGCCGGCGGACGACCATCGCTTCTCGCATGCCATCACTACTCCCGACGATGCGGCCTGGCCACTTCCTGCCGCTGTGAACTATGAGCCACCGTTGCCAGATGTACCCGAGGAGGAGGAGATGGGACGTTCGCCGAAGAGCGCTACCAGCACGAAGTCGTCGCTTCGTGCTAGCCAATCAGTCCCTCTGCTGAGGGGACCCCAGTCTTCGGATAACGCTGCTACCCAACGTAGTGCTGGACATTACAAGGGCAATGCGGTTCATATCCACTCCATCAGGGAGAGTTGGGAGGATGACATCGACTACTGTTACGAACATGAGGCCGACGCCAACTTCGATTACGAATGGGAAAGGCCGTCCGTGGACACTTCACGAGAGGTTGCTCCTGGGTTTCGACTGGATTTGTTCGATGACGATGAGCTGAGGGAGTTGCCGACCGTCGGCACAGCCGAGTCGTCTCCCGGTATGCTTTCCGCATCCCGTTTTGATATGCCAGCTCTAAGCTCAGCTAGTCACGCTTCACCCGAGAGCACCTTCGAGACCTCTTCTCCACACACAGGAATGGGGATTGCAGTGACCAACAACTTCTCATTCCCCCGCGGAGAGAAGGGTCGCCGTCCCAAGCTCAACCATTCCCGAAGCGACTCTCGCGCCTCTAGCTTCAAAGAGTCATACGGCTTTACCTTGTCACCCTCGCTACTTATTCCTGGCGACTATCACCAGCAGATGCTTCTCAACGAGGCTGAGAAGCTGGGCTATTCTGGCGAGGATGATGTGATTCGTGGTATCGTCGACCATGACCATCCCTACGAGAATACCAGCAATGCTGCCAGTCACAACTCTCTTCACATGTCCCACCAACGCGCGAGCACCTCTACCACTGCTACAAACTCCACTACACTCTCCGACTCTACCGGAGAGCGCCATGTTTCTACCAACTCTACCTGGACCAACCTCACCCGGCTCACAAGCAGCACTTCACTGAACAAATGGGTCGAGCAAAACGATGGGGTCCGTGAATCTCTAATTATCAAGTCTCACAATGATAGCGATGAGGAAGACACCACCCCTCCCGCATCCATCGAGAAAGACACCGTCCCCGAGCTTACACCGTTCCCCTCCGTACCTGTTGGCAAGAGGGCTCACCACAAGAGCCATGCAAGCGAGTCCGTTGTTCGGGATGATGCCCCCATCAACAAGTCGGTCGAAGCCACCAAGACCCGACGCCCTCGCGCCAGAACCACAAGCCTCAGCACCCAGGCACCTCCCCCTGTTGGGCAGTATGCCCTTTTCCCCCGTGCATATGCTAAGGGCAATGGCGATCGCATTTAAAGATCTCCTTGAGCTATCTACATTTTCCCACATGTCATCCTTGATCTCAAACCTGAGAGCTCCATCTCCTTACTATCTTCCCCTCTTCTATATATATCCCTTTTGCATGCGTGCTCCGAATTGCTTCACCACATACACAACACATTTCCCTTTTTAGCTCACCATCGTATGGTCGCATTTCTTTTGTATGGGTTTGAACATGGCCGCGAATGGCATTTCTTCTTGGGTTTAATCCCGTGGTCTGGCTTCTAGGCTTTGACCTTCTGCCTCAATCGGTTTCTTGACGGCGCATTGTAGTTCTGCAGAAAGCAGTCCGGGGCATTGGAGCGGTACTCAAAAGCTAGACAAAGCATTGGGTGTTCTTATTTTTTTCTTTTTATTTCGTTTTTATTACACCGGCAAGCGGGTTGGCCAACCGTGAAACTTGGCCTATACCGGGAACAAACTGGATAGGATGTCCAGTAATGATGAGTGATGGATTTATGAACTTTTAGACAAAATCAGCGACAAAGCAGCAAGCTATCCTGTACAATATAAGGCATCATGCATGGCCTACTTACAACTCTGCAAAGGGCGCTACAATTGACATTTACTATTGTATATTTATACCACAATGACCCCAAAACTTGGAATACAAATTCGACATGGAATTCTTATGCACTCAAACTTTATGATTGCTCTGTCCTTTACAATTACCACCAAGTACCACACTGTCCATGTAACGTGATTATGTGGCGTTATGCTCGTGTTTTGACATGTGTGATGTGCTAAGTTGAAAGCTTAAGGCCCGAAGGTATGAACACACCACACGTAACACCATTACCTCATGTCAAGTAAATATCAGAGGTCTGATCCTTGTATTAGTGTCTAAATTATAGCTCGATAACTACGTCAACCTAACAAGACAAAGTTTATGTATTTTATCACGTAGCAATGTTGTATAAATTTCAAACCGCAACCAGAGAGGGATCTCTATTCTGCTAAGATGAATGAATAAAGAGGTTCTTTCGAAGACAAAACCGTGCAGCCTGCGCCAAAACATATCGTCTATTATCATCCCTGAATCATTGCAATATTTCCTCTTTCCTTTCCATTGTGCGCTGTGAGATCCCAACGATAAAGAGTAAAATTTCCCAGGTGGATGCAGCGAGAGTAGAAGCAAACACACATATATAAACCCAAAGTGTAAAGTGATGTCCGTACAGTCCAGCTCGACTAGGTAATGAGCTCATACTCCTTTTGATGTTGAGGCTTTCTATAGTATGAGTCATGAGATGAAGAAAGGACGTGAGTGAAGAAGTCTTAACGAGGGTATGTATCAAGACATGCATGTATGTCTAAGTGGAGCCACAAGAGAATGATGAAGCAAGAACAGAGACGAAGGTGAGACGCGCATGTGTGTGAAAGAGACAGTTACTTTTTAGCCTCAGTACTGTCTGTATAGTCGTAGACTGTGAGAGCCATGAGTCAAAACATGAAATGCATATGAGCCGGTTGCGGATTTGTATGACAATAGTATCCCTTTCCAATATATCCCGATGACATGACTTTGATTTGCAAACAAAGGAAGTATACCAAGAGAGAATCAAAACAGACTGGTGAAGGGAATGAGTTGGTTGAGAAATGCAAACTTAGAAAAGGGAAATAGAAGCCCACATTTGAAAGAACGTTGCCATGAGCAGTCTCGTTCATTGAAACTTGTGCTGCATCCAACCGTTGTAATCCCGGATTTCGTTCTGCACTCTAGCTTTCACTTCGATCATGATCGCCTGCTTCCATCTCCTTCTTGATGATTCCCGATTCGATAGAACTCTCCTGGCCAGATGGGCATGACCCGCTCTCAGACCCAGATCCTTTGAGTTTTCGTAAATTGCCGTGAAGCTCAAAGTTCTCGAGTTCTAGCTGGTCTCTTTCACGTTCCAGTGCTTGAATATGCTTGCGAGCCATTTCAAGCACCTCGCCCTTACTGACTCGGCGGTCAGGATCGTTGCCCTGGTCAGATTCATTGTCTTCGTTTCCGTTCCCACCTCCATTATCGCCATGGCGTATTTGATCGGGCAAAGCACTCAAAAGGGATTCGAACTGGGCGTTGAGCCGGTTTCGATATTGCTTCTCAACGAGGTTATGTGAGGCTCGGGTTCGACGATCTTCGGGCGTATCGTTAGGCTTATCTCGACTATTCTTGGAGGTTCGAGAGGCACTGCGGAGCTTGCTTTGTCGGCTGGAAGCCGTCGAGGCTGCTGAAGTCATGGAGGCGGACTTGGAACCGATACTGGCACGGCTGTGTTGAGAGGCAGAACTCGGACTAGCAGCATCAGAAACCGAAGGTGCAGTGCCGCCCGTGCTGTTACTTCTTCCTCCCTGGGAAGCGTCAGATAACTTGCGAGGTTCCTTCTTCTGTCGTCTCGTTCGAGCGGACTTTCGTGAACGGGAAACGGGGGTCAAGTTGTTGTCGCCTGCGGGCTCGTTTATCTCAGCCCAAGGGTTGCTCGAGACATGATGCGAGGGGGTCCGCACTTTTGGAGTGCTTGCATCATGACCCAGAGAATCATCCCATTGAGTTGAGGTAGCTGCATTGAAGTGGGCACTATTCGGATGTATGCTCGATGGTGAGACTATGCTGTGACCATAGTTGAACGGGTTTGGATTTGTAGGCCCGTGTGCCAGATGGTTCGGGTGGCCGACCACATTTATATGTCCTGGAACCTCAAAATCAAACTGGTTCGCGTTTAGTTGCAAATTTGGAGGAACATGGTACATGTTCCAATCCAATGACATGGGGCCTGAGGAGGCAGGAGGGAGATGACTTGCAAACCCAGTAGGTGGCAGGCCCGCTGAACTCTGTGCCGAATGAGCTCCGGGCCTATGAATTTCATGTCCATGTCCATGTCCATGTCCAACTCCGTGCTCGTGCTCGTGCTCGTGCTCACGGGAAAGACGTGATGCATGAGATGGCGTGTGTAAGTTGAGGTCAAGATCAAGGTTGAGGTGAGCTCGTGACTGAGCACGTGACGACTCGGGTACCGTTCCTGATACCGGCAGTTGGAGTCCGAGTACCGGTAAAGCTGTCGGGTGATTCGCGTGGTGGTGGGTCTCGATCTCGGTCGTTTCTGGCCGCGGCGGCGGTTCGCGGCTGGTACGATTCGGCGACGAAATGGGCTGTTGTGGTGGGAAATGGCCGGGTGGCGCCGGCGCTATCATCTGCTCCAACGGAAACGCCAAACGTTAGATTCGATCGCTTCAATTCAATTCAGTGCATTTCATCTCATTTCCATCTCCATTCTCAACTTCGAAATTGCTATTCCTTTCTAGTCGTTTTTCGCTTCTCGCCGGTCGCTACGCCTCGATCTTGGTCGCCTCTCAGCTGCCGTTTGGCCACCACTTGTTCTATCGGAGGAATTCTCGCGAAATCGACTCCATCTGAATCGAACATTTTTTCCCCCCTTCTCCTGTGGTGCTATGGCATGTCGCGACAAGGCTCGAATTGCGCCGTTCTCCGGGCGAGACGGGGTCAGAGCAGAAATAGATCCAGAATCGAGATCCAGCCACTGGCCTGATGCGCGGGTGGTGTTGACATGTCTCAGTTGCTTTGCAGAACCGAACCATCCATACCATGCCATTGAGCATTGACCCCGACAGAACATTCTCGGCTAGCGATACTTACCACTTCGCATTGAGTTTGGGTCGCAAAAGGGGACACCACAACTTCTCCCCCAATCACCATCACAAATCAACGTACCTCTGGCTCTTCTATGAGAAAGTCATAGAATGACTGGTCCCCAGCATGGTCCCCCGCCATAGTAAGGATGCGGACTGGAGGCTGCCGCAGGATCTGGGGGTGTCGGTCGCCTCTTGGGTGTTGGTTCAGCTCCTAAGTTAAGTCCCTGGAGCTGCGGGTCGAGTGTCGATTGGGTCTGTCGCTGGTAGCAACTTGTCGTTTCTTGAGGATGAGAATCTGAACGATAATGAATGGAAGAGTGACTGAGCTTCACTCTGTGAACGTTTTGATAAACAATTTCTGCTGGGCCACTCGGGCTGGGCCTGTGGCCGGCACCGCGCTTCACCACCAAAGTTGGTGATTTAAGGGACTTGGAGTGCTTATACAACAATTTGAAGCCGCAGATTTCGACGTCACCAGAGACAGCTCGATAGTTCCAACGCCACCGCGCCGATTCTCAGGCAAATGACAGCCTCGACAATCGATGGCCCTATTCCCGTCAAGGAGGGGCTATCCTGCGTGGGAGTCTCGTGCTCCCGCCAAACACAAGATAAAATGTCACCCCACCGAAGAGATTTCTCGGCACCACGAGACAATCGGTCAACTCTCAAGTAATGGATCGAATGTCTTTAACTGCCCTTGCTTCTTTCTCACACGATGAGCGAATGAGTGGCCGTGTCCAAGTTCCCACTCACGGCAATCGATGATCCTCTAGGCTCTCACTGCCGCTTCGCAGGACCTGCTGCGAATCATTGTTAACGTCAGGCACATGCTGGGTTGGGTGACCTTTCTCGGCTCGTTCCATCTTTACTCACAACTTCTTTTCAGCCGCACGATCGAGTGTTCAGCCTTCGCAATGGTCTCGGTCTTTCCGTGTATCTCGGCCAGAGACCCCCTTTCTTCTCTTCTCCCGTCTGCTGCCCCGTCCCCTTACGCTATAAGAGTCCAGTCGCCAGTCACGGGGACATCCAATGTTGTCCCAAGGCCTGAATAGATTGTGGTACGAGGCCCTTGATGACTACACTCTGGCGTGTTCACGTATTTGCTCTTAGCATCGGAGGTGATGAGTCTGGCTTTGTTAAAAATAACATAGGGCAAACTGAGGGTGTTGTGTCAAAGCAAGACAAGCTTCTTGTCCTTTCCCCACGTGAACTATCAGGCTTCCAATAGGAGGATGTGGCTGATTTGTATCCGTGGCCGTGGGAAAGCCAATGCTGGGTGATTATGGAGGAGCCATGTGTGGACTCAAGTCGAAGCCCTGATTGTGCTTGGAATGACTCGACTATCGATGGCCAGCACCCCCGCCTTTACCGCCCAAAAGGGAACGTAAGGACAACTTCTGTCAAGCTCGAGCTGGAATTGGGCTTGGGAAGTAGGTGGACTCCCCTAGGAGGGGGGGGGAGGACACAGAAACCGAGACCGGGACTGGGATTAGGCCCGGGACGGGAACGGGGACTGCAAGTGGTACTTTGTGGCATTCGTTCTCTTGTAGAGTGATCGGCATATCAAGGCCTTGTCCGTTCAGCCTTTATTGGACGTCTTTGCTTGACAAGCCCTATTGCTCACATGTCAAACTCGCAAAGGTGCATATGGATGTATGAACTTCCCTGCCGGCACGTTACCCCGAGTCTTGTCTGGCGCGATGCTGCATCATATTACAGTGAGCCATCCGATCTTATCATCGGGCTCAGGCTACATATGCCTCCCCACGAAGTATTCTAACAAACAAGCCATCGATAGAAGGATGACGACCTTTCATCATCTGTAGAAGACAATCCCATTCCTGCCCATGTCCCATCCGTCAGGCTTGTCAAGAAACAACTTGCCCCTGGGGACGCTAGCAAGACCTGTATAACGAGATAGAGGCACTGCCACAGTGATGCTCAACAACACCATGAGACTCTGTTAGCATGGCGTTGTTTTGTTAACCGGTTATTTCGGATCCAGCTGAACGGAGATGATAACTGTAACTAGATGGAACCATTGCTTAATCTGACATTTTGACAGGAACGCAGCCACCAGGTACGCGGCCTCTGCTTCAAGTCAGCCTGTAAAAACCCATTTAAAACTGTATGTATGTCTGCATTGTGGTGGTCTGATCCCAAGTTCGCAACCGAGGAGCGGGGGGGTGGCTGGCTATAACCAGGGGGAGGGGGTCGGAAATCTGTACCAACCAACGAAAATGTAGGCCATGACTGGGAAAAGAGGACCCTGGGCTAAAGGGATTCACGTTGGATGCTCAAGCTAAGACGTTTCGAGGACAACTGGAGACTGATGGAGCCTAATGTGGTTGTTGGCCGTTGAGTTGATATGTCATTCTGGTCCTGGGGCGGCGTTAATTAGCTTGGAGTCAACATGGAAGACAACGGTTTTTTGTGGACTGAACCTGTGCCCATGTATAACGTAACTGCCACCTATTTTGCGTAGTGAAACTTGTTAGTACCTACTTAAGGTAGCCTGATTGTTGCTCTTCAGTTCGACGTCACGAGTCTCGGCTGGTGGTTCCTCTTTTTGGCGGCAACTTCTCCTTGACACCCAGCATGGACGCTTCTGTGGTTTAGTGTTGTCATCTCATGTCCGTGAGTCGCAGGACGGAGGAAACATCAAAAGAGGAAAGAATAGTTCCAAAACCACCAAGAATATCTCCTTATTCGCTTCGATGGGACGTGGTATTTGCTCGGAGCTGATACTCCTAAGTATGAGACACAGAACCCGTATTGCATAACGGGATTTTCGTGGCTTATTTAGCAGGCATATTATCGAGATGTTGAAAAGCCCAGCTCCAGCCCTGTTGGGCCGAATGTGAGAAACTCGGTGCTGGAGGTAAGGTTAGGTAGGGGATAGTGACATACATCTACGACAACAACTGTTGGTAGGTTAGTAAGTACTATACTTAGTACTTGCCTGCTAGTACAATTGGCGTCAAGAAATACATAGTAAGAGAAGGACGTTTGGCGGAAGAGAGCCGCACTTTCCCTTGACAGCTCGCAGGTGAAACACAGATAAGGTAGGCATATACGGATAGGCAGGCAAGCCTTGACCCTGCACCTGCTTTAACATGCCCGTACGGGGAGCGTGAAGTTTGGGAAGGTGCGACGCAAGACGCGCACTTCGATTTCGCCAGGTAAGTACTACACGATATTCGCATGGGAGTGTGGATCTGTTGTGAGGGTCAAAGCAGAAAGGCGAGGCAAGAACGGAGGAGCAAATAATAGGTAGGCAGGTAGATAGGATAATACATAGTATGTACGAAGACAGGTAGTTTGTAGGTAATTGGGGCAAATGATATAGAGGTTATATATATTCGCGATGACAGGAAGTAAATTCACTATCACTTATACATCACGAATGAGATATCTCCGAGGACATTTATACCTATTACCCTCGTCTATCTACCTCTACAAAGTCAGACGTTGGTAGTAATGGTCGACATGATGATCCAATCAAGGCTTGTTCCAGTCCCAGTCCAAACCAAGAGTTGAGGGTTTTCAAGTCATGTACCCCCGTTGACGATCAGATCATGAAGTTGGACTGTTCTGTACTGTATGGGAACTGACTAAACTGGCCTCGGTACTAATGCATTGTCTTTGTTTGTGCTACCCTCCCGGAGTCAAAACCCTGGCGATGCCGCAGACTACATGGCTCGTTGGTTGTCAGAGTCGTTTCTTGTGCGAGGGTAAATAATTTAAAGTGAACGGGCCGTTGGCTGTGACTTGTCTGGATCCATGATATCAATCCGTCGGACCCGGGCTCTGTGTGAGCTGTCACATAATTAAGATACCACTTTGTTGTGCCATCAATGCAACAATACAATTCGGGAGCAACCTTGCAAATATTTTCTCTAGTTTTCCTTACGCTGTTATGTTGGTCTTCGGCAAAAACACTACGAGCCTACGGATCCGTACTTCGCTTACACCCCTAGGTAGTAGGTAAGTTAGCCCCCGGCTGATCTGATCTTTGTTAAAACCTTAAACGACAGGGTATTGCTTCTGAGAATTGCGAAATACGACTTTGTTGACCAGGAATTTACCTACTGTAGATAGTATTGCCTGCCCACAAGACCTTTCAATGTAGAAGCTCGTTACTTTCACCAGAATAGGCAATATTGATGATAGGAATCACCCACCAGAGTCTTCAACGTCCTAGTATCAAATCAATTGTCATCCTGCAGCACACTTTGGTAGGGTAGCTGACACCTACAGTACCTCTGAACTGCCATCGCCGATCAAGGCCCCCCCTGATCGTCGGAGCCAGGCCGAGAGTGTTCAACAAATGCAGTCTCCACCGATAGAAACAGCAAAACCATTGATTGACACGTAACTACTAATTTGATATACATACGTTTGTACGGATAGGCAGCCAGGTATTCGCACTCTCTCAACATATACTAGGTATACGCGGAGGTGAAGTATAATGATCTACAAGAGCCGTCCGGATATATGAACTAACGTTTCTTTTTCTTCAGCAGGATCTAGGTAGCTGTCCCTGACACATGCATATCAACCGCCCAATGCGTGGCACTGGCAAGGTTGGTAAACGCTGCACATCCACAAAGAGAACCCTTTGATAGGTGGGCGACGTTAGTTCTTTGCGGCTGACATTGATGGGCGATCAAAGACTCCAAGTGTTGTTCTCAGGCCCAGGGACCCAGAATACAGTACAGGCTAAAAGATACGCATCCGAAGCTATACTGTACATAGCCAACCTGACGGATTACTATTTGTCACTGACTTATTATACTCACGCGTTAAGCATATTGCCAAGCTCTTATCACATTAGTGTCATGTTGTCATGACCAGCCTTCACCGTAAGATCATGTTCGACATGAATCATGCAAGCAAAGCCCAGAGCCTGTCAATACGAAAATGCTGATGTTTGCAAGACTACCATATCATTACAAGACCCTAGAAATGAATTAAGTCATCTGTCTAGCCTGAACGCCGTTGATATCTCAGCCCCAAAGACCAAGAGTTTTCCCCAGTACCGCTCCCATTATCCTGCCTATGTCTCACCTTGATGACTTACATGCCCTGGCACTCAGAGCAGACGATGGGGCATTTAGCCCGTCTTCTTCTTCTTCTTAGGACGCTCCTCTTCATCTTCCTCATCATCATCGTCGCCATCTTGCTCGTCGTCATCCACATTGCTTTCATCGCTGCCTGACCCATCACTCTCGTGAGCACTGTCGTATTCCTCGGCAACGTCACTTTCGCTGTCGGTGCGGAAATCTTCATCCACGCTCTCTTCGTCCTCATCGGCCGAGCCACGATCAGCCTTGGCAGCGACTTCATCCTCGGAATCATCCATCTGCTGATTCATGGCAGCAGCAAGGAGGTTGGCATCCTCGTCAATCTCGTTCTTAACCCGTAGACCCTTGAGCTTGAAGAATGTTTCAAGAGCCTTGAGGTCTTCACGACTAATGTTGCTGAACTGAGATGAGCCGGCACCGTTCTTTAGAAGGACAGTAATGTCGAATGTTGACAATGCTGATACAGCTCCACTGACACGGGAGAAAGTGACAGATTGAGTCTGTTCGTAGGCGATGTATGTAGCCGGCTTAGGCACAAACATGAAGGCCTTCTCGAGGCAGTAGAGGAAACCCTCGCTGGCCTTGATGGAGCACTTGATGCCATATTGGCTGCGGTGTCTAAATGCGAGTCAGCAGTTAAATCAGTCGACGGACTACAGGGAACATACGTGATAAAGTCCTTGGCGGGAGATGATATCTTCCTATTGCCCAGACCACGGAAGATCTTTGCCACCACTTGGTGGAGGGGCTCCTCGTAGTGAGGCTCCAGCTTGTCTTGATACTTGCTCTTGAGCTCATCCTCGTTAAGGTTCAGATCAATTGTGACCTCTTCATCTTTCTTGAATTGCATCACAACAAAGGGGTATCGAGTTTGGCCCTGACGCAGAGGTGGGTCAAGACCCATGACAAGCATGTAGTGTACCTCGTCGGGCTTAGGAAGTACCATGAACTTCTTAATAGCCTCGTACTGAATCTTGTAGTCATAAGTTTTGCCTCGAAGTCGGAAGGATGCCTCGTACATGTCGATATCGAAACGACCTCTGTTAAACACGTTAGCAATCAACAAGATGGAACAAAAACTCGACATGGAGTTTGTTGTATGATTTCGAAGCGTACCTGGGGGTGAGATGTAGAACGTCCAGGAAGGTGGCGATAGTATCGCCAGCCGTCTCGCCAATCTCAGCCTTGTCAATCAGAGTCTCGTAGAACAGAGTTGCGGCATTCTTTTCCTGCTCGTCGTTACCGGCATCGCTACCAGCGTCCTCTCCTTCTGCCTCTTTACGAGTAGTCACACCGGGAATATAGAATCGCATCTCGACAAGCTGGTCTCGACCAGCGGCAGCTTTCGAGCCCTTGGACCGGGCACCGCCTAGCTGGGCATTGGCACCCGACTCGGGAAGAGCCATCTCGACGGCCACTTCATTACGGCCAGCAAGGTTGGTGTTGCCGATTTCTGAGTAAGCTAGTTCGAAAGCAGGTCGGTTCTGGACGCTGAATGTAAGCTCGGATTTAGAAAACTCGGCTTTGCCCCAATTCCAACCGCGCAAAGCATGCTCCTTGTTCTCTAGGACCGTGCTGTACCAATTCTTGAAAATTTTGGCAAGCCGATCGTAGTCCTCCTGTTGGAAGCCGTCGAGCTGGATTATACCAGATTTTGAGCGCTGGACGATCTTGATCTCGTATCCTTTAGCAGCGCGACTCCATTGCGCAGAGGCGATATTGTTGTGATCGAAGGTGAAGGTCTCGCCGCCGCCAACAGGCTTCCATCCGAAACCGGTCTCAGCAAATCTGCACTTGCCACTCTCCTTGGAGAGATCCAAGTAGATGTTGTCGAAACTCTCGCTGCAAGTCGATGGCCATGTTAGCTATTGCTGCAGTAATAGTTACAGGCTGATGCAAAGCTCGGAGAGAAAAGTCAAGTTATGCATAGGGGACAGATGGAAAAGGGAGCTTGGGGGAAGAGACATACATAGCAGTCATTGCGACGACTGGACGAGAGTTATAGATTGGCAAGAATAAGTAGTAGATGTGATGGATAAGGTGGTGTCTATGGCTGTGTATTGAGATGGCGATGGCAAATGTGAATGTTGCGATGCAGCTGGAGTCGTTTATTTGGAAATTTGAAAAGACACTCAACCTAGTACCTATGGTCGCGCTCTGTCGCGTCCTCACGCGGAAAGAGCATACAGTGGATCCACTCCTTTAAGAGGTCTACTGTAGTAGGTACTACCTGAAGCTCCAGTTTTGCTGGGGGAACCGAAGCCATGCAGGTCCAGTCGGGGAGGTCAAAATAGAGCCAGGGCATTAGTACCTACTGGAGTATCTTCACGTAATAGGTACTTCTATTCGACGCCGCTATTCAAAGACAAAACAGTAATCAGGTAAAATATCTAAGGACACGCTCTGGGTGATGCGATATTGATGGTATTGTGTACCTATGATAATTTGTACATTTTTGTTGGTGATATTCTCATCGTCAATATTGCCTGAGACGGGGTAAACATCACTGTCACCCATCTGCTGTACCTAGTGTACCTACCTAGGTATGGATTGAAGCTAAAATGGATGCACCTGCTGGCTTAGTACATGGTATTGTACCTACCTGTACCTAGGTACCTAAATACAGAGGCATGTAGTCAGCCAACGACATCTTGTGTATTCGACTCATGAAAGTCTTTCATGAGGAATTCTTACGTACCTAGCCAAACATCATGTGAATATGGATATTTATCTGATCTGCCTACTCATCGGGGTCCAAGGGCCCCGTGCACTATGTAGGCTTCCCCAACGGTCTACGTCGTCGCTCCCATGTGACCCTTTATCCTGGTCTCCACTCAGCGATAGCGTGCATAACATCATAGGCTTGATATCAGTAAGGTTGCCTTCGTCCATCTCTCCGTTTTCCATCTCATCCTTCTTCTCTTTCTCCATCCACATCACCGGTGCTCTCATCTAGTATCGTACATGAGTATTATCCCCCAACTTCTGGGATAGTTAATGTCATCATGACAACAGATCGTCGCTCCCGTTTGCTGGGATTCCGATGCGCCTCAACTGCCCGTGTAACCGCTACTCTACTGTTATCCTTCCTCGCCTTCTCGCCGTCTTCCGCATCCAGCGATTTAAATGATCGATTCCACGACGGCGTGATATTACCTCCTGCGCCCGTCCTTCCATCGGCTCCAGAAATCCCTGTAGCTGCCGAGCATACTTTCAGTCTTCGCCACATATACCATCATGGCACCCATCTTCATCCCGGTCTTCATCGGAGACGGGATGTCGTCCATGACCAGTCGAGGGTCTATCTGGCAGCAGAAGACGACTACGATGAATATGATATTTTCCGATTAAAAGCAAAGAGTCGCCCCGAGACTATTCAACGCTTGGCTGACCGAAGGCCGTCAGTTGTTGATCCTATGGTAGCCGAGTCCCGGCGGAGAGGATATGCAGCTGTGCTTGATGCATCGGCATGGACTATGGATCGAGTCTCATCTCCTGACATCAAGGATAAGGACACTGTTCTCACATTAGCTCTCATGACGGCCAATGCATACGTCGAGCATGAGACTGATGCCGACTGGGAGGATGTTGGAGAGCGATGGAACCGCAGCGCCGATTTCGGATGGGAGTCTGACGGTCTCCGCGGGCATGTCTTTGCTGATGATACAAACTCAACCATTGTCATTGGTCTCAAGGGCACAACGACGGCTGTTTTCGATGGAGAAGGAACCACTACTAACGACAAAGTCAACGACAACCTATTTTTCAGTTGCTGCTGCGCTCAGCAAGGTCAGTGGACATGGCACCAAGTCTGTGACTGTGCTACAGGCACATATTCTTGTAACAACACATGTGTTGTTCAGGCCCTGAGGGAAGAGAACAGATACTACGGCGCCGCCCGCGAACTCTATTCAAATGTCACGGAGCTCTATCCCGATGCTCAGGTTTGGCTTACCGGCCATTCGCTTGGCGGTGCCGTGACTTCAATGTTGGGCATGACATACGGTCTGCCTGTTGTTACTTTTGAGGCTGTACCGGAAGCTCTTCCAGCTTCTAGACTAGGCCTTCCAGTCCCGCCCGGTGCTAGTGCCGACTACCCTCAAATGCGTGAGAATACAGGCACGTTCCATTTTGGTCATACCGCAGACCCTGTCTACATTGGAACGTGTAATGGTGCAACAGCGTCTTGTACCTATGGTGGTTATGCCATGGAAAGTGCCTGCCATGCTGGTTACGAGTGTGTTTACGATGTTGTCGCCGATAAGGGGTGGAGAGTTGGGATCGGTACGCACCGTATCCGCTCTGTCATCGACGACGTCATCAAGAAGTACGATGGTGTCCCTGAGTGTAAGAGGACGCCTGAATGCCGAGACTGTGCTCAGTGGAAGATGTACGAGAGCAACGGAACCGAAACTACTACAACATCTTTACCCTCGACTACCGCTACGACACGGACTCGTACCCGTACATCAACTTGTGAGACACCCGGTTGGTGGGGTTGTCTTGACAAGACTACGCCTGTCACGACTACGACCTCCACCACATCCTCTTCTACGTCTACCTGCAAGACACCCGGATGGTTCGGTTGCAAGGACAAGACAACCACAGAGAGTAGCACTACTACAAGCGAAGCTTCAACCACAACTACCTGCCATACTCCTGGTAGGTTCTGGGGTTGTCGCGACGAGGTAGAGGTTACAACAACTGCCGAGCCTGGTCAAGTCACTAACGTACCTGTCACCGCTGCGCCTACAGGTGCCACGGATGAAGTTTCAAGTACGGCGGTGCCAGAAACTCAGAGATGTCTTGCTCGCAACTGGTTCAGGTTCTGCAAGGAATGGGCTATTGATGACCTCGATTTTGGTACAGATGAGATGTAGGGAGTCGCTATAAGATTAGATAGATAACTCACAACAGTCATGAGGATGGAGTTCATGCTTGGTTTCTTGCGTATTACGGCGTTAGGTCAGGAGTTTGGTGAGCTACGAATGCGCAGTCCACGTTCAAGACGCGCACACTTAGATGAGTCACAAAGCTATACATGATATAAGATTATTAATTGCCGAACTATCTAAATAACATTGCGCTCGATCGTTATTGCATACCTACCATACAACATGGTGCAGCGTTTGAGCACTTTCTACACTACTGGAATGCACCTATCATATTACACTGTCTGTTGTGATGTCAGCAACTAAAAAAAATATCCATCCAACTTCTCCCCACCTAAAACGCGTCCACTTTACATCTTTAAAACACCAGGCGTAAAGCCGCGACATCACACGCCTACTGGCATCATTTTGGTTATCGAGTAGAATACGCCATGTGATATGCATAACATCAAATCGCTTATATAATCATTTATTTGCGATGAAAACGGAACTTAAGCCTTCAGAAATGGGGACTCCTTTGTCTTCCACATTGTCCAGCCTCAGCGACAGCGACAGCGATAGCGACACCGAAGTCCAGAAGAGCAATGGCCCCAGCAGAGACGCCGATACTCCGGTCACCGATGGAGATAAAGTAGAATGGCTCGCCACGACTCGAAAGCGTCGCTCGACTGCTGGCAACCGAATGAAGTCAATGCTCGCCAACGAGGAGCCTGATTCAGACCTTGAACTACTCTTTGCCGAAGACGAGAACGACCAAGGCTTCTCTGACGCCGGGGAGAATGGATCGGACGTACAGATGGACTCTTCCGATGATGAAGACGATAATGGCAACAATGATGACGATCTTGAGGGAGAGAAAGAGCTTGAAAAGCAAGCAAAGGAACGCCGTGCCGCCCAGCGCAAACGAAAAGCTCAAGAAGCCATTCCCGCCAAGTTTCGTAAGAAAGTCCGTATCGATCCCACGACCAGAACACCATCGGCACCCGTGAAGCCAGCGCCCCGGCCCAAAAAGAAATCCGAGCGCACTTCGTGGCTGCCCTCGGCCGCCGATCTACCAACCCGAGCCTCGTCCCGTCAAACGACCCGACTATCGAAGGAGCAACTTCACCAGCAGATGGTAGAGCGAGAGGCGCGCCGGATAAAGCAGCTAGCTCAGATGCAGAAGAAGGCTGCCAAGCTTGAAGCAATGAAGAAACCACCGATGACGCAGGAAGAGAGGCTCCGAGAAGCGGCCATCGTTGAAAAGCGAAATAGCAAGAGTCTTAATCGCTGGGAAGAGGCCGAGAAGCAACGCGAAGAGGAACGTCGAGCGAAATTGGCAGCTCTCCACAACAGAACTCTCAAGGGGCCGGTTATCACTTTCTGGAGTGGTATTGGAGAGTGGATGGGAAGGCATATGGTTATAGAGGAGCCTGCGAAAGAGAAGAGAAAGAGGGGCGAGAAGGCAAAGGGCAAGGACAAAGATAAAGGCAAGGAAAATATACCTGCAGCAGGGATTCAGAAAGTGGAAGGTCAAAAAGACGAAGGACAAGATGTCACAGCTGTTCTAGATGGCGCCGCTTCAAGCACGACAGAGAAACCACAACCACCCACATCAGCTTCACCAGGACCAGCCGGGACGTCAGAAGCAAAGGAAGCAAAAACAGTTACTCCGATCGAATATGACAGCTGTGCCCCAGACCCCAAAGATTCATCTTCAGTGGCAAAGGATAGCAATCCTTCTCTTTCTCTCAAAACTGAGGAGGTCAACCCTTCATTGGCAATGCCCCCTCCGCCTCAACCACCACCTACACCTCCGAATGGTCTGGCCGCTCCCACTCCGCCGCCCTCGGCCATCATACCAGCACCAAGTCCTCCTCATTCTCTTGGCCATCCTGTAAGTGGCCTCGCCGCACCGTCTCCGCCTCCCCCAACGCCTGCTGGCTCAACAGCAACAAACTCATTTGCCACTCCACCATCAGGGCTCTCTCGCCCGCCAGATTCAAAACCCTCTAGTGTACTTGCGGCTCCCATACTCGCTCCTCCTCCAGGTATCGGTGGTGATGGAGCTGCGCCTCCAATGATGGGTTTCGGCAACCCCAAATCAAATGTTCTTGCACCACCAAATACATCTCAAGGAGCCATGCCACCTACAAGTTTGTCTACTACCACCCCTGCTCACAATGCTCCGTCTGCTATCTCAGAATCCCTGGCAAACCCTCCAACAGCTATTACTCCAACGTCGTCTACAACGAATCTCCAGCCATCTCCTAACCCTTCCACTATTCAAAATCAGTCCTCTGGTCCCGAAAACTCCGCTGTTGCCCAAGCCCCTGAGTCACAGCCTCAACTTCAACCTTCAACCGGAGCCCGAAATGCGATAGTGTTCCAAAACTTTGACGAAAACGCCCTGAAGGACCGTACCATCCAGACTCAGATCATCTTTGGCCGCAAGATGAATAAGCTTTCGAGTAAGATTACCACTATTCTAAGAGCCCCTTTTTAGACATGTACTGACTGTAGTAGAACCTTCACCTGCGCCTCTTTGCGTCATCACAAACCATCCCGCCCGGTATCGCGATCCGCGTACTGGTCTTCCTTACTATAACGGCTACGCATACCGCGAGATCCAACGTCTTACCCGCGGCGAGTACCGGTGGAGTCACATCCTGGGTGCTTGGGTTGGCAGTGGGACATATGCTGCGAGAGGTGTACCTGAGCGCTTCTTGAACCCAGAAAAGAGCGGGCCTGAGAAGAAATCCGTCTCGCACGAGGGCACCAAAGACAAAGACACTGTTGATTCCTCGAAGCAAACCCCTGAGATCCAGACGCCCGAGGTAACATCGGGCATCCAAGCTCCTGGTACGAAGATGAATGGGGCTGAACCAGGGTCCTCCACGTCATCAAAGCCCGAGCCTAGCAAGGCTGCACAACCCAGTACGGCGTCACCGGCAGTTGGTGATGCCACTAATCCAGCGCCCGCAACGATCCCTACTACAGAATCTCATACCCCAGCCCCTGCAGAGTCTGTATTGCCAGCTACTACAAACAATTCATCGATACCGACTCCGACTTAACAGGGGTCGTAGACTTTGGATCGGCCACCGAAGGCATTCTTCTTTTCTATAACGTTTCTTCTGTATACACAGGCGAGTGCTGGGCCCAAGGGGAGTTGGTAATATAATACTATATATACAATGAATAACCTCCAATACGTATCACTACAGAAAAGGAACAACCATGTCGTTGAAAACGGGTTACAATCAATGATCATCAAACGCTTGTCACCGGAATGGTAGTTGGGCAAAAAGGATATAACTGTTGAATCGTTGTTGCGGATTATGATTGTGTCTTGTTTTATCTAAGATTGACCACTTGCTTGTGAAGTCATCTTCCTAACGTGAATTTGAGTAAATCAACTCAAACTACAAATCGTATTGTAGTAACTGCCATCATCCGTCTGTCTCATGAACCATTGCCCCCTCCTTTTTTGTGGCCGTCTATTTTCCGCCAAGTGCCATTCCTTATTACCATCCCAGGGTTTTGTGTATGTATTGGGAGCTTGTCCAGCTGCCTACCGGTCATTGCGCCAACCTCCCTTTCTGATCTATAACGCCGAAATAGAAACCCCGCTGTGATTGTGCTCATCGAATGATGGACCAAGATTGTTAAGAAAAAGAAAAGAAAACGCTATCGAAATGATGCAGATTATAGGAGGCGAATGTAGTCCTCAGTAGAGATTGTTATATACCATAAAGATGAAGTAAGTTTGGCGTGGGCACTTAGTTGACCTTGGAACCGATAATATCGGCCATCCAACCCAACTCGGCGGCAAAATCATCGAGTCCTGTATCAATGGGAGCACCGAGGAAATTGTGTTCGCTAACAGCGAAGCCCGATTCACCATGGGGGAGGAGAGATGGTGAGTTGACCTTCGGGTAGGATGATTGGGTTTCCATGATCTTGGACCCATGTCCTCGCGACTCGGGAAGACTGTAACACTCAAAAGAGTCGGTAGTGGAAACCATGCCGGGTGCGGGTTGAAATGCAAGGATATCGCTGTTGTTACTTGACACGACATCGTCCTCGTCATCAGTGAGATCGAAAAAGTTGATTCCTTCGTCCTCAGGAAAGTTTGACGTGGCTGGTGACAGAAAGAAGCTCGTCGTAGGGTTTGGCGTGGCTGGCGACAGGAAGAAGCTCGTCGCAGGGTTGATTCGTGGTCGTAGTGTTTCCAATCGAGGACGAGAAGGTATTACTGCCGAGGCGGGTACACTGGTAGTCTCTAGCAAGCTCTGCTTAGAGGACTTTGCAGAAATTGGGCGCAGTGAACTTGAATGAAAGACATCGGCATTTACAGATTCAGAAGAGAGAGATCGCTTGAAAGGAGGGGGCGAGAGACGAGTGACATAAGACTGTCCGTCAGAGACCGCCGAAGAAGCAAAGTTGTCGTCATCATCGTTCTCGTTATCCTCCACGATATCATCAGGGATGATGAGTGATGGTCTCTCGCTGAGGTTAGACCCGGGGCGAGCAGGATTGTCATCGGAAAGAAAACGTCGAAGAGATTCAGGTGAGATGTCCCTTGTGCGAGTGCCCTCTGATGGTGTTGTGCAGCGGTCATCCAGATCATCGGTAGAGCTAGACGTATCATTGCGAACTGGAGATCGACCACGCTCACCCTCTGAGTTCATCTTGCGACCAAACAAGCGCTTCCATGCCGCTGGAGCCGGTGATAATGATCGGGAAGAAGACTTGTGGTGTAGTGAGGGTGATGAACCAACCCGGTAAGGAATGTGGTTGGCTGGTACTGAAGGTGCAGGTCGGGGAGTGGTGTATTTGGAATCGGGGTCCATGGTTTTTAAATCGGCAGTATGTATGGATGTCAGGGAAGCACTTCGCTGTCGGAGAGCCTGCTCGACAGGAACAATTAAAGTGTTGACGGCTTGGCCAGGTAGGTATGGGCAAGCTGTAGTTGAAGGCAAGGCAGGGTCGTGTGTCTCGACGGAGCCATCTAGCTCATACTGGAAGCCCATTGTTAGAACAAATGAATGAATGAACGAATGAATGACTTGATTAAGCAATGATACAAAAGAGTGAATGAAGAACGAAAAGCAAGTGAGAGTGAAGAGGTTGATTAAATGTGTTTAGGTGGTTGGGTAAAAGAGTGAAGATGAACGAAAGTACAGGCAGCAAATATTCATTAGTTTGACGCAAGGGAGAGAGACATGCTTTTGTTAAGCCATGTAGTACAATGCAATAGCATATACCGAAACGGATAGAAAGAGGTGCAGTACATACGTAGTAATAATAGGTATGACCCATCTTGAGACCACCGTGCCTCTTGACGGAATACGAAGCAGTACCTGAGCTTGAGCTTGTTCCAGCGCCTGCAGCTGCGCCTACGCCTATGCCAGCGCACGTCGCAGAAGCCGAGACGGAAACGTCGTCACAGACAATGTCACGAAAAGAATAGCAACCTCTCCACTGATCACGGCCCCGCCGGGTGTCTCGTTGCATGGGGTGAGATTGGCTAAAATTGTCCCACGACCCAATAAGATGCACGGACTGGGTCGAAGGGGGTGTTTGACTGGGGATGCTTGTCAGCGGCCGTCGTTGGAACTCATCGGGCGATGGAATAGAAGCAAAGGGGAAAAATAAAATGTTAGGGAGATTGCACCACGCAGCCAGCCACATGCGTCGGGGCCAAGGGGTAGTAGGGTTCAATGTAAATGGCTGAGAAACAACTCGGTGGACATGTATGAGGTAGCAGAGCTGACAATCGTGGGGAGACAAGGGAACCCATGGATCGATCCTACGGATTTGATATCCGGTAGATGCAGCTGGCTTCCATCCGTATATCCAGGCTAGCAGCCCAACCAGTTCTCCAGTCTCGTCTACCAAGCAATACAACTTGAAGGGAGACCGGGCTGGCTGAGATAGATCCGACGCTGACTTCAGCTCAAACTTTGCGCGCCCGTCATAACAAAAGAAAACATGCGATTTTGTTTTTTTGCCAAACTTGTGTCTTAAGCACCAGGGGGCTGGTCGGGTAGAGACCCAAATCCAGACAACTTTCATGCGAGGGAGTAAAAATGAGACAATGAGAAAGCATACCACGGCTAATAAGACACTTCTAGGTAGCGAGTGCCGATCCGGGGTACAGAATGGAATGGTAACGTTCGATGATTGAAACACAAAAGGAATGCTGCGAGATTGAAGCTGTTGCAGTCAAGACGAAAGCGATTCAATAAGCGAACAAAAGAATGATTGGTGTAAATATGGATATTAAGAGCAGTGAGACCGAGTCAACGGTTCGAGCGATAGGTAAGGTAGGTAGTGGATCAGAATTCGACCAGCGAGAGGCGAAGTAAGGGAGCAAACAAGCAAGCAAACAAACAAACAAACAAGCAGGAAGGAAGGAAATAAAAAAGAAACAAAAAATGGACCGAACTCACAATAAGAAAGTAAAGAGAGTTGTTGATGGATCCATGACAGGCGACAAGCAGAGGACGGGCCCTCACCACAGTTAATATGTAGGAACCCGCTGTAGGGATTAGTCTATTGAGAAGCTTGCCACTAACACGGCAAAGCACCCCAAAGGCCCACGATAGCGCCTAAGGACTTAGATGCTGGGGACCCGGAGAGCTCGAGATTAAGCAATAATAGGAGGTTCATGAAACACCGTAAGGCGTTCGTCGCATGTTGCGACTGGCGTGAACTGGTGTTAGAGACTCGAGACTGGCTGTCAACGATTGGATGTGAGACTCCCAAGCTACAGCGAACTTGTCGACAACCAATGAGCTAGCGAGGAGCCCTTGGATTCGATGGACAGTAAGCGCCGTGACGGAGTATCGGATCAACACTTGACAACTTCCAAAGGGTACCAGAGACCAGGCAAACCCCAGGTACGGAATGCGGCACAGAAGGAGAGCGCTTAAGCGCAGGGCGTTGGACGCAAGGCGGCGTGGAAGCGAGACGAGAATATTCAGCGTCTGAGGCGAAATACAGACGGGAGCGGAGACCCAAGGGCGGCTAGTGAAGCTGCTTGCTGCTTTCTACTTGCTCGTACGTGCTGCGGTATGGTTGCCTCTCGCCTGCGACGCTCAATAAAGTCGTGACCTCCGGGTGGTCGATGCTGCAAGTATAGAGGACGCGCGCGGATGGGGTCCCACTAGCAAAGCGATGAGAGACGCAGACTCAGGTATATTGTCTGGCTTCGTTTAGGGTGCGTTAACGGCGGTCTCAGTCTCAGATGAGGAATGGAATGGAATAGACGGGAGAAGAAGATGGAAAAGGGAGACGTCGATGCGGTAGATGTGAATTCAGTAATGGCAGATTGGGAAAAGGAAAGAAATGTGAAACTAGGTCCTTCCTACCGTAACCACCTTATGGCCGGACAGGTTTTTCTTGCAATTTGAGATTGCGGAAAGAACGGAAAGACCCAATTGTCTGGCAAAGATGGGGAAAGAAGGCTCCTTCCTATCTTCACATTGATTAATTCTGACGTAGTGAAGGGCCTCGCCAATCTATTAAGGTAAGGTAGAGCAAGAAACTCCATCACTTGGCTTGATGCGATTGGAAGATAGGCATAACAATTCAGCCCAGCCCAGTCCAGGCCAGCCAAGGTCGATACTCAGTGACAATTCAAGCCTGTCCGTCCTCCAGTAGAACCAGCTGAGCTACGATCGTGAGAGGTTGAGAGGCTCATGATCCTTGCAAGAGGCGCCAAGGGGCTTTCTGCTTCTGTGACCAGTCTTTGATTATTGGTCTATCTGGCTTGCGCTATCCAATATTGCCTGCTTCTCCTAGCCTCCCGTTATTGATCATCGCCAATGGACGTCACAGACGCATGCGTCTATGCAAAGATCTGCAGACAATAGTACTGTAAGCAACTATCCAAGAGACAAAGCTGCAGCAGCACAAAGACATGCGTAGTGAGCATTGTGCTACACTACAGACAACCAAAGACAACGACAAAGAACAAAGAACAAAAAAGACCTCAGGGGAACAAGGGCGATCCCTCTGCACGGGCATTGCGAATAACAAGGGTTCCTAGTATCTGGAACGATGACCAGCTTCCATTGGTCGAGTGGCCGTCGTGAGGTGCTTCCAACATCGAACTGAACCTGATCTCCTAAGCTCGAACAAGCGTTAGTGCTCAGCCTGAGACTTTGTGGATCGCGAACCGACCTGGACCTTCATGGATCTCAGCTGGGGTTCTAGGATTGTGGAACTCCTTAGCACGACTGAGGGCGTCATAAAAGATGGGTCATAGTCCAACATTTATGAACCTGCTCACTGCACGGCTTATTACTGTCAATACTTGGCTAATTGCTATGTCTTGGCTCATCAAAGGGGGAGGGACGGGTGTGGTCAGGATTGGCCAGATATATCCGCAGCACAACCGACGTATCAATAGTCTAGCTGCAAGAGTGAAGAGTGTCTGTCAGCTGAGCAACAATAACAATAACTCACATGTTCGTCCAAGTTGTTGCAAGAACTACGGAGCCAGCATGAAGCAGTCTCCAGGTCAAAACCAAGAAATCGACAACGGCCAAAACGAATGTTACTCACCTGTGACTTCTCAAGGGGCAGGCTCCATTCCAACTATCCACTTGGAAGCTCGAGCACTGCTCAACTTGAAAATTCAGGGTCCTCTGGCTGTTAATTAGTCAAAGCCACAGCAGTAAAAACCCGCCCGAGCCGCTTCTGCTTCTAGCAACAACTTGACCGGTGGGCACTCAAGGGAGAGTCAACACAACACGTTAGGTCTCTCTCCATCAGGCCAGACCCGGACGCAATGGACCGGGTGCTTGGACTCATGGAAAGGATAAACCAGAAGAGGGAAATGATAAAAGCATTCCGCATATGCATATGATTTGGTTGGCATCTATCGCGACCACGTCGGCCATCACCGTTGGCAACAGCTGCAAGTTTTAGTTTGTTGAAGATGCATCTTCAATGCACTTTAGCTGCAGCATGCACAATTAATTACACAACTGCCAAGATGCAAGCTTCCAACTTTATTTGCTTTTTTGTTGTCTCAGATAGACGCAAAACCTACAGTAATTGCATCCGCCCTGCATCATTGTCCCTCCAACGCTTTGTTGTTTTTACTTTTGCTCATGTGAATCACGTCACGATATTTTCATTGTCGATGTCTTTCCAAGGCAGCTGACACTGCCAAGCGTATATGTTTACTATATACCTTTTGCTTTTCTCATCCCAACATCAACTCAGCCCGCATCGGATCCATTTTGTGGAGGGTTATATCCCTTTTGAACCTGTCTCCTTGCAGTCTATATATGTGGACATCAACGATTTAGATCGATCGCCATCGAGAAAAATGTTCATCAATCAAGACATCCATGTTGACAGGCTGCCAAGACGGAAGATAACGAACCGTCTTCTCAGATATACAACCGTAGGTACTGTACATATTGACTGCAGTTCCCCATACTGTTGTTCTCTTCAATCTGAAACAAACCTACACTACTTACTACTGGTTATGTTTGTAAAGCAGTTATACAGTAGTTCTCGTGGCTGAGATAATCAATGTTTTTGCTTTCCGTCCCGTCGCTGTGAATCGTGCCACACAAAGTCAAGATGAGCAAACGCCTGCTCCCACTCAGTGAACATCTTCATCTCCGATAGCCAGCTTCATGAACCGAACCTATCGGGCCGGTGCTTCATTAGTCCAAAGTCCAGGAAACGGCGCTACCAGTTTTTCAACGTCTTCTAGATCACGCTCCAGTCTTCGCCCCGTGGAATTAATTTCGAGGCTGTCCGGACTCTGTCATTCCCCCCGCGTATCGAACCTGCCTCTGATCAAAGCGTTTTCGTTTCATCGTTTCACCGCTTCTGAAAGCCGTAGTGAGGAGCTGCAGGTATGTAATAACCACTGGTTCTTTTTTTAACGCTCGTAGGAATAGAAAAGGATCAACAAGGTGCTGGTTGACATGTGGAGTTGTTGGTAGAGGGATGGGCGATGTGATTTCTGACGACTCATCGGTTCATCCGACACTCTCATTTCTGCATGTCGTTTTCATGTAATTAATCTGTCACCTCTTCGTTGACCCGAAAGGCTATGAATGATATAAACACTTCCTACAACCAGGTATTGACTTGACGTAGGATTCGGGTATCTGTCAACTTCAAGGATCGACGTACGTGAACATGGTAGCTGATCAACACGGAATCTCGCGACAGTGCACATTGTTAGAGTAAAAGAATGTAAGAATTGCATTGAGAACTGGTGAAGTCTTTCTTTCATCTTGGTCAGTTGTATTTCAGTGGTATAATGATAATGGACATAATTTGTGAATCGCGATATCGCACGTCTTGAGAACCTTGTTCTTGGAAATCTCGCTGATAGCTATGTATAGGGTAGACTAGAATTCTTGAGGATAAGATCGCTATTGCAATGCTTCTATGGTGTCTATTCGAAATTCTTCATCTCATTCTTGTGTGAAATGGTGTTTCTAGTGTCAATCTACGATGTCTTGGGTCATCTTACATTCTGAAAGTCGTCGGATCCTGTACCTCCCAGCGTGAACCAACATATGGAGTTAACATCAACATCGATTTTCAGCATCTGAGATGCGAATACCGTCACTCGATCGTTGCGCATGGTTCTTTTGTCGCTTCAATGATTGTCCAAATTCACTGTTTAACATGCCCACACCGACCCAAGGCTCGCAACGTGCAAAAGTTCATCCGCCTTGTCTTGGCCCAGTCTACGATGATTGGAGAAGGCGTACTTCATATACTTTAAATACTGTTCAATGCCAACAGTTCAAGAGAACATTCCACCCGGTAAGGACATATTGTCTACGATGATGCTAAACCTACACGACTTCCATCTTCATTATTGCGCTCTGGGGCGTACTGTTCAGATTGTTACTTGTAAGACGTGATCACCAGCGGCAAAATCTTGAAGCGACGTAGAAGAACAACTGCCAATAACCTATTGCACAATGCTATCCTGAAGGCTAACTGGATACACAGTGTTATATATCTGTGCAAACATCCATGTTCCTGTTGTATCCTTTCCTTTTCGAATATGTCTGTTCCTTCTGTAGGACTGAGCAAGCTCCCAGATGGCAATAATGCAGCTGTGTGCCTCCCGTTGCCAAAAAACGACTCGTACATCGCATTCCAAGCAGTATGGTACAATTTCAGATGCAAAACAAACATGGCCAAGTGCCCATCCATCGAATAGCATCGCTTCCTCAAGGTCAGCCACTTGGCCAGCTCCTCCTTGCCGTGGCAGATGAAGCTTGGTGGCATGATAAGAATGGTAATCTTGATGTTAACGAAAGTGGGAAGAATGTATTAGGCCCAAAAAGAGTTGGTCCATCAGGCGCCTCATTAAAGCCGTGAATTAAAGGTATTGCCGCGAGCTTCGAGCCTTGATGATAAATGTCGATGTTGAAAAAAATGTGTCATGCCCCCAGCCAATCCAAACCATAAAAAAAGCGCCATTGAACAGAAGTGTTGACAACCCAATCGCATGCCAGCGATGCCCAAGCAATCAAATAGTATTCTTGTTTTCTCATTGTGGATTGTGTATCATGTGCTCCTTATGCCGAAATCAAACAATTCATATGCAAATGCTCAAGGTAAGTTTACTGTGCTTTCGCCTCTGCCCTTGCCTTCTTCTCGCTGGGCTTGTTGGTTTTTGAGCCCTTGTACTTGGTGTCCAGAAGAGAATCCCAGAATGTGAAGAAAGGTTGAGCAAAATTGGTCTTGATACCATAGTGCTGGTGGTGGATGTCGTGGTACTCGGCGTTGTTGCTGGTAACGAGCTGAAGAGGATCCCATGGGAAAGCGTACCCGCAGTGGTCGTCGACAGTCTTAATTGTGGACATGGAGAAGAACAAAATGCCCTGGCGGAGTGTCATACGGGTGACCTTGAATGCGATGGCGGCACCAAGGGTATCGAGAAGGAAACCCTCAACGGGGTGGTTGTAGAGAGCACCATAGGCGTAAGGCACATAGAGACGGTGGTGGCGGGAGTGGAAGTGAGCTGTCAACTAAAGTTAGCTTTCACGAAACTCAATTGATAGCTGGCGACGGTCCGCCTGCGAGAAACTTACCATACAGCCACTTGTTGACATGCATCAATCGATGGAGGAAGTACTGCCAGGTATCGATGATGGCGGCGCCGATAAAGTACTGAATGGCAGGGATCATGAAATAGTAAATAGCCTTGGCCAAAGCCATCTCCCAAGACGCGAAAGCGGGCTCCGAGTTCGCGTTTACGAGAGAAGGGTAGTAACCACCAGCGATAGCCCCGGCCAGCAGGGGGTGAGAGTCGAGGAGACCCTTTGAAATAGCGGTAGCATTGAGACCGACAAGACCGAGTAGAGTTGGAAGAGCTCTTTGGGCGATACGGATGCGAGTAGCCCAAACAGCGACGTCATACTCACCCTTGCCTATCATCTCGGCGGGCTCGGACAAGGCAAGGAGGGCGCCGGTGACGACCTGGATGACCTGCTGCAGAATGACATCGCGGGCGACTTCATAGCGGGAGACGTGGTTGCGCTTGGTGATTTCTTCGGGCGTGTGGAGTCGGTACTGGGGGAACAAATCGAGGACGTCGATGGCGTGGAATGTGAGAGACAGCACCCAGTAGACGATGACAGGGAGTAACAGATTAAGCCAAAAGTCGGAGACCCAGGACAAGAGATCAGGCTGGACTTCGAGGCTGAATACAGGCAGCGGCGGTAGAGCAGTTTCGAAGAGTGTGTGGTTGAACGATGAGCCGGGCGCTGCCATTGCGGAACCGTCGGCGAGGATGGAGCTGTCGTTGCCCATGACGGGTTGAAATTAAGTTGGATGTGCTATACTTTGATGCGTCGCGAGTATAAGTATAAATTTAGGTGACTGAGGATTGGACCAAGGAGTGAAGAGGACGGTAAAGTTGAGCGCAAGCCGCACAACTGTAAAAACGTACGAGCGACAAAAAAACAATTATTTAGGTAACTTAACAGTGAGTCTCTTTTCAACAAATGAGGGTCAGGAGGATACAAGGAATTGAAGAAAAAGGGAGTGTCAAGCGATCGATGGCAAAGATCAAGTTATTAAGACCCGACTAACCTGGGGAGGAACAGGAAGATTAGATTAAGGCGGGCGCGTCCGTCCAATCGCTCGCGCCGCTGGGGCCTCTAAAGTGGCAACCCACCTCAGGTACACGCGAAAAATACGTTAGTGATCACTGTGATCAGTCATGATACAGTACATTTTGCCCGGGAGCTTCGGAGTCAATCAACTGTGCGACCGACCCTCTAAAAAGTCCATTTAATTATTCGGAGCCCGTGATACCAAGGGACTACTGTACGGTACGGTACAGTACAGTAATCAATCTCCTTTTGCACACGACATTGCTAAAACCGCATGTCGTTTGATGCGCCATTTCAGGGCCTCTCTCTTTCTCTCCTGAAGAGCAATTCAGATTCCCTGTACGCCCACGTCGCATCATGCATCATGGCACTCCCATCCCACGGACTGGCGGCATCAGGCCACGCGTGTCACTCTAGCAGCACGATTACTGCACAGTCTAATTGCATTGTAAATCACATGTGTTTTAAATAACATCACACAGTATTGTGCTGCCCCAGGGGTTCACTAACTGCACAATAAACTCGGAAAACGTACGAATGTCTCCCTACCAATTTATGTCAGTGCTGTATCGCCTGTTTATGCCTTGGGTCCAAGCCAAGCCTCACAAAGCCTGTTGTGGCTCATGCCATGGAAACGTCACCAACAGGTCATATGTCTGCTGTCGTTGGTTATTCACAAACCCCAAACCTTGGACTCGAATAGATCAGGGGTATGGCCTTAGATGGTGTCAGCTGTGTTTGTAGTCAATTATATTCTTTGACACCGAAGCAATCTCAGTCCGTGTATAAATCCGGGGCAAGTTTGACCCCTGACCGACCTTGCCAGGTGTTGAAGATCATAAGTTGACCAAGCCTATGTATTTAATCACCGCGGCTTCCGGACACTGCATGAAAACCTGATATCATTGATCACGGGAAAGGAACACAGAAATAAAGTCTTGAAATTCATACCTACTCTAGATACCTAGAATTCGTAGGGTAGCCGGCACCTAAATTGAAAATTGAAGGCAGCACGACGAGTGAGAGGCTCAGCCTTGGACTGCGTCTGTCGTGTAATTCTATTGGACCATGGTTGACCTATTATATTTCAATCACCAACCTGAACTGATCCAAGTCCAGTCAGTTATTCGTTAGCCGGAGACAGCTCGGGTGGTAGGGTGGTCAGCTTAGGTAGTTTTCGCGTCCTAGCCAGGGGATTTGAACAGTAGCCACCTTCCATTGTTATCAATCGTCCCAGTACTCTTTCATTTAGGGCATCAAGAACACAAAATGCAAAAACACGTGAGTTCATTTGGGTTCACGAATCTCCCTCTTTGCTGCTTATACTTCTGTCTTCATCGAAAGCTTGATAACGAGCTTTCATATGATTTTGGTGCTTGATGGCCCACCTGGAGAACTTGATTGGTTGAGAGCCCACGGTAGCGGAAAAATTTTACAGCGTCTAGATGTGCATTTTCAGTTTGCGTGCCGCTAATGTACTCGAGCCCCCACTACCCCGCCACTGGCCTTTGATTTTTATTATCATCAGGCTCTATTTCTTTTGCTTCGCTCCTCTTTGCTTCGCTCCTCCGCCTCTTTTCTCCTCTCACCATTCTATTCCATCCATCTTCAAACGTCTAACCGACTCATACCGCAATCATGATCATTTACAAGGTGAGTTCTTAGAACACGCTCGTTGCTCTACTGTACTTCCCACGTACAGTAGTACCCCGCCTACCCCGCGCTCGGTTCTGGTATTATTCTCATGACCTGTTGCTGATCATCGCAACTACAGGATATCCTCAACGGTGACGAGCTCATCTCTGACTCCTACGACCTCAAGACGGTCGACAACATCGTCTACGAGGCCGACTGCGCTATGATCGAGGAGGGTGGTGTCACAGTCGGTATGTAACAGCGAATATTCAGCACTTCCAGCTGTTAACCATAGTCCTCGACTGTTTCTAACATTTTCCTTTCAGATATCGGTGCCAATGCTTCCGCTGAGGAGGCTGAAGAAGATCTCGATGATGCGAAGGTCAAGGTCAACAACATCGTCAACTCTTTCCGTCTCCAGAGCACCACCTTCGACAAGAAGAGCTACCTTACTTACCTCAAGGGTATGCATAACCTCAACAAGTAATGCAAATTTGGTTGCTAATGCCGGCTCAGGTTACATGAAGGGTATCGAGAAGGCCCTCACGGAGAAGGGTGCTCCTGAGTCAGAGATCACGGCTTTCAAGACCGGCGCTCAGAAGTATGTAAAGGAGAAGCTCCTCCCCAACTTCAAGGATTTCGAGTTCTACACCGGCGAGTCCATGGACCCCGATGGAATGTAAGTTTTCTCGTTACTCAACTTTGCGCGCCTATGGATTATGGGTTGCTAACAAGCCGATAGGGTCGTCCTCCTTAACTACCGTGAGGATGGTGTCACCCCCTACACCATCTTCTGGAAGCACGGTCTCACTGAGATGAAGGTCTAAGCTGGCAAAAATGCCACGGTGATGTTTTAGGTTCTGTTCAGTCCCATCCGCAATAACAGGCGGGCGAGCAGTTATTTAGATTACGAGCCACACGAACCTCGATCTCGACGCTTGGTATATTCCTCGAGATGTAGCGATGAGACGGAATTAAAAAAAAAGAAAGAAGTTATGAGTTCCATCTGAGTCATTCTGTCGCGGTTTTTTTTGTTTTTTTGTTTTTTTGTGCAGTGATTATGTGTTGTTCAAGATAACATTGATGGTTTGAACTCCGTACGCGCCCAGCAATGTAATTTCCCTAAATAATCCGTGTCCTGGGACTTAGAATTGCGGTCTTGTTGCCATGGGGATCGGCGGCGGTTCATCATCAGCGGGAGGAGCTTGCGCACTCATGAGGGCCGGCTTCTTCTTTGGCGGGGGCGGAGGCGGCTTCTTCTTTCCAGCCACGCTTGCTAGGCCTGTAGATGGAACTCCAGCACCCTGATCCTGATTCTGACCCTGACCCTGAGCACCCTGGACTTTGGCGTAGGAGTTCTGGGCCTTGTCCAAAAGACCGTATTTTTGGTTGAGATTATTTGCTGCCTTGGCCCCAGCAGCGACTTGTTCGCCGTGACGCTGACGGAAATTATTGGCTGTGCTGGCGGCTGCTCGGGCATCTGAAAACGAGACCGAAGAAGGATCCTTTTGGAACGATGAGGCAGTCTTGAAAGCGGCTTGCTTCTGGGCCCACGTTGTCCCCTCGCTGGGAGGTGGAGTTGCTGCTGCGTTGGCGTTGGATGAAGGCGTCCCGAGCTTGGAGAATCGGTTCTGCAGTTCACTCATATGTGACGGAGTCTCCGTCGGAGGGGCTGAAGCGACACCGGGACGTGGAGGCGGGGGAGGACTTGGAGATGCAGCAGCTGCAGGACTGGAGCGACCAATGCCGAAGCCAGGAACATTGATGCCTGCAGCACCAAGGCGGTTCGCTGCTCCTTGATTCAAGAGTCCATTCCCAGTGGGGGCTGGACTAGCAGCGGGTGAGCTCCCTACTGTGCTCGCTGAGTTGGTCCTTGGGGGAAGACGTGGTGGTAGACTAGGAGGTGCGGCTCTGCCTCCTCCTACGCCAGTCATGGCGGACTGGTATGATGGCGGCTGTGGTGAACGTCCATCAGCGCCGTCTCTTCTTCCAGGCGGCTTGGGCAGGTTATCCGTTGACAGTCCCGTAGTGTCTGTACGATATGGACCGCGTGGTTGTGGTGGTTCCTCTATTTGTTCTTGGGACTCGCCATATGGGTCCTGATATCTCGACGGAGCGGCACCGACCTTTCGGGTTGCTGATGAGTCGGTCCTAGGAGCTGCTGGAATGAGACCCGAACCAGTACGCTTAGGAGGTGGAGCAAAGCTTGAGGGATCCTTTAGCTGTGACACAGGAACAGAGACATGGTTACTTCTGTCCCTATCATCGGCCTTGTCTCCTCTCCCAACAAGACCCTTCTGCAGCAACCGTTAGCTTCTAACTTAATAGTCGGTAAGAAGAGGGAATTGCTTACAACTTGGCCTTTGAAAGTAGTACCCGACTTTTCAGGGTGCCACCCATTTTTCATGATATCTTTGTATTTAGACATGGTGAAAGCTTAGGGAAGGAGACTGGATTTTATTCCAGGAAATGAAGGAGTGAAGTTGGAATAGACGAGGTGCTGGAGGTCTACTTAAGTTGGGCCTAAATTGACTGGGTAGACTACGGGAGAGTGACGCGCAGCCAAGCCACTGAAGATTGAGCAAGCCACAAGCTAGCGGGGTTAGTCCCCGACGGTTGACAGTTGATAGATTGTGCTGACGCCTGAATCGCAAGGCGTCGACGCTGATTTGTTTGTCCATCATGATGTCGTTACGCAGTCAATCAGGAAAGATTGTGGTAGGATCGTGGTCGGAGAGTTTATTGCTTGGGTGTAGTTGTTCAACTAAATGATTGTGCCTAATTCGCTCATGTTTCAACGTTGTGCGACTCGAGGATTGATTTTCTAGAATTGCCTACTCTCAAAATACATGAGTCGACCAATTCTCATTTACGCGATTAGACGCGTCTAACCGTTAAACTGCTTCTTCCCCCACAACCTCACTTATCCGATTGCCATACAATACTTCAAAGATGGCAGCGCAGCAGAACTCAGACTATGAGCTCCTAACAGAGCACTTTGGCTATCCTCCAGTCGTATGTCACTTCTCATTAGGTTTAGCATGACTAGCCACTAATTCTCTTCCAGTCCCTCCTCGACGACATCATCAACACCGTCAACGTCCTTGCCGACCGCGCTCTAGACTCAGTTGAACGTCTTCTCCTTTCCATCCCGCCGCAAGCGCTCGGCTTTTCCAACAAACATGCACCCAAAGATGGAACTCCCGCATTACCGCCAGACGAAGCGGCCAAACTCGAGATCGAGCATGGCACACACCAGCTTGAGACACTGCTCAACGCGTCTATTGACAAGAACTTCGATTTATTCGAACTATACACAATGAGGAATATCTTGACAGTGCGACCCGACGACCAGCCATTTATGCGTCTGGCGCATTATGAGGGTCTTGATTTTGCAGGGTTAGAACGACAGGATCGTCCAACAGCTGAATCGGTAACTGCGCTACGGAGGAGGTTACATGCTAGCCAGCGACTGCATACTGCACTTGAAGCCGAACGGGCACGAAATGATGCGCTGCTCGACAAGTTACGATCTTTACTTGGCACTGTGCCCGATGTCAAGGCAGAAGAAGGACAGGCTACACCAGAACCTGCACCAGACGGCTCAGCGTTTGGATTCCTGCGCGACAAGGAAAGCCTCCAGAATGCTGGAACCGACAAGCCCATTGCTACCACAACGGAGTTTACCCTTTCTCAATTACAAGCTCTTCGCGCTCTGTCGACATCGTTACGCACACTGCTTCCTGATCTTGGCCCTACTGATGCAGATACCTCGGACAATGCTGTTAGTGGCGCACGTACTTGGAGACGTGAGCGTGTAGAGTATGTCGAGGGTGCGTCACGGAAGTATCTCGAGACAGCGAGAGGATTGGAGCTTGGAGATCAGGGTGAGGTGCGCGATGGCGAGTGGCAGGGTGAGGGCCGTAAGATAACAAGAGGTGATGTTGAGGGATTGGAGCAGGTAGCCTCTATGCTAGGACAGAAAGCAACGACGACAGGGGAGCCTTCGGGTGATGGAGAGCCAATGGATGAATCATGAGTTAAACTACATGGGGTTGAGTCGGCATTCTCGAGGGGCGGCAAGGCGTAATAGGAAAATGGTTATATCATGCTTGAACAATTTTGGAATCTTATAAATATACAAAGACGTGCTTGAAGGCACAGTAAACACCTCATCTATACAGCGAGGAATCAAGACCTCTATTACACTCTAGTGATTTCGCATATTGGTACATTTTTATTCATCCAGGCTGGTTCATTTATTCCTCGGCTATCCGCGAGAGAACTGCTTCAGCTTTTGACCGTCTACCAAGCCGTTGTGCTGAGCCAGGTACCAGAAATGGTGTCTCCAATATCTTTGGTTCGCACCCTTGTGCTCCTTGTCGTGAAGTTTATGCTTAAGCACGACATCCACAACCCTCTGGGCAGACTCCATGTCTCGATGCCCGAGGAGCGCTTGCATCAGCTCAGTAAGACACGAAAGTGACGTGACAGGACGACCCGAGGTAGCAAGGTCATCAAATATAGCCATGGCTGCCTGTATATTGCCGCTAATGGCATAGGCAGTTGTAACACGCTCCCAGAGCGTTTGATCGCCGGTGGACACTGATGTCAGATTGTTCTCCTTGAGCAAAGAGCGGACCTTGTTGATATCCGGAGGGTTATGACGAAGAGCACGCTCAATGAGGATTGTGATCATGTGTGGGGTGAGAACGGAACCAAAACCGCTTTGACGCATGTGCTGCTGCAGAGCAGAAATGACATCGTCAGAGCAGTTAGGAAGACCATCTAGGGCATATAGCATCTTGCCGTATGTTTCGAGATTGGGTTTGAGACCAGCCTGCTCGATATCGCTGAAGACAGACTTTATAGCAGTAACCTGCTCCTCAGCGCTGGCATCTTGCATGCTGCCGATGACAGCTTCGAGAAGAATGGTAAATGTCGCAGAATCAGTCTCGATGCCGTGCTGCTGCATGGAGCGCAGAAGCTGCTCGACCTCATCACGGTGACCCAGACGAAGAGTCTCGCGGATAAGGATGTTGTAGGTACGAGTATTGGGTTCAAGACCTTGCTTTGCAGCCCATCCAAGCAGTTCGTGTGCTGCTTTCGGATCTGTGTGTAACAGACCCTTGAAAGCAGCGTTGATAGTCTCTATGCTAGGCTCCACGGCCTGATCAGTGTTTCCTTTCTTGACTGCTCGCTTCCAATCCTCTACTAGTTCTGAGAGTGCCTCGAGGCCTTTTTGATGCTGCCCAAGTTCAATAAGAGCTGAGACACGCTCAGTCCAGATGAAACTGTCTAGTTTCGTACCGGACTTCACCAGTTGGTCCCAGAGCATTTCGATCTTGGCAATGTCCTTGCACATCTTCCATCCATGCATCATACTCGTGTACGTTCTGACTGTAGGCTCAAGCTCAAGTGACTTCATCAGGTTCATAGTTTCTTGTACCCGGGCGGGGCGACGAATTGCGCACCAAACGAACACCCAGAAATCAAGATAATCTGGGTCTTGTGCTAGCTCAGCCCTGAAAGCTGGACTGTCTTGCAGTTTCGTTGTCATTTCGTACCATATAGAGCCGATAGCGCCTTTGTCGCGCCCCCTATAGGCTGTTCGCAGCTGCTTGTGGAAATTGTTCAGAGTCCTGTGGGCCTCAGGGTCGTGGTGAATCTGCTTCGTCCCTCGCATCTCGCTGATTGCCTTCACCGCTGTCGGCCACTGATTCAAAACATATTCTTGGAGCTCCGTCAGTCTTGCAGAAGGGACGGAAGAAGGCCTCGAGAACATGGCCTCAACATCAGCCTGCGTGATTCTGAATTTTGATAGCACGGCCTTAACGAGGAAAAATAGGGGCGACAGCATACTCGTAAAGGCAGCCCCCGCGTATCTTTTATCGGATGAGATAGCTGTAGTAGCCAAGAGCGCAGGAAGAATATCCTGTGCTTGCGGAGGTGGAAATTGAAGAAACATGGATGCCAGGGCACGCGCTGCCTGCTCCTTGGGCGACGCATCACTCTTGACGTTCTCAGTATCCTTCAAGACCTCTGTCGCAGAAGGTAGCGCGAATCGTAGAAATTGGCCGACTTCGCTGGGTCTCTTGAGTCGAGAGACATGTTTCCACAAGTTGAGAAGCTCCGTTCTTACCAAAGCGCGGTCCCTTGACAAGTTCTTTACCAGTACGGTCCTGCAACAGATACTCAGGATGAGATCGTTCCTAATGCTGAGATCATAATTCCCAAGGGCAGAGTATTTCTCTGCTACGTCCAGACTGTTGTGGTAATAGCCATTTTCGATCATATAGTCGCGTTGTCTGCGAAGAACTTCAAGTGCGGCCATATAAATTGGTTTGGGGATGTGCCCTTCGAGCGCCTTGATACTTGGCCAGATCTCATCCTGGAAAATCCGATATTGTTTATCCATGGACATTCTTGTCTTCATTAAATTGTTGATTGAATCGACAATCTCAAGTTCGTTCATAATAGGCATTGGCGAAGTGACGGAGGTTGTTGTGTCGCTGGTAGTAGTATCGACGACATCCTTGGGGCTCACAACCTCTTTGAAGAGGGCCAATGCCGGGTCCTCATCGGGTTGTTTCTTCTCTCTAAAAGCGTTGACTCCTTTTCTTTGGCCGTGATATCGTGATCTTTTGTCCATGCTGTTGCTGTTTGGTTGCGACCTTGAAATGTCTGGGGTCTCAGTTGCAGTGGAATAAGAGGCAGCAGCAGCAGCAGCAGCAGCAGCAGCCCCAAGCCGCTTGGCTGAGGCCGAGGCCGGGACTGAAGCTGATCGCAACTGCGATGAGCATCTTGAACAGACTGTACGAGATGCGTTCATCTTTTTGGCAGCTGTAGTTGCAGATGCAGATGCAGTTGTAGATACAGTTGCAATTTGTCGCTCAGTTAACGTGTTGAGGCTTGATTATTTTTAGTGGTCAAGATGGGTATCGGACCAATCATACACCGTCTGTTACAACCCACCTCGGTAAAGTTCGGTGTGCATATTCCCAAGCAAGTCCCTTTGATATGGAAGTCATAACATTTAGTAAATAATAGGTATTGGTATCTGTGGATATTGGTATGTTACTTTAAAACAAGATGCAATCAAATGGTCTCTACTGTTTCGTCTTCAGATCAGTTACAATAAGTTATCGCATGGTGAACCCAATCAATGAATCATGATCGTCATTGTATTGAAATCTCGTCTGTAATTACAAAGAGGCCTTGAACTTGCCGTCAATCTCAACAATCTTCTCTACACTCTTCTTGTAGCCTTCTTCGTTCTTGATCATCTCGACATACGCCGCCACCTTGGGGAACTCGGCCTTCCAAGACTCTCCCTCAAAGGTCCCAAACTTATCAAGTTCAGGCTCAGCAGCAATCAATGGGAAGCTGAGAAGAATATCCGCAGCCGTCAGCGAAGGTCCGCAGATGTAGTCACCGCCTGAGGTAGCCAGATGGCCCTCAATCATCTTCAGGTTGGCATGTAGGTTGGGGAAGATGAACTGGGCAAAGAGCTGGTTGACCAGCAATGTCGAGATAGGCCGGATGAAAAAAGGAACCTTGGGTCCTTTGAGTACTGAATGAAAAGTTAGCAAACGTCACTGTCTCGGATGCCAAAGGTTAAACATACTGCTGACAACAAGAGCCATGACCAGAGGGGGCATGAGAGTACCCTCGCAGTAATGAAGGTAGTACTGATATCTCATCCACATCTCAGTTTCGCCTCCAATCTTTCCTTCCATACCCTCCTTCCATCGCGGGGGAAGCAGCCTCTGGCCTTCAGGCACATTCTCTGTGAGGTACTGGGTGATGAAACCACTCTCAGCCAAAGTGATAGGCTCAGCGTCTGCCCCGGCACCAGCGGGCGTGATCTGAATCACAGGCGACTTGCCCAGAGGGTGAATCTTTCGGAGCTCTGGAGGGGCGAGGAATGTCTGCTTGTTACGGTGGAAAATCTCCAGCTCATACGGCAACTTGAGCTCCTGGAGCAGCCAGAGGATACGCTGAGAGCGAGACTTCTCGAGCCTGGTATTATTAGTATTGCGATGCTCGGATGTATATAAAAAAAAATGAGAGACCCACCAGAAGAGCTTGACGTTGGGAAGTTCGGATGAAGCCATTGTGAATTATATGGTATATTGATATTGATGGATTTGAGACGGGATAGTTGAATGTAGAATAACTCAACAATGTTTCGGCACCTCGGATTGTCTAACTACCTACTAGTTATATACAGTCGCTTTTTGTAGGCTCGGCCAAGCTTCCCAATGTGGTAGGCCTAACTACGTAGACTGTCGGATGAGTTATGACATCCTTGCGACATGACACGACCATCGTTGGCTGGTGGATGCAGATCGGTTTAGATCCACATATCATATATCACATGTGCCGAGTCTTTCAGCTCGAATCTAGCAAACAGTTTTTATGATTCGTCTCATCTCATACAAACAAAAGGCTCTAAAAGTTCAGCCCTTGATCTAGTCTATGCCACTCCCTGATGCAACCGGTCGCCATGCCATATAGTGTAATGCAATGCAATGTGATAAACCAGCCTCTCTCGGAACCCTTTCTCGATAAAGCAGATATATGAGGACCGAACGCCGTTTGTTCTCCAAGACTCCTCCAGCCTGGCATAATGCCAAAAAATCAACACGCCAAGGCACGCTTGCCTGTTAAAAAAAAAAACCACCAATATTCTTTTGTATGTCTTCGCCACGTCTTTTTGCAATGCAATCAATCCTCCCGTCAAGTAATGTCTCTTATGTGCAAGCCGAATGTCGCCGAACAATAACAGCGCAGCTCTCTTTAACGTCGTCGGGTCTTGGCTGCTGGGGCTGGGGCGTCATTAACAGCCTCGCGCTTTCGAGTCTGCTTTCGAGATCGTGGCGGTGGGGGAGGGTCACTATGCAAGTGTCCCAGTTCCTCAATCGCTGTCGTGTTCTCCCACTGGAGACTGCGATAGTTGCGTGTGTCGGGCGACTTGTCCCGGATACGAGTGCTCATGCGCTTTTGAGTTTCCTCCTTCTTTTCGCCTTCTTCTTCAGCTGCAAGATAGGTCTTGCGACTCTGCATATGCTTGGCAATTTTGTCCTTGAAGCTCAGGAGCTCTTTTCGAAGTTTCAGCTCGTTAAACCCGCGTGGATCTAACCACTTGATAAGTTCATCAACATGTTCAGGCTCCGAGATGTAACCCCATTGATGCGCGTTAAAGACGCTTGTGTTGGCCTCCTCCATGGCCTTTCGTTCAGGTACTGTCATGTTGAACTTTGCCTTATACTCCTCCTGAAGATCAGCAGGCAGGTCAATGTAACCTTCTCGCTCGAGTTCGTCGGGGCCTTGGACCCAAATCAGACCGTTAGCATAGTCTGCTGAGGCTGTTGAGCTATCAGGAAGGCCAGCATACGGCATGCCATTCCTTTCGAACCAATAGTACCGGTTCCAAAAACGATCCTTTCCAAGGACTCGGGTTCGAGGGCAGTCGGCTTCGCGCAGATCGTTTTCGATCACAGCAATTTCATCTTCGCACTTCTTGATGACATCTTCCTTCTTCTGAATGTCCTTCAAGAGTTTGGTGAACTGCTTTGATTGAGCTGGAGGCTTAGGAGTTTTGGCGGCCTTGGCAGCCTTTTCCTTTTCCTTCTTGCGAGCCTGTTCTTCCTCTTGTTTGCGCTGCTTAGCTGTGAGAGGTCGTCGACGCTTTCGGGATGCCGGGTCCTCTTCAGTCTCTTCGCCGTCAGCTTCTCGAGACACGATTGAGTCGTCAGGTTCAGCCATCTTCACATCGCCGTCCTCTTCCTTCGGTGGTGAAGGAGGCATGTTGTCCGGCAACAAGATCTTCTTCTGCTCGTTAAGTTGACGCAAATCCTCGATGCTGTATGAGCTGTCAGTTCAAAGCACTTGACATACATGGTTGAAAACTTACGCTTGCTTGCGCTGTCGCTGAAACTCAATTCGCTCCTTGCGATATGTGGTCATGGTTTCGCTGCAGTCCTCCATATAGCCTCGCATAGCCTTAGTCTCAGTGGTCAGCATGCAGAGGATTTGTAGAGCCTTGACTCGCTGGTTAACGTCGAGCTGAGCATATTGCTGCTTGACGGTTTCTTGAGTAGCATCTGCCCCGGCCGGCGCAAGGAGGTGCAAAAGCTCCTCGCAAACATCGTGTCGGCGTTCATTCTTCGATAGCTGATGCAGAAGACCAACAAGAATTCGCTCCCAGCCACCATTGACAAAGTCTCGCTTTCGAAGATGCTCAATCCAGTCATAGTCTTTCAGAAGCTGTTCGGCGCGATGTTTGGTTTCTTCCTCACTTTCCTTCTCGATAACTGCGGCCTCGGCAGCCAGTCTTTCTGCCTCTGCCTTGGCAAGACTGCTACGAGTGGCTCGTCTTCCTGGCTTGACTTCCGGCTCCGGAGTGGGCAGGGTGCTATCGTCCTCATCTTCCTCCTCGTCGCTGTCTTCTTCGTCGACTTCGGGTAGGTTGATTCGCACCTTGCCACCGTCGGCCTCTGAGTCGACCAAAATCTTGAGAACCGAACAGTGAATCTCATCAATTAGCTGGATTGGCAGTTGCTCCGATGCAACGCAAAGCGCCTCGACATAGTCGTCGAAGGTAAAGGAATCCAACTTAAAAACCTCACAGTACACATTGAGTGTATCCCAAGTCTCGAGCAAAGGCCCAATCGATTCCATGTTGATCTTGTCGGAGAAATCGTTCTGTATCGTGTCGTCGTTTCCGACCTTGACTGGAGGATTTCTGCAGAGGAATTTGAGGGGCGGACGTTTTCTGTCATCTCGAGGCTCAAGTTGCAGGTCTTCAATAGGGTACTTTGGAGGCGGGGGAGGGGGAGGAGGAGGGGTGGGTTCTCGTTGGATAGGTGTCTGGATACCATAGTCTGAAGGAGAGCTGAACGGATTGCCTCCATGAACAGGCATGTTGAGGGGCCATTTGAGACCCTTAGAGCCTGCTCCCTGCTGGCCCGGCTTCACCTTGCTCTTAGGAGCTGGTTTGAGTTCTGGCAGACGGACGGGGCCGGAGTGCAGAGCGGAGGTCAAGTCGTGACCGTTGGTCTCATGGTTCATGTGCGCTCGCTTCTGAGCTTGGAGCTGCTTGCGCTCCATGACTTTGTTGTCGTATCGAAGATGAGGGGGCACACGCGTGTCGATGTGATACTGGCTTGCATACTCATTTTTTACCAACCATGGCGCACCATTCCATGCATCACGAGTGACCGTCTTCTTAATGAAGGACCTGAGCATCGCCTTGGTGAAGATACCGCGGTCTCGGCAGATATGCTCATCCGTTACATTTGTCTCTTCTTCGGAGTCTTTGAGATCCACCAGGTAGCGGGTTGTGGGTAGAGAATGGCTTCCATCAGGAAGAGCGCGTGGGCCGAATGTTGTCTTGTCGCGAACAAGTCCATGAGCACGATCACCTCCCTTCATGGTCACTGTAACCTCTTCACCAGGGTAGTAGTCATGCTTAAACTCGTCGTAGATTTGATCGACGAGGTTATCGAGGCGTGAAACGGTCTGAAACTGCACCTTACGCAGTATAGGACCTTTCAATGCCTCTGGAAACGAAGCTTCGACTTCTTTGCCACCCGCAAGCTAAACAATCATGTAAGTCCAGATCGTTGGAATTAAGGTTGGGAGTACAAACCTCACTCTTCAACGCCTCAAAAAAAGTCAAACCGGAATGACCTGTGATTTGATCGTTGAAACGACGCTGTAAGATACGTAAGTAAGGGATACTAAGATGCAAATCAAGCATCATGGCTAACCTGTTTGTAAAAGTCCATGCTAGGAATAGTATAAGTGAATGCACTTAAAATTCAGTGACGAATCAAACTCACCGGTCAAGATAACTCTCATATGAACTGAAAACTTCCCCTGTTTGAGGAATGTGCCAAATCTATCACTGTTCAGTGGTTGCGCAAAACATACAGTCCTTTGCGCGCACGCATACCTCAGTGTTCTCATCTTCAATCTCCGCGGCCGGCAAGAAGCGGACGGGTTTTCGTTTGAAGAGAACCTGGTAAAGTCAAGTTAGTAAAGTGCAGCCGCAGGAGGGGCAAGTGGTGGAAGCGCGTACCATTGTCTAGTATCGCAGATACAAGAGGCGGGATTAGAAGTTCAAAGTAAAGGACTGCAAGGCTGAAGGTGTAGCCTTCCCCCACTAATAAGAAAGTCGGTTCAGTGTGCCGATATGTGGTAGCATGAGCACAAGCAGGAGTAAGAGTCAGAGTAAGAATGTGGTGGAAAACGCGACGGCAGAGAATCGTGCTAGAGTGAAATTTGGCGTCGTTTGTTGCGTGTGCGGATCGAGAAGAGCGAACGCGGGCGCGCAGGTGGGAAATCAAATCGGGGGTGGACTCCTCTTCTCGAGAGTGATGCGATGGGGCCCGAGAGGGTCAGTTCGAGGCGACTTACACGGCTTGAGGCTGATCAAGGTATAAGACGCGAGAAAGAAGCTGTGTAAGTCGGCTTATCCTGGTGGGGAAGAGGAAAGCTGTTGTCGTGATGGGAATCAAGGCGGGAGTAGGAGTGAGGAGAATGATGTAGGTCGGAGAAGAAAAAGAAAGAGCCCAGGAAGGAAAGGAAGGAAGGAAAAGAAGCGGGCTTCCATGGACTGGACGCGACGGGAGTTTAACTAACGGCTTCCTCGCCAGGGTTCCGGGGATAGAGGGTGGGTCACTGAGAGCTGAGAGGTACTTTGGAACGCCACTAGTGTTCCGCCCATGATTCAGTATCTCTCTTGTACAAGTAACATCTACTCCAGTCCCGTACCTTGCGTTTGTTAGTGCACCAGGCCCAGGTTCATGGGCGGCATAGATTGGAGGGGATGGATGGTATCCCGAGCTTTCAGGTGCTCTTAATGACTGCGGCTGCAGCAAGATAGATGATATTGGCCATACTAGATTCTACCTCTTCCTCCAGTAATGATAATACTATATTGTCAGGTAGGTATCTATATAGATCCTTCAATCAATGCTTCGCTGTCAATTCAGTCAGCGCGTCAAAATGTCATGTCCCAGATTTTTTTTAGCTTAGTTCCTCATGGGATCCGCCCAACCCCTGCGGCCCGCCGGCCCTCCTCCTCACGGCCTTAGATCCATCATTCAACTTTGCCCGCCTATAAAACAAGCACAAGTCGACTTTTCACCCACGTTCTTGGGCTCTTCTTATTCCTCGTGAAATTCTGAACACAACAGACTCAGCAAAAGCTATGATATAAGCATGACTGCAAAATTATACTTGATATAGCTCTATCTTGAAAACTCCCCGGAAACTCGGCATACCGTCATCTCGGGACGCCAAGTAAGCTTCTGATACAAACACAACGCACTCTACGCCAAAGAAAACGACAATGAGCAATAGGAGAGCCTCCAATGATAGTATTCCATAAGTATCATGAGGCCACTGTCACCCGCTCCCGCTATAGAAATGCATCATGACATAGAATTCTACAAGTCCTTGTCCTTGATCCGTGTAAGTCATATAGAGATGTCATCTGGGGTGATCACTGTCATGATACATCTCAGCATGGTCAGACCAGCTTGTTCCCGTGTGCAATAATAGTAAAATCTGTTTTAATGCAGTTTCTGACACTGACACAAGTGCTCTGCCAGTTCTCGAGCTAAACCTGGAGTCTCTTCAAGGGGCCTGGAAAGCTCCACATTTCAGATCGCCAGTTTATTCCACCGCCACCTGCCACCTGCTGGGCACTTGTGAGGCTGGAAATACTACGTACTTCAGCATTGTACGGCAGAGTCGAGGACGTGCCCGATATCGCTGACATTGTTAATGCCATGACTCTAACTAAAACAACACAATTGACTTGAGAAGCTTATAAGTGTGTCATGACAGACAATTGATTGCATACCCAAGATTTCCTACACACGAGCCAACAGAATCATCATGAACTACCGAGCGTGATGTGTGCCTGGACAGGTACATTGTATTACTGGTAGTAAGCCTTTTCCACTCTCTTAATATTATACACGGTCTTATTACACTCTCGTAAAGTTGTCGTGCCCCCAGTCATGTTGGGTATCAACGAACTCTGCCAGCATACCAGAAACATCAGAATATGCCTTTAACCAAGTTTCAGGAAGATAGGAAATCTATTTTGGGTATCTTGATAGTTGCTACAGCCTACGCAGTGAAATACACAACCATATATCCCACCCAGCTTCCAACCACACCTATCGCTGAGTACGAGCTCGTAAACATCAGCGGAATAAACTCATAGTTCTTTCCGAATATGAGGTGATGTAGCAGTGAGCAGTACAGAATCAGCGGAATGCTCACAGCAATGTAAAGAGTGCTGAATCGGTCCAAGAGAAAGATTCTGGGTTTGTTGGAGGCAGGGGCAAGGCGATCGAACGCCAAAAGGAATACCACCAGCCAGACAATCGTGTAGATGGTCTTAATAGGAAACTCGGCTGGTGTGAATAGGAGCGGGAAGAGTGAAACATAGCCGGCAACGGCAAGTGGGCGGAAAGCCCCGAGATGCCGCCTGTCCCGAAGGGCAATGAGACTGAACGGGATAATGACGAGAAGAATGGCCTTCTCGTGCACATGCCAGCCGAACAGGAAAGAGGAGTATCCACACAAAGTGACAGCTCCAATGAAGGTCTCCCAAGTCGGTTGGAAGAAGAGCTTGATCAGAGGTATGACCTGGAAGAAGAGTGTGAGAACAAAACAGGCTCGTGGACTGATCTCCGGCAATACGGCGAACGCCGTGTCTCCGACCAAGCCACGGGTGACACTCTGCAACGCGCTCTTGTTGACAGCCCATCCGATCCGTGGGGCAACTATACAATGTTAGAGATGCGAAGCTGTGTAACGAAGACGGGACATACCATGAATAAGGATTCGATCCGCAAAAGAATAAAGAGCCCAGACGTTAGGCGCCCAGTAAGCATGGCAAAGGCCACGGGAGAAGGGGAAGAGCCGGCTCAACAGCTGGGGAATTTGACCCATGGCAGCAAATGGACCGAAGGCGGCTCCGAAAATCGTTCCAATGCCGAGACCTAGCTTGATAGAGTTCAAGAATCGAATGCGGAAGATGGATTTGGACGACAGGCAGTATGCCCGTAGGAGATAGACAAAGTAGGCAGGGGCCAAGTATAAGTAGATGTGCTTGAAGCAGAGCAGAGCAGCAAAGATAAGTCCACTGCTCAATAGTTCACTCTTTTCGCGCGCAAGAACAAGAGACATGACGAGGATACCGTACATGAAGCCATTGTACTGGAAGTGGATATGATCAATGATGAGGAGTCCTGGCGAAAGAATAATCGATAGAGCGGCGGTCTGAGCAGCCCGGCGAGACTTGAGAGGCGCTGAGTCGATAAAGGTCTGCAGCGCCCAGACCAGAACCAACTCGGTAATGATGACAGAAGTTCGTTGGAAGTAGATGGTCTGCCAGCTATCGTAGTCGAGGTTGTAGACTTTAACCATGAGAGGATCCACGAGACGAGCGACATGGGCGAGAATCCATTCGAAGTAGGCGAAGAAAGGCGGATAATCCAGAGTCCATTCCGACGTCTTCTCGACGTACCATTTCTCCAGAGGCAGACTGTTTGTGATGGCGAGCCAATTGCGATGAACCTCAAAGTCGGTGGATTTGCTGCGGATGGCGATTAGCGACGCGACAGATAAATCGGGCATGATGGACTCACTATGCGGGGAACAAGAGAATCTTGAAGGCAGCAGCGACAAGCGCAGTCTGCGCAAGTGTCGGGTAATGCTCACTCATGATGCGCGGTGACGGATTGTGTTGTCGCTGAGCTGTAGCTACCTCATATCATGCATGGCCTTGGGATTGCGTGCGCTTAGATACAAGTCATGAGGAGATGAAATGTAGATAGATGGATGGAGATTGGCTCGTGTTCTTTTTGGCGACCTAACCAAATGGATGGAGGTTGAGCTCAGGTCCCCACTATAGTCTATGATATACCTACCCTGGGAATTGGCAGTTTGAGAGCTTGCAGGGGTTGGGGGTGTAATAGGTTTCCAATTCCTGTATTGAGTTTAGGAGCCAGTGTATAGCATCAATACAGACTTCAAGTTACTATTTAGTAGCGAATTACAACACTCAGTCTCTAGAAGATTCTGAAAGGGGCTTTCGTTAATTGAACCTATCAAGCTACCGACGGCCCGAGCTCTCGTCACCCAGCTTCTCAATACCCAAATCCACCAATCATGGTCTCTATCGGGCTTCCCCAAGCCACGTCGCTGTAGTTGAATAACGCCACAGAACCCCTAAGGCTGAGCGAAATGGTTCGCATGTGGCTTCATCAACCTCATGAGACCCTTTTCTTTCCCCTGACTCTCTGGACTTGACGGTCGATTCTTGGTATTATTGTTTCTTTCTTGGATACTATTGCTCTCATCTGCCTGTCTCGCTGTTTTTGTCTTGTCAAAGCCAGCAATTGTCGATTCTTCAACCAACCTTTTGTATCACCCCGCTCTTAGAACACCAACTTCAGTTTTGGAGCTGCACGCTGCTTCCAGGGGCTGGATAGTGCAAAGTGTCCTCAGCCTTGCCTCCACCAACTCGGCTTGTACCTTTTACTTTCCGAGCTTCTTTGCACGACTCGCTCCTTGGGAAAAATAGAAGCGATATTTCAGGTGTCGAGTTTGTGGTTGATTACTTGATACATCTCTGTTTTTGTTCGTTTCTTTGTCCATTGGAGCTATTGTACTGTACCTATCATGAAGGTCTCATTCTCTTTGGCTGCGCTGCTGGCAGCAAGCCTGTCGCAGGCCCAATACCTCATCAGCGAGCTTAGTTTTGGTCATGCTGGAAGGTTTGTTCTGAACTCTATGCTATCATGATGGCTCTACACAGAAAACATTGTTAACCCGTCTTCCGCCTGTAGGATAAGTCCTGCCGAGGCTCGTGGACAGATTCCCAACTTCGCCGTCCAGGGCAACCCAAACACTCCCGAGGTTCTCTCCAACCGAATTATCCTCACTCCTCTCGCTCCCGGTAACCAGCGCGGTGCCGTTTGGGGCCAGCAACCTCTGCTCCGAACCCAATGGATCGCCGACGTCGACTTCCGAGCCAATGGCCCCGATCGCGGCCGTGGTAACCTCAACATCTGGCTTGTTCGCAACGGTCCTGCTACGATTGGCGCTGGAAGCATCTACACTGTCGGCAAGTTCGACGGTCTCGCTCTGGTTATCGACACATCTGGCGGTTCGAGCGGTATGGTTCGCGCTTTCTTGAACGACGGCAGCACCGATTACGCCAGACAGAACAACGTCGATGAGCTGTCGTTCGGCCACTGCCAATACAACTACCGCAACCTTGGTCGACCTTCTCAGGTCAAGCTTCGACAGACCGCCAAGTCATTCCGCGTGGAGTTGGACGGCAAGCTCTGCTTTGAGTCTGATAAGATCAGCATTCCTACCGGTTACCAGTTTGGTGTCACTGCTGCCACTCCTGATAACCCTGACTCGTTCGAGGTTTTCAAGATGGTTGTCATGGCTGACAACAGCGACAGTGGTGCTGTTCGTAACGATCCTCCCAAGCAGCAGAACCAACAGAACCAACAGAACCACCAGCAGCAGCAGCAACAACAACAACAACAACAAAACCAGAACCAGAACCAGGCCCGTGGTCAACCCGCCCAGGCCAACTCCAACAAGAACGCCAGGAACGATGGCGAGTACGCAGACGAAGATCCCGATATCTTCCAGACCTCCAAAGCCCAATTCATGGACCTTCACAACCGCCTGCAGAACACCAACCACCAGCTCTCATCTCTACAGCGCACCTCCTCCCGCCACCAGCAGCAGGACGAGAAGCGACACGATGATTTGACTTCCTTGATCGGTCAGCTCCGTGCCGATATGCGCAAGCTTGACGATATCACCGCTCTCCAGTCCCGTATTGTGGAGCTTGAGAAGGATATCCAGGGTCTCCGAAAGGAGCTCACCCGCAAGCTACAATCCACTGAGCGCACCTTCAAGAGCACCCTCAACGACCACCACAGCACCCTGTCAGAGGTTGTCATGTCCAAAACCCCTGGTCACAAGTTCCTCATCTTCTCCATCATTGGCACTCAGTGCCTTCTTGTCGCTGCTTATATCGTGTATAAGAGACGGCGAGCATCCATGCCCAAGAAGTACTTGTAAGAAAGATATAAGAAAGTCAAGAGGAGGGCATCAAGGGGCAAGGGGTTGTTCTGTATCTATCGAGATGGGATTTGGTGACTAGACGCCCTTTGTGTTGTGTCGCTGCGGTTGTAAATTACCTTCGATGCATGAACCGTACGTATATGGGAGGGTCTTGGTGTTTTTGAAAATCAATGAGCATAAATATAAAAGTCATAATTCAAAATCCAACGACTAAACTGACAGATAACTTGTGTATATACTAACCATCCTCAGCGTAGAGCTCCAATGCTCGGCATTATTAAACCAGCCCTGCAGGGCAACAATCCAAACCATCCATCTATATCATTAAAACGCATTCGCTTATCCATATGAAACTCGCTCTCATGAATAGCCAAGTGCTAGCAAATTCGTCAAATCTTCTCAAAGCTACCGTTGATCACGTCAAGCATCTCATCGCCCTTGGGTGCTCCAGAGGTCAAGTTCTCATAACCTCCATGTGTCACAAGGATATCGTCCTCAATACGTACGCCGCCGACGGGATAGTATGTCTCAAGAAGGTCACGATTGATGAACTTGGCATGTGTCGGATTGTTCAGGAAGTATCCCTCAATGAAAGGACGGCAGAAGTAACTTGAGCACGTCAGTATCAGTTCGTTAAAGTGCGGATATTCGAGTACTTACATTCCTGGCTCAATGGTAACAATCATGTTGGGTTGGAGAGCTTGTCTAGGCTTGGTAGGGCCCGGGGCTGAAGCCATGCGGTGCATAGCTACCAGAGCTGTAGCTGTCACCATTTCACGCTTCCCACCCTCGACGTGGAAGTTGTCCCGCATTAAGAGGCGCTCATCGCCAGTGACATCATGAACCTCCAGACCAATATGGTGGCCCAGACCGTGAGGGAAGAAAGCTGCGACAGTACCGGCCTTTTGGATTTCATCAAAGCTACCTCGGAGGAGACCCAGCTTGCGTAGACCCTGAAGACCCACGTCGCTAGCATGAAGCTGAAGTTCGTAGTAGATAGTGCCAGGCCGGACGCGTGCTATACACTCCTCTTGCATGCGCTGTACAATAGAGTAGATAGCGGAAGCTTCCTTAGAGAAGGATCCACTGATGGGAAGGGTGCGAGTAATGTCGCTAGCATAACATTGGTATTCGCACCCGGCGTCGACAACAATGAGTTGCTTTCCCTCCAGGGGCTGATCATTGGATTCGTAGTGCAGGATGGACGCATTAACACCAGCACCAGCGATGATTGGGTACGCCTGAGCGTGAGCGCCGCGTGAAGTACAGGCTGCGAGAAGAACGGCTGCGACATCCTGCTCATTCCGCATAGTTAGAAGACGTTCAGTCACGGCACGATGGGCGGCTGCTGAGATGCGTGCAGCGCGACGAATGAGCGCAACTTCGTATTCCGTCTTGATCACACGGGCTTGGTCCATGGCAGGGCGCAACTTGGAGCAGTTGATCTTTGTCTGTCCTCGAGGCCGATCATGAAGTTTCGGAGCCTGGTCTGTATGAATGACATAAAGGGTCTTCTCGGGGCGGAGCTGGCTGTGAAGAAACTTTTGTAGCTGAGCAGTGTATCTGACATCGTCAACATCGTACTTTCGCATGGCCTCTGCTGCGTCTGGAGTTGGGCCATGATATAAGACCTGGCGCGGCTCAGCGTAGGGAATCCAGAGGATGAGACGATCCGTAGCGATGTCATAAGTGAGAACACAGTCTGGAAAGTTGGCGCCACTCATATAGTAGAAACTGGGATTTTGTTAGTGAAACATCTGCATTAGATGGCGGATGACGAACTATCTTCGTTGCTTGAAAGGAGGTGACTGGTCTGAATCTTCGTAGAGCCGTGTAGGCTCACCAGGGAGATAGATGAGGCCATCAGTAACGCCAAGCTCTTTGACAACCTTGCGCGCATGAAGCTTTGCTACATAAATCGTCAACTATTTGTTTACTTTTGCAAGCGTTAGTTCTCAACGTACCAGGATACTTGTTACCGCTGCTGCTTTTACCGCTAGAGTCGCCGTCGTTCCTCTTCACCTCAACACACCTGACTCACAACTCTAATTAATAATTTGATCTCATTACTCAGACTTCCTGGTGAGCGGGATGTCACTTACAGCGCGTCAAACTCATCCTCAAGGACAAACTCATAGCTGACCGAGGTCCTTTCACGTGTTTGAGGCCTTTCCTCCCCGCAAATGGGTTTTGGCGGCGTTATCGGCGGTGCCATCTGCGGCCACTATAAACGAAGGAATCTGACTCGTTGGAGAATTAAACAAAACGAAGGAGCCTAATCAAAAGAAAGGCCGAAATAATAGAGATTGGTTTAGAGAAGCGCAGTTAGGAATAAACGATGCTTTTTGTGAGAGACGGCTTTTTCATGTGATAACAGGTACACAAAGACGGGCACTAAATACTAAGCTGACCTCAGCGTATCGCAGCGCTGCGATAACGCCCTACAAGCCCAACTGTACTCATTCATCAATTTCATGACGCAACCAGGTCAATAAAAACGACGTTTTAGTCTGTGATGGATTTGTTGGGGACAATTCATTATCTAGCCGTGCAAACTTGTAACTACTAGGATGCTTTCCTAGTTCTGTTCACAGGGCTATTGTATCTTCAAATCAAACACTATCTGACTCGTCTTCATCTCACCAGTGTAACAACCACTACGCGTGCTAAATATAACTGGCCTCTGGGGTGTTTGAAGTAGTCGCCTTATGGCATATCTCATTCATTAAATCTATACTGAACTGGGTACAATGCAGTGTAGGAACTATCTTCCCGGACTACTACATCTCCTAGCCAGCTTCTTCCACCACCAAACTCACAGCCACATCAGAGGACAATCCAATCATTGCCTGTATATACACCAGATTCAACCACCGTCTATGTGCAATGGCCATATCTCTAAGGATGCGCGCATCCCCTATCCGTCTCAAACCAAGGTATCCTAGGACCCTGAATAATCCAAACACTCCATTCCAAATCATAATCGCTCTTCCCAAGAAATCAAAATCAAAATCACTAGCCGACGCCTCGCGCGCTTTCCGTCCTCCCGTATCATAAATGGGTATCAAATGTAGCGACCGTTACATTCCTTGGAATCCTCCTCTTCCTGAACCAAAGAAGCCTCCCCAATCCGCCTGCATTCCCTGTTCTGTAAACATTTGTTGTATTTGCCTTTCTTGGTGCTGCTGTCTGTGTGCTCGTCGATGCGCCATGGAGTGTCCCTGGTGGACAGCGTGTGTCTGTGAGACCGGCCGTCTTTGTTGCATCATCGGTTGGGATTGGTTGGGCTGCATTGTCATGAGGTTTGCTGGATTGGCATACATGGGCTGAGGCGACACGCCCATCATGCCCTGGCCTTGTTGATGCATCATGTAAGGTGGTGGTTGCCCAAAGATCTGGCTCTCCACGTCGTCAAACGTTCCAGTCAAGAAGAGTTGCATGTCCTGGCTCTGATCGCCTACACTGGTACCTGGATCTGTCTTGCCGGGGAACCCAAGTTCCATCATAGGTTGGTTAGGGTAGGCGAATGGATCCTCCGAAGGGAACATGAGCGAGTCAAGCTTGTTAACGGGGTTATGCATGCCCATGGGCTGGCCTCCATAGGACATTCGTTGAGCACTTGTTGCTGTGCTGGCGGTCGATTCTGGAGTGCTACGTTGCATATCAGGGGTCATAAAGTCGCCGAAGTTGGCAGCGAAGCTGTTGTCCTGGAATGCGGCGATGCCTCCTCCTTGCATGTCCATGGTACCTTGTGACATGGTTGTGGGATATGTACTCGTTGAGACCTGGCTTGCGCGTGTGAAATCGGCAGTTCCAAGCGACGACATGCTTGCAGGAATAGGGGCATTGTGCGAAGAGCCGGAAGAAGAACGTCCTGTGGGGGCCGATCTCTTCTTCGAAGGTGCTTGACGTATAGAGCCGGCATCGAGTTGCTCTGGCAATTGATCGAAGAGCGCCTGTTTTATCATGTCAATAATAAGCGCTAAATACCAGGAAGTGGTGGAATCTTACCGTAAGAGCACCAGTAACTCGCTCTGCCGACATGCTCTTTTCCGACAGCGCTGCTATCATATCCCTTCCAGCTCTAGCATCCGCGAGAACTTCGCCAGATCCAGGTTTCTCGGGGTTTTCTGTAGCATAAAAGACGAGCGAAAGTACAGCAAAGAACTCAGTATACAGCATGAACCAGTACGGCCCACTGAGCACCCGTTGCTTACGGATCTCGAGTCCAATATGTACGATGTTACGAGAGACGCTGATTGCCGCCGCTGCGCATGCATATGAAAGTTCGTCGACCTTGGTACCTTGGCTAAGGCGAGGGGATACATAATGCAGGAAGGGTCTGTATAGAACAAGTTGCACATGCGCATAAGCAAATCTCAGTAAGTGGCGGATTCTGAGCATACTATTAGTATTGTCACGTTCAGGTTTGTGCTCATTTTACTTACCTGACAGTCTCAATTGGGCCCTCACCGCTCGGACGCCAGTGTTGGGGTAGCCTTTCAAACCAAGAATGGAGCTCAGCCTCAATTTCTTTAATGCGGCCATAGCTAATCAGATAGGTAGAGGCGGGCTTGTTGTCCTTGGTGAGGCTCTGGCCCAATCCCTTAGTTGGGTAGACATATTTTGTAACCTTGGACAGGATTTCCATTAATTCCGAGTGGGCATTGAATGCCTGGAAAAATGATGGCGCTCCAGGAGGAGGTCGTAGAATACCGTTGTGTGTGATGAACTCGTCGTCGACTTCTAAAGGAAATGGTTGATCAATGTCGTCCACATTGAGAAGGAGAGGGAAACCAAGCAACGTTGATACATAGATATCCATCTGTCGAACCACATAGAAAACACGCTTCCGGACTTCCTGTTCGATTGGGTCGATCTTTTCGTGCTGCAGATGTCGATGGAGACCTATTCGGAGTGATGAGCGCAGTGCAATACCAACAAAGGAATAGCAGCTGCTAAGATTTGAGGTCGCTTGGAGGAAGAGGATGATGAACAGAAGAGCTTGTAACGATATAAGATCTCGACAATCTGTAACGTCGTGTAAAACGGACCGGGCGGCGTTGTAATATTTGAGACCTTCCTCTGTCGCATCTTGATATGCCATACTTCTTGGGTCGCTATCGTCCAGGTTGTTGTACATGCAGCCCAGAGCCATAACAGAAAAGAGAAGTCCGAGGTACTGTGTTTCCTCCTTCGATAAATTGTCTAACGGTGTTTCATAGATCTTGTCCATTTGCTCGTAAAAGGTGGGTACGTGAACGATTCGCACGAGACAAGTCGCGCAACTAAGAGAATAGTAGCAAAGCTTTCGGGTGACGTCCTTTGGCGGAAGCTCAGGGTAGCTCGGGGCTACTGAGAAGGGTGTGCCGACTGAAGACAGAGATGGAGAACCGAGGCCGGTCGGTCGTTCCGCACGAGGTAAAAAGGGAGTCTTTGAAGATGGACCAAGCATGCCTCGGAAATGCTCCTTCATGCGTTTCAAGAATACGGCACCAGATGAGATACCATGGAAATCCCAGCTTCCCTTTTCGTCGAGATCGAGTTGACCAACGGAATCAATCATGGACGTAAGATGAGCTTCGTTCGGGTCGGGTTGGCTTGGCGGAGGCTGTCGAATCTTTGAGGCTTGTGAACGAGCATTTTCGCGATTCCGGAATTCCTGTTGAATGGCTGGATCGAGGTTCGGGTCGGCTAAGTCGACGTCGGGCATAAATTTATGAAGCAAAGACTCGGCGCGTTGTAGTCGACTTTCTAATGCCTCAATGTACTGTGGCGCCGGATTTCTTCTTCGATTTGAGGGCTTATCGTATGTGCATTCTGAAGGAAACAGTCAGTCACCGCGCCGAGTTCCAACAAAAGGGTTCGGAAAGCTAAAGGAGACGATTGAACAGTCAATCTTATCGGGGCCGCGTACCGTAGCTGTATACAGAGCAGTGTGTACATGGTTGTTTGCCGTCGCATTTGATCTTTTTCCGTCTGCATTCGTCGCAGGCGCGTGTTACTCGTCGCCGCTTTTGAATTGGTTGTGACGCGCCAGATGGTCCAATTCCGTCCTCATCTAATTCGATGTCGGATTTGATGCTGGCCGATGGCGACGGGGCGTCGTCGTGCCAGTCGTGAGATGACTGGCCGCCGTCGGCGACGACATCGGGTGGCATATCGGGCTTGGTGAAATCAGCAAATGAACAATGATTTGGTTATTGGAGAAAAAATTGGCGACATCAAGGGAACACTGCACGAAGATGAGAGTTTCAGTGCGTCTTGGCAATGCTTAGTGCCCCGTCCACGATTCAGATCGCGCGAATGATGCGAATTCTCGACTGAGGTACAGCGCAACGGTGATGCGAATGAAGAAGCGCGATTGAGGGAGGAGAGTTCGAAGGCTCAACGCTCAAGCAGCCGTCACAACGGCCAAACATCTCACAGGGTGATGCTATAGGCGGTAACTCACCAGTTGGTAGGCTTTTCAGCCACAATGAAATCGAGAGCTAGTTGGGTATTGTTCTAACGAAAACAGGGGAAAAGAAAAGAAGAGAAAAGGAATCGTCTTGGTTTGTTGTTGTTATCGTCGCCGTCGCCGCCGCCGCTATGCGGCAGAAATGAAGAATGAAGCGGGCAGTCAAGTCAAGTCAAAATCGAGAGGGCTATTCGTACAAAATGAATAAGTTGCAGGGTGGCAGGCGTAAGTAGCGAGGCCAGTGGCAGCCCATATCCCAATCGCCCCAAGACTTACAGCCTAGGCCATCAGCGTTCAAAAGACGTCAGATTAAATTGCCGCGGAAAAAGTGGCAGAGTCGAGAATAGAAACAGAGGAGAGTCCAGAATTGAAATGAGATGGTGATGACGGGAAAATCGTTTGGGTGCCGGGCAAACAGAGTGATTAGTACTGTACGGGTTGTACTCTTTCCCTCTCGCTGGACGATAGGTAGCACCAAGTACCGGAGCGCAGGTAGCGTAGTACAGAGCCAGGACCGGACTAGTCTAGACTGAGAGACGAGACTAGACTAAACTAAACTGTTCCAAGTTGCAGGCAGAGGAAAGGGATGGAGACGTGGACGGGGGGAAGTCTGAAGATGAGAGGGACTGAGAGAGTGAGCCCAGGTCCCAGGTTCAGGGCAGCGACGAGATTTCGCGACGGGACCGAGACGGCAGAGCGGGCGGTAGAGGCTAGTCTAGAGCATCCGACACCTGTGACCTAGCACTGCAGCCCTGGGTACCTCCTAACTACAGACTAGACTACGCTGCAGCTTGGAAACTTACGGACGAACGAGAGAGCGAAACGGGATGGGCGAACGAGGGGAGAAGGAAAGCCAATAGGCGGGGCCCAGCAAAAGGACCAGCCAGCCCCCGGGCCCCCAGACGAACGGGCTTTGAGGCTTCGATCGGGTCTTTTTAGGTGCTAAGTTAGGTTGTCGAAGCCAACTTGAACCTAGCATCACTGTGTTATTCAAACAGTGTCGCATGTACCTCGTCTTTTATCGCTCGTGGTTAGTGCAATGACAAAAAAAGAAACAAATTTAGGTAACGTCGACGACACGATAACCGGAGTATGGAGAAATAGAGGTGAGGCCACCGTGTAGCAGAATGCCCAGCTGGAGGCGCATGCTAAGATGTGACCAAGACTCCCAGGCTAACAATCAAGAGTTGCCAGAGGGAAGATGAGACACAAAAGGCTGGGAAATATCGAGTGCCAAGTAATACCAAGGCGAAAACATGTCGAGCCAAGAGTGAAAGCCAAGTAGTAAACGCCAACGGGCGGCCGTTTCTGTGTCATGCCTTTATTCTACCACTCTTTAATTAAGAGAGACAGACACCAAGCCCCATGTTGCCAGAATAATCTTTTCCAAAACGGGTCGAGCGTTTCGTTAAGACAACAGAAGTTTAATACCACTGCACATACCTAAGTGGCTAACATACAGTAGCGTAATTGGAGAGTTTGCGATTAACGTCGTCGAGAGCAGTAAGACTCAGTGCAAGAGCATCCCAGATATGCTTTGAGGCTGCTTCAAGCATTTGGGCTGTTCCTCTCGAATTTGGAATGACAATTGGGATAAGGTTGCGGGGATAGCGATAATGGAATAAGAATGTAAAGTTTAATCAACATTAGGAGTCACTCACATCCATACAATGAGACTTCCCTTTCAGATCTCAGAGGCGGAGGGTATTCATAGTCGAAGGCCTTGAGAATTGATTTTGGGATTGTTCAAAGGAATAGGTACATACAAGCAAAACACTGCAGGATCACTCACACTGTGCTATCCGGGCAACTCAAGAAGGAAATGGGAGATGCCGCAGGGGTGATAAGCCTTCTACGTACCTCACACCTGTGCTGTACCCTACAGTATAGCACCTTGGGTCGAGCGTGTCAGGGGAGGAAACATGGATCCATTTCAAAGTCGGTATTGATTTGCTCTCTTGCTGCGTACAAAAGAACCTTCCATCGTCTTCACCAGATGATTGCCGGTCTGAGTACGAACATTATCCCTCACCTTTTTTTTGCGAGTGACAAAAAAACACGCATCAACATGATACACAATTCGTTGCATGAGAAACAGACATAGACACCTATACTCAAGACCGAGGCATATATACATAAGGCACGTTGGGGCATTACTGAATGAGTCAGGTCCAAGCATCGTAACCAGCTATCTACAGTACAGTGCTGGTCATGTATCTCTCGTAAAGCGTCGGTGGCTGACTTGCCAGATCTTCCAATGTGACGAATGCTGTATTCCCTCCCTTGAGAAACACGAATAACATATTATTACAGGACCAACGTGTGCGCAATTCGAAGCACAATCACGGCTAACACGGGACAGCAACCTCTGAGAAAAAGAGAAGGCATCTCCACTGTCCAGGGCCCTTCCAGTGGACGGATGCCAAAGCCGCGCGGCCGCAAAATAAACTCGCAGTCTCAGGGACAGGAACCACCCCCTTTGAGAGTAGAACCGCCGGCGTCATGTACCTACAAACTCAGGCCGTTGCACCGGCGGATTCAAATAATAACTGCGTCTCTGTTCTAGGAGGCATGGTTAATCAATCGAACAAACTATGCACTGTAGATAAAACGCTCATACTACGTAGCAGTTGTCATAATGATTTTGTCGGCAAACATGACAGTCCATGGATGTAACGTCGAGTACAGTACCGAGTAGGTACCCAGAAGTAATTTTAAGCACCCGCTAACTGAAGAGCGATGAACAAAGGCGCAAAACGCAAAACGCTCTAGACCAACCTTGTCGTCAGCTACATCACATCCACCTTGACGGCCGACTTCAACTTGGTTGCTTGCATGGGCAGTGCCGGTAGACAGGGCAGGCAGGTTTGTGAATGGTTGCGGTAGGAAAACCTAAGCCTCAACGCCAGAATTCTGTGGAGATGTTCGCGTTTCCGTGTTATAAGCGATAGCCCAGCTCTTGTGGCAAGAAATGTTAGTGAGATCAAAAGAGACTCGGAATCGCGAGATAAGAGTCAAGAGTGACGAAGAGCGGGATCGAGCGTCATGTCGATCTGTTATTGACTGTTTAGACGGTCGACATCCATTCTTCAGAGCGTTGCATCTCCTCGGTGATCCCTGCAAATCACTAACAACTCTATTCTCAACGGCCGCAGACGGTCCTAACTTTGTCAATACCTTATCCAACAGTCTAATAGAATGCACTGGCTTATATGTGCTCTTTGCCGCAAACGCATACAAGCTTATAAAACAAAAGTTTAATGACAAATTTGTCAACGAGTTGCAATGCCACAGAATGATCATGGCTCTCGTTAATTCAAGAGCATAATAATTTGAGGATACGATATTGAGGTTGGTGTTGGTTTATGGTGTGCTGTACGGGCTGCCTCTGGGTCCTGGAACACATTCGTTCTGTGTCCTGAGCGGTCGCTGCGTACAGCACAGTACCCCCGACCTGTTACAGGATCTGAAATCGAACCAGATTTAGAAACCACCACTTTTATCGGCTCCGGGAATCACGGAAGCTGGCGTCTTTCTGGATGGATGATCCCTATGGATGTGGCTTCGACCATGCTTCAGACGATCAGAGGCGCCACACCTACTGGCCACACATCAACCAAAGAGACCCTGAACTAAAGCCTCTTTCTTCAGTCCATTCCAATTCCTTCTGCATCTGCATTTGCCAGCGTGATGCTCATCCCAATACTCATTAATGATGTTGATGTGCATGACATCATTCACTTGACAGGCTGACAGATTCTAGTCATTCTCTCCATTTAATCAACAGATCGAAATTTCCGGCTCTTGTCCGGGTTTACTCCGAGAATACTCTCTCTGTCAGGAGAGGAGCGCGCCCTTTCGCGGCTTCGGTCTTTCACTGATGAAAACTCCCCGCTTATTGGTGGAAAAGGTGCCAACTGTGATTGTATGCTGGGTCCATCGTTTGACTGGAATTCTGTGGTCCAAAAATACTATATCCTGGTCCCTCGGCCGAAAGAGTTCGGGTCAGAAGGACAGAAATTATTTGCTGCGAAATCGTGTTGTGATTGATCTTGGCGTATGTCTTGGCGTGAAAGCTTTGTTTCAACCTCTTCCACCATGTTTCGATCCAGATCTAATAGTCCACATAGTGTATCCAGCCGACAGTTTAAATTTGAGCCTCTTGAAACTCTAAGCACGTACCATATTATAGAACCTGTCAAAGATGCTCTTTATGGGACAATATAGATGCAGAAGGACGAATACAGCCAGCTGGGTCTTATACTAATATCATGATTTCATATTGGTGGAGTGAATGGTACACTTCGAAACAAGTGAGATCGAGACTTCAGTGGGAGAAAACAATCTGATTGCCATTACGTTACATCAGACAAACCTCGTGGGAGAGAGGGAATTGTCGATCTTGTACGAATTTCCGCAATCAGTCATCTTCACAATCGTATCAAAGATGTATCTGTAGCTCTGCCAAGGACGAGGAATTTAATACGTAAAACACTTCTCATGGGGCTGAGAAATCGCTGCAAAGAAACAAGGTACAGTCTCCTTGGACCATCATCCCATATGACCTGACTCGGGCTCAAGGCTACACCTGCAAGATGTGTCATGGCGAATTGTATATTCAGAAAGAAGGATTGCCGACCAACAAGTCGATGCCAAAGATAACGCTTGTTCCTCGAGGTCGAGTCTCACTCACCTTGACTCACCAATACCTGCTTTCGTATAGGGTAAGCGATTTCGTACCCCACATTTGGTTCGGAGATCATTGCGATATGGTTCCCCCACCTTTACCTATCCTCGACCCCACCCACTGCAGCCTAGCTGAAGGTAGCTGCTCATGACAATCCACCAAAACACACGTCAAGTTACAGCTCTCTACATCCCCAATTGTTTTAGAGGTGTGCTGGATCCTCAATAGACAAGCCTAACAACCACAATGTCTACTTCAAACTCCCTCGCGATCTTCTTCAGCCAACAAGCTAGCATTGGTGGCATTGTTGTTAAAGGTACATTCCGCGAATGTCATCAGTCGTGAACCATCGTTCAGGCGCACTCATGAGAAGGCTGTGCTAACCTTTGTATTTCAGAACAGCCCAAACTCGACCTCGACCTCTACATCTCGAACTACACCGGTCCGTCGCCACCCCGTACTGATGCCATAAAAGCATGCATGCTAAACCTGTCTAGGTCGAACAAGAATCGATCGTCTCTTGCAAATTGGAAAGTCATCGGTTCCACTATGCGTTGATGCACTCAAGCTCGCCATAGCTGAGGCCAAGGCAGGCTCAGATGTGAGCCAGTATATCGAAGCTTGGGGTTGCTTCCGTCATGTAGCCCCCCAAGAACCCGAGGCCGAGAGAGATCAGGCATGGATTGATCGAGTCGAACAATCGAACAAAGCCGAGACCGCACGTCTCGAAGCCCAGCTCAAGCAGTACCGTCATAACTTGATCAAGGAAAGCATCAGGGTGCGTGCATATCTTATAGTTTGAAGTCTCAAAGCTCTGACATGATTCTAGATGGGCAACGAGGATTTGGGGCAGCACTTCGAGAAAACCGGAAACCTAGAGGCAGCGGCAGAAGCATACAACCGCATGCGACAGGATGTCACAACCACCAAGCACATCATTGACTGCGGCATACACCTGGTCAATGTCTACATCGCCAGGCGAGACTGGACTATGGTTCTCAATAACCTTGGGAAGATCACCGGTGTTCAGAGCGGCGACGAAGAACGAACGTATCAACCTTACACGAAACTTGTATCCGGTATCGCACTCCTTGGGTTGAAGCACTACCAAGACGCAGCCAAAAACTTTCTGCAAGTTGACTTCACTCTACCCTCAGCGCAATACAATCATATCGCCAGTCCGAACGATATTGCGGTATATGGAGGGTTGCTTGCTTTGGCGACAATGGAAAGAAAGGAACTACAGACTCGAGTGCTGGAGAACCAATCCTTCCGTTCATTCCTGGAGAATGAGTCCCACATTCGCAAGGCAATTAGTCTATTTGTCAATGGCCGGTATTCAAACTGCCTAGCCATCCTTGAGTCCGTTCGGAATGATTACTTGCTGGATATTTATCTACAACGTCACGTCTCTGCGCTCTACTCGCTGATCCGGAACAAATGCATCGTTCAGTACTTTATTCCCTTCTCATGCGTCACCCTTGAGAACCTCAACATGGCATTTGCACCAGAAGGAGAGTCGGTAGAAACCGAGCTTGTTGCCATGATTCGTTCGGGAACTCTCAAGGCCCGCCTGGATGCAAAGAACCAGGTGAGTACCATTGCCTCTCATCCACGTATATGCTAACCCTTTACAGCTTCTTATCGCTGTCCAACCTAATCCTCGGCTTCAAATGCAAAAGCAGGCCCTTGACGTCTCTCGCCAGTACGAGCAAGAGGCTAAGGACAGGCTTCGCCGCATGAATATTGTTGCTGCTGGTCTGGAGGTTGTCGGCAAGAGACAGCCACATTCAGGCCCCGTTGGTCGTGGAATCGACGAGCAGTGGTATGATGATGCCAGAGCACCTGGTCAGCCAGGCAGAGTTGAGGCAGCTTAGAAAGACTCCACCTTCAAAATGCGAGGCCATAAAGGACTCGGCGAGTTTACGAACAAATGAACGGCATATCGCATTACGGCCTAGGCGTTAACGTTTCCTGATTTTGACTCTCCGCAAGGACGCGGAAGTATGGTGTAGTGGATTAGATCAGGCGTCCAGGGACATACACATTTTAAGGGAAACAAACGGTCTTCACACAATGACTCAATGCATGGTTGTTCGTATCTTTGAGGGGGTATCATTATTAAACCTCTTCTCGCTTCTGACTAGTCATCTCATTTCATCAATAATTTCCTTTAACCCATCAACTGCCGCAAGTCTGTAGGTGGCCAGCGCACTTGTGCGAAGGTGAGACAACGTTTGATGCTCTGCAGGTATTTGCGCGTAACCTCATCACCCATGACATGGCCCTTCTCACCATCGTGTAGCTTCTCACGAGCACTACGCTCGTGGATACCAACCATTGTAACACCAATAGGCCATGCCGCCTTACCGATACTGAGTCGTAGGTACCCGTCGTTCGCATCAACGTAGCGGCGTTCTTGAAGAGCCTGGACAATTTCTAGCACCGGCTTGAGAATGTCATCGTCGAGTTCTCCCTGTTCGAATTTGCGGAACAGCTGGAAAAAATTGTTAGTTTGAGCTTGTGGTAGAAGAATGAATATTTCAACATACCGGCTTCATGTTCTCTCGTGTCTGTACCATTGCGTTATATGCTGTCTTGCTGGCACTCGTATCGCGCTTCTCTGCTTCCATTGCCCGCTCATACTCCGTAAGAACCATAGTGAAGTAGCTCGCCAGTTGTCGGAACAGCCATTTCCTGCCTTCCTTGTCCTTTGGTAACTCGGTATCGACTTTCATGTCCTTCTCATCCACGAGCTGCAACGTTGTCGGGATCGGGCCCTTGGTGATCACTGTCGTCAACCTGCGGTATCGTCTCACTCGCGCAGCGTGACTCTCTCCAAATAAAACCACCGGCTCGCCAAGAGCCCTCAACTTTTCAATCAGCTCTTCTTCGGGAACATCCTCGCTTGCGTGGACACCTTCCTCGGCATCTTCACTCTTTGCCTTTACCAGCTCTGGTAGACCAAGGCGCTTTCTACGAGCGCGTTCTTCTTCGGCTTCTTGTTCTTCACGTCTCTTTCTCATATCTTCTGCAAGCTTGCGACGTTTCTCCTCGCGCGCAGCATTCTCGGCGGCCGCGTCTTCCTCTCGTTTTCGTTTTGCGGCGGCTTTGGCTTCGCGCTCGTCCTGGAGGGCTTTTTGTTCGGCGAGGTAGGCTTCTTTTCTTTGCGCTTCAATCTCTGAGCGTTTAAGGTATTTCTTTTCGTCGCTTCCGGAGCCTTTCTTGCTCTTGGAGAGCTCCTTGTTCATGAGTGCTGCGAAATCCATGACGGAGATGAGCGATGTCGTAGCGGCTTATTCGTTTCGATTCGAAGATACAGATTGACCTGTATCTCAATTTTCTCTTTATTATTTCCTTGTATTTCGATTTGATGAAGTTGGTCGATGATTGTAGCGTTGTCGCAAACTGAACCTCGCCGGAGTTCAAATTGTTGATTGAATTCGGATATAGCGATATCGGCTAACCGAGATATAGTCAACCTACAATGAATGCCTCTCTCATCACATCAAGATTGGCGGCCAGATCTCTCTTCAATACGCTATCTCGTTGAATGATAATATTCGCCAATACTGAAATTGGTGTTCAAAATGGCGTCTCCTGCACCAAAAGCGTCACGCGAAGATACGACACCCTTCTTACTACAGCTCTTCTATCGTACCGGAGCTCTCCACAGGTACATACACACACCTCCCCCTAACAATACTTCGATGGGCATCTACTTATGTCTTATTACTAGGCCCGACGAGTTTGAGTCGCAAAGTCTCCCTCCACATATATACGTGCATACGTGGTCGGATTGTACCTTGAAAGAATTGGCATTGGATCTTGCCGCTACCAAGCCTTCGGCCTTCCCGTCACCTTCAGCAGGATGCCGTTTGGTATTTCAACTAGTGTTTCCGGATCTCCGCAACACCGATGCAGTCGCAAACTCACCTCCTCGATTTGGAGTCAAGGATCTCGGCAGTGTTGTAATAGGTGATGACTCCAGGTCAGATACATTGGAGAACACATCCCTGGACGCAACAGCGAAAGATACTGACGACAAACACAAAACACTCAGCAGTGCGCGGTTCGTAGTCGGTGATTACATCACGTGTGCGATACTGCCACCGCTTCCAGATGGCTCAGTTGCACCCGCCTCAAGCGTGCGAAGGGAGCAGACTTCGAGTGGACATGAGAGAGGAAAAGACAGTCTCGGTCGCGGAGGCTTTAAGGGAAGTCGAAGCGGTTGGAGAGATGAAGTTGGGGGCGATTTTCCTATGGGCGAATGGAGAAGAGGCGAAAGTTTACCCTATGCCCCTGGCGGACGATCGAAAGGCAAAGGAAGGTGGTAGGAGAGACATGCAGCGCTCATTTTGATGACGACACGCCCGATTATACCCATTCTTCGTTCTTCTGTTATATATTTCACGGTCTTTGTGCCAACCTCTTCATATTTGACCTCGAATCAATTGAATCTATACCGTGGGCTCTATCCCAGGGTATGACGCTTAAATGTACACATCCCAAATCTCCGACTCTCGATCGATTTATTTCTCGTAAACGAGGTCGCCCTTTCGCTTCGCTCGGAAGTCCCAGAGACCCTTCAAAAGTCAGCATTTCGATTGTCGTCGCGGCTGCTGCTGCCAGACTTACGTCGGTCTTGTAGGCAATGTAGCCCATGATGGCGGGGATCACACCAACGTAGATAAAGGTGATCTTGGCGGTTCGGGGCGTCCATCGGAAATAATGATGGCGCGTCTTCATCATAGCTATTCAAATTGTTAGACTTGGTTTGGTTCGAGGACGATCTATTTCGAGGTCGAGGAGAAGTCACGCACCGGCATATTTGAGGTAGGCCGGGTCCGGCTTGACGTCTGTGAATTGTCGGTTAGCAGAGTTCGATATTGTAGCATCTCGCTTGACCTACTGAGGTGCGCCATTTTGATTGACGGCGATTGGTGTCCTGCTAGAATACTTTGCGTGACGAATTGGCCGTCGTGATGGTCGGTTTGAATGATGGTTGACCTTGACGACGGATTGAAGCTTCAAAGCTGACTAAGGTAGTATCCTAATTGTATCAGCTCTGATTGGTTGCGGTGTTCTGTCGCCTTCGACCTCGCTACCCTGTACCAGAGCTGATCCGAAAACCATAAATACAAGAGTCTACCTATAGGTACCCAAGTAGGTAACTACTAAACTTATCATACACGTTGTGTAGTTTGCGTGAGTTTGTCGTTCTCTCTAATGTGCAGTGTCTCTTTTGGTTGTGACATTACAATAACACAGCCGCTTTGTGAACACGACAGCAAGACAGAAGCTTATCTCATAGTAATTTGCAGGTTTATAAAGTTGAAAAGCGCACAACGTATAGACAACTTACCAGTGGAAGCGGGCACATTACAATCATACGCCGTTAGCCTATTGTATGTAATAAGTGTGAACCTGTTTATATCTTCGTTCAGCTGGTGCGTAGATATAAGATAGCGAGTGTCTACGGGATGGATATAACCCAGCCTTTTCTGTCTCCATTATATGAGTCCAGACAGGAGAAAGTTTGAAAAAGACTTGCATGCCTAACTACTAACCACCTAAGGTATTCCGCATAAGTTTCGGTAAACGTAAAAGATTATATCTTCTCTTTTGTCGTGGCAGCAGTTCATCAACTTACACCAAAAGGCCCCAGCTTTATCACATCACGTGAATGGACCCACTAGCGCGTCTTCCCAGAATTTGTCGTGACGACGGAAGGCGACTTTCTCAAGAGCTTCCCTACCATCAACCCCTGGTCGTCGTGCGCAAAATCTGCGTGACGGACAATCGTTTTATCAACTGCCAACTGCGACGAGACGAATCATTATTTTATCTAATTAATACTTATAGCGCGTTGCAACAGGAAGCGCGCCCATACACGCGCCACGGCGTGAAGCCTTAATAGCGGCGACTTCACGATCTTTTTAATTTCAAGCGCATAAAAAAAAACAATCATGTCGCAGCTCCCACCACCACCGCCCCCAGGCTGGGGACCTCCTCCTCCTCCTCCTCCTCCATCTTCATCGCTTCCTCCTCCTCCTTCTACGCCGGCGCCGCCGCCACCGGGATATCGACCTCCTACCGATCCTCAGGTTGCGAAGTTTGCACAGAAGAAGAAAGAATGGATTAGATCTCAGCGCAATCGCTTCGGCGAAAAGCGCAAGGGAGGGTTTGTGCAGACACAGAAGGCCGACATGCCGCCTGAGCATCTCCGGAAGATTGTCAAGGATATTGGTGATGTTTCGCAGAAGAAATATACGAACGATAAACGAAGTTATCTCGGAGCCCTCAAATTTATGCCACATGCGGTGTTGAAGCTCCTCGAAAACATGCCCATGCCTTGGGAGTCGGCTCGTGAGGTCAAAGTGCTCTACCATGTCAATGGATGCCTGACTCTTGTCAACGAGATTCCCCGAGTCATTGAACCTGTCTTCTTCGCGCAATGGGCCATGATGTGGACGTTTATGCGAAAGGAGAAAGCCGATAGACGACTATTCAAGCGCATGCGATTCCCACCCTTTGATGACGAGGAACCTCCGCTGTCGTGGGCCGAGAATTTGGAAGATGTTGAGCCTCTCGAACCAATTCAGATGGAACTCGACGAAGAGGACGATGAAGCCGTGTACGAATGGTTTTACGACCACAGACCCCTTCTTGACACACCGCACGTGAATGGGCCAAGCTACAAGTCATGGAACATGACACTCCCCCAGATGGCGACTCTGTTCCGTCTGAGCCGTCCTCTTGTATCCGACGTTGTCGACAAGAACTACTTCTATCTCTTCGACCTTAAGAGTTTGTTATCAGCCAAGGCTCTTAATGTCGCCCTTCCAGGTGGTCCTCGCTTTGAACCGCTGTATAAGGACATCGACCCCAACGACGAGGATTTCGGCGAGTTCAATGCCATCGACCGCATCATTTTCCGAAACCCCATCCGAACCGAGTTCCGAGTTGCTTACCCGTACCTTTATAATTCGTTGCCGAGAAGTGTTCACCTCTCATGGCACTCACATCCTCAAGTTGTATTCAACCGAGCAGATGATCCTGATCTGCCGACGTTCCATTTCGATCGCCGTATCAACCCCATATCCTCACGAACCGTCGCACCCAAGAATGTTGAAGTTTCTCACGAGGATGAAATATTTGGTGCTGGTAACATCGAAGAGCCCGAAGAGGACGCTTTCGAACTGCCTGCCGGAGTTGAGCCATTCCTTGCCGATGAGGACATTGAGAATGAGGACACATCATCCGCCGTTGACCTTTGGTGGGCGCCTTACCCCTTTGACAGGCGATCCGGACGCATGGTTCGAGCACAAGACGTACCGCTCGTAAAACAGTGGTACCTTGAGCATCCCCCCTCTGATCGACCTCCTGTCAAGGTCCGAGTGTCGTATCAGAAGCTTCTCAAGAACTTTGTTCTCAACGAGCTTCACAAGAAGAAGCCCAAGGCACAGAACAAACAGAATTTGTTGCGATCCCTCAAGCAAACCAAGTTCTTCCAGCAGACTACCATCGACTGGGTCGAGGCTGGTCTGCAGGTCTGTCGCCAGGGTTTCAACATGCTTAATCTCCTCATCCACCGCAAGAACTTGACTTATCTTCACCTGGATTACAACTTTAATTTGAAACCTGTCAAGACCTTGACTACCAAGGAGCGCAAGAAGTCCCGTTTCGGAAACGCTTTCCACCTGATGCGTGAGATCTTGAGATTGACAAAGCTTATTGTTGATGCTCAGGTGCAGTACAGACTGGGCAACATCGACGCCTTCCAGCTGGCTGATGGTATTCTGTACGCATTCAACCACGTTGGTCAGCTAACGGGTATGTACCGATACAAGTATAAGCTGATGCACCAAATCCGAACTTGCAAGGACTTGAAGCATCTGATCTACTACCGATTCAACTCTGGTCCTGTCGGTAAGGGCCCAGGTTGCGGTTTCTGGGCGCCCGCCTGGAGAGTTTGGCTTTTCTTCATGCGAGGTATCATTCCTCTGCTTGAGAGATGGCTTGGAAACCTGCTGTCTCGTCAGTTTGAAGGTAGACACAGCAAGGGCGTTGCTAAGACTGTTACCAAACAGCGTGTGGAATCTCACTTCGATTTGGAACTTCGAGCATCTGTCATGGCTGATCTCATGGACATGATGCCCGAGGGTATCAAGCAGAACAAGGTCAACACCGTTCTCCAGCATCTATCTGAGGCCTGGAGATGTTGGAAGAGCAACATTCCTTGGAAGGTCCCTGGCCTGCCTGCACCCATTGAGAACATTATTCTCCGTTATGTCAAGTCTAAGGCAGATTGGTGGATTTCAGTCGCCCACTATAACCGTGAGCGTATTCGACGAGGAGCCACTGTCGACAAGACCATTGCGAAGAAGAACGTCGGTCGCTTGACACGACTTTGGCTTAAGGCTGAGCAGGAACGTCAGCACAACCACATGAAGGACGGTCCATATGTTTCTTCGGAGGAAGCCGTTGCTATTTACACTACCACTGTGCACTGGCTCGAGTCCCGCAAGTTCTCACCCATTCCCTTCCCCAGCGTTTCTTACAAGCACGACACCAAAATCCTCATTCTAGCCCTTGAACGTCTGAGGGAAGCTTATTCGGTTAAGGGCCGCCTCAACCAGAGCCAAAGAGAAGAGCTAGCTTTGATCGAAGAGGCTTACGATAGTCCTGGTACCACATTGGAACGTATCAAGCGTTTCCTGCTCACGCAGCGAGCTTTCAAGGAAGTCAACATTGATATGAACGACAACTACAGCACGATCAACCCTGTTTATGACATTCAACCTGTGGAGAAGATTAGTGATGCTTACCTGGACCAGTACCTGTGGTATCAAGCAGACCAGCGACATCTTTTCCCTGCCTGGATCAAGCCCTCAGACTCTGAAGTCCCGCCCCTTCTTGTCTACAAGTGGGCTCAAGGCATCAACAACCTTGATGGTGTCTGGCAGACTGAGAACGGCGAATGCAATGTCATGATTGAAACAGAGCTATCTAAGGTGTATGAGAAGATGGAGCTTACACTTCTCAACTCCCTCCTTAGGTTGATTATGGACCACAACTTGGCGGATTATATCACAGCCAAGAACAACGTTCAACTTACTTACAAGGACATGAACCATGTCAACAGTTATGGTATGATCCGTGGTCTCCAATTCTCGGCATTTGTGTTCCAATTTTACGGTCTGGTCTTGGATCTTCTTCTTCTTGGACCTCAGCGAGCCAGTGAGATTGCCGGTCCTCCTCAGAGCCCCAACGACTTTTTGCAGTTCCGTGATCGCGAGACCGAGTCAAGCCACCCCATCCGACTTTACACTCGCTACATTGACAAGATCTGGATTCTGCTTCGATTTACTGCCGAGGAATCTAGGGATCTCATCCAACGATTCCTTACTGAGCAACCTGATCCTAACTTTGAGAATGTTATTGGATATAAGAGCAAGAAATGCTGGCCCAGAGATTCTCGCATGCGCTTGATGCGTCATGATGTTAACCTTGGACGCGCTGTCTTCTGGGACATGAAGAACCGACTTCCCCGATCAGTTACAACGATCGAATGGGACGACAGCTTCGTTAGTGTCTACAGTCGTGACAACCCTAACTTGTTGTTTTCTATGTGCGGTTTCGAGGTTCGCATCCTTCCCAAGATTCGAAACCAAAACGAGGAGTTCCCCGTCAAAGACAGCGTTTGGTCTCTTGTTGACAACACTACCAAGGAGAAGACAGCCCACGCTTTCCTGCAAGTCACCGAGGAGGATATTGCGAAGTTCAACAACCGCATTCGACAGATTCTCATGTCTTCTGGTTCTACAACATTCACCAAGATTGCGAACAAGTGGAACACTGCGTTGATCGCCCTCTTCACCTACTACCGTGAAGCCGCTGTTTCCACAGTCGACCTGCTTGATACCATTGTCAAGTGTGAGACCAAGATTCAGACCCGAGTCAAGATCGGCCTGAACTCCAAGATGCCTTCTCGTTTCCCTCCTGCTGTCTTCTATACCCCCAAGGAACTTGGAGGTCTTGGTATGATTTCCGGTTCTCACATTTTGATTCCTGCCAGTGATAAGCGCTGGTCGAAGCAAACCGATACCGGCGTCACTCATTACAGGGCAGGAATGACCCACGATGAGGAGACCCTCATTCCAAATATTTTCCGATACATCATTCCTTGGGAGGCTGAGTTCATTGATTCTCAGCGTGTCTGGACTGAGTATTCTCAGAAACGACTTGAAGCCAATCAGCAGAATCGTCGTCTTACTCTTGAGGATCTTGAGGACAGCTGGGACCGTGGTCTTCCTCGAATCAACACCTTGTTCCAAAAGGACCGAAGCACCCTGAGCTTCGACAAGGGTTTCCGAGCACGAGCTGAATTCAAGATCTATCAATTGATGAAGAATAATCCTTTCTGGTGGACTAGTCAGCGTCATGACGGAAAATTGTGGAACCTGAATGCGTACCGAACCGATGTCATCCAAGCGTTGGGTGGTGTTGAGACCATTCTTGAACACACTCTCTTCAAAGCAACAGGATTTCCATCATGGGAAGGCCTTTTCTGGGAGAAGGCGAGTGGCTTCGAAGGTAAGTGCTCTATTCTAACGTTTAAAATGTCTTACAATACTAATATTTGATACAGAAAGCATGAAGTTCAAGAAGTTGACCAACGCTCAACGTTCGGGTTTGAACCAAATTCCTAACCGTCGCTTCACACTGTGGTGGTCACCCACCATCAACAGAGCCAACGTCTACGTCGGTTTCCAAGTCCAGCTCGATTTGACAGGTATTTTCTTGCACGGAAAGATTCCTACGCTCAAGATTTCTTTAATTCAGATCTTCCGAGCACATTTGTGGCAGAAGATCCATGAGTCCGTTGTCATGGATCTTTGTCAGGTGTTTGATCAGGAACTGGAATCTTTGGGCATTGAAACTGTTCAGAAGGAGACAATCCATCCTCGAAAGTCGTACAAGATGAACAGTTCTTGCGCCGATATCCTTCTGTTCTCTAACCACAAGTGGAATGTTACTCGGCCATCTTTGCTCTACGACACCAAGGACGTGATTGAGCAGACAACCACCAACAAATTCTGGATCGACGTCCAGCTCCGATACGGCGATTACGACTCTCATGACATTGAACGATACACGCGTGCCAAGTACCTTGACTACACTACTGACAGTGCCAGTATCTACCCTTCTGCCACTGGTCTCATGGTTGGAATCGATCTTGCCTACAACTTGTACTCCGCCTACGGCATGTACTTCCCTGGCTTGAAGGTTCTCGTCCAGCAGGCAATGGCCAAGATTATGAAGGCCAACCCTGCTCTGTATGTCCTGCGTGAGCGTATTCGAAAGGGTCTTCAGCTTTACGCGTCCGAGAGCAACCAAGAATTCTTGAACTCCCAGAACTACTCCGAGCTATTCAGCAACCAGACACAGTTGTTCATTGACGATACCAATGTTTACCGTGTTACTATCCACAAGACGTTCGAGGGTAACTTGACCACCAAGCCCATCAACGGTGCCATCTTCATCTTCAACCCGCGAACTGGCCAGCTGTTCCTTAAGGTCATCCACACTAGTGTTTGGGCAGGACAAAAGCGTCTTGGTCAACTCGCCAAATGGAAGACTGCTGAAGAAGTTGCTGCTCTCATCCGCTCATTGCCCGTGGAGGAGCAGCCCAAGCAACTGATTGTGACAAGAAAGGGTCTCCTAGATCCCCTTGAAGTCCACTTGCTTGACTTCCCCAACATCTCCATCAGAGCATCTGAGCTTCAGCTTCCTTTCCAGGCAGCTATGAAGATTGAGAAGCTTGGTGACCTGATCCTGCGTTCTACCGCACCTCAGATGGTGCTTTTCAACCTGTACGATGAGTGGCTGAAGAGCATTTCTTCTTACACTGCCTTCTCTCGTCTTGTTCTTATCCTGCGTGCACTCCACGTCAACCCTGACAAGACGAAGCTCATTCTCCGTCCTGACAAGACGGTTATCACACAAGAGCATCATATCTGGCCGTCACTGCCGGATGAGGAGTGGATCAAGGTTGAAACGCAGCTCCGAGATCTTATCCTGAATGACTACGGAAAGAAGAACAATGTCAACGTTTCAGGTCTGACAACCAGCGAGGTGCGAGACATTATCTTGGGTATGGAGATTTCAGCACCTTCCATGCAACGACAACAGGCTGCCGAGATCGAGAAACAGCAGCAGGAACAGGCGCAGTTGACGGCTGTCACAACCAAGACACAGAACGTTCACGGAGAGGAGATTATTGTGACTACCACATCGCAGTTTGAACAGCAAACCTTTGCTTCCAAGACCGAGTGGCGAACACGGGCCATTGCTACATCCAACTTGCGCACACGAGCGAAGAACATCTACGTCTCGTCTGTCGACAACGATCTTGACGATATTACCTATGTCATGCCCAACAACATTCTGAAGCGCTTCATCACCATTGCAGATCTCAGAGTGCAGGTGGCTGGCTACTTGTACGGTTCCTCAGCGCCCGACAACGATCAGGTGAAGGAGATCAAGTGTATCGTCATGATCCCACAGGTTGGTGGACTACGCAATGTCCAGCTGCCACAGCAGCTCCCTCAGAGCGAGTTCCTCGAAGGCATGGAGCCTCTCGGTGTCATCCATACTGTCTCTGGTAGCGAGTTGCCTTACATGTCTGCTATGGATGTTACTGAACACTCCAAACTTCTCGATGCCCATAATGAGTGGGATAAGACGAACACTGTGACGGTCTCAGTGGCATTCACACCGGGCAGCGTGTCTCTGTCAGCTTGGGGACTTACACCAGCTGGCTACAAGTGGGGAGCTGAGAACAAGGATACGCAGAGCGACCAGCCGCAGGGCTTCACTACAACAATGGGCGAGAAGCGCAAGCTGCTGCTCAGCCCGCGGTTCAGAGGATTCTTCTTGGTGCCGGATGATGGCAAGTGGAACTACAGTTTCATGGGTAACGCGTTCAATGGCATGGAGAAGAAGCCGGTCCATGTTAAGCTGGATACGCCGCTACCATTCTACAGCGATCAGCATCGGCCTGTGCATTTCCACAGCTTTGCAGAACTGGAGGATATTTGGGTGGATCGATCGGATAACTTTGCTTAAGAAGTGGGTAAAAGGGCGTTGTTTTATTAAAGCATTTTATTGTAATTGTTTACTTTTCCGGAAAATCGGATGTATTGACTATGCAGCTGTAAAATAGCTACGGCAAAATATGAGAAGAATGAGTTTGTTAAAGCGAAATCCCGGAATAATTGATGACTAGTTACGGAGTGGTTTCCTGATGTGGTGATTTGTTGATGCTATGGTTGATCAGCTGTGTCAGAGCGTACCTATGAATCAGTTCATTGAGCCTAAGCTCAGAGTCATAGCAGACCAAAGAGCATAAGGGACGAAATAATTTGAGCACTTTATGCAGTTTAAGCCATTTATTTTTCGCTATCCTGAACCTTGCCCCAGATTTCACTGCTCTACTTACTACCTTGGTACCTAGGTAGATACTCAGTGAGTCTAGACGGAGCTCTTACAAATCAAATGAAATTTCATACTCGTTTCGTCTTTTTCTGTATTGTCTCGTCTTCGTCTTCTATTTCGTCCCAGGTTCGTCTCTGAATGTATCAAACAGATCAAGTTTTACGTCAAGTTGAAGTTGAAAGAGAGACAAGTCTCGCCAAAAACGGATGGCGGAAAGACGACAAGGGTTTGCATGGATGACCCACGTCGGCATCCGGACGTTGGACCATCTCATTGGGAAGAAGGGAGATGGGATATGGAGATGCAAAACTGTAAATGGGAGAATTGGGTTTAGACAGGGCGGCGCAGGGGCTTGAGGGGGGCCCTGTACTGCAGTGCAGTGGGCCGGGGATGCGCTGACCACGGGCACCTACGCACCTAACTAGCCACTGAAAAGGAAAAAGGAAGAATTATTAGCGGCTTCACCGAGGGCGTGGAAACGCGCCGTGAGCTGTCACCTGCGTGGGGGATATTGAAATTGGTAGTTTATGCATTCATGCACAGGCAAAGAAAACGAACGGAATAGTTAGCTATCAAGACTTTTAGTGTGCGGCGTAGAAGCTCTGAAGAATCTTGTGAGATTTGTTATGTCACGAATATATTGGCAACCAAAAAGCAAGTACCTCCAAGCGTTCAAGCAGCTGACTTTAGGGGTTACAGCCATTGGAAGATTTACATTAAGAAGATCCTAGGTCTTGAAGATCTTCTTCTCAGCTATGAATAGAGTGGGGGCGAATACAATTTGATGTTGATCAGGTACGAATATGACATATGTATTTTTGGTTCCATGCCCGTTGACGTTTATTCTTCAGGGGCTAGGGTTGGGTTGGGCTGGGCTGTTAAGATCTACGGATACAACAACGGGCAGCAGTCCAGGGCAGAGAGACAAGCGACAGGGCACAGCGTTGCTGACGTCGATTTCTATTCTTATCCACAAGGACTAGTCACCCATGTCATGGAATCCATTCGTGTTCCCCATACCCTGACGGTGAGTGACCCGCATATCTAACGCAGGTGTGCGTTTTGTACCTGCGTAAAATATGGATGTATCCATTCTTTTTTCTTTTTCCCTACCTAACCAGGTAAACCAGGCTCCAGACATGGCGTCAAAATGGCCTTGTCTGCGTCTGTGTCTGTGCCTGTCCGGCAAGATGGACGATCCCTCCCCTCCCCAGAATTGGATCAAGGTGCCTTATCATATGAATTCCATTTCGGGATTTGCAGGTGTGGGAGGTAGCCTATTACTGAGTTAACTACTATTTTTGTAGACTGATGGGTAGCCAAAAATCCGTCCTCTCGCCTCCTAAGGCTAAGGACGCCAAAATAGAGTAGCCTAAGTGTCAGTCTAAACTGGTAAAAGACAACTAAATTCTTTTATCTCTTATGATCTCGGCGGTCAATTCTGTATCCTGATGCATATTTCACTTTATTAACGCGTACCTTCAATGCCGGCCGTAGCCCAGCCCAGCCCAGCCCATGCACAAGGCGCCTTTTTAGCTTCCGAGCCGTTGAGCCATTAAGTAATGATTGCTCGACAATGCAAGAGGATGAGCTTGGACTTCGGCTCCGGGTGTAGTGCAGTACAGTAATCCCTTAGTCAGTCAGGTGAAAGGCCTTGAACAAACGATTGGTGATCATTTATATGAATTACCGTCGGCGTTTAGGGTATCCCATGCAGCGCTGCGGTATCTTTAGTGGGCAAGACGGGGACGTTCCAAGGTCAAACCATGAGTTGCCGGAACCTATCCTTCTTGCTTCCGGATGACTGTATGTATGTAAGTCGAGAACGCGATAGAATCTGTAGATTGAAACGCCATGGCTCATTATCTGAGGATTGCAATTGTATCAAAGCTCTTGAACTCTTAGAGCGTGTCGAATCCAATGCTATGCTATAGCTCCATCGCCTTGTCTATATCAGCCTGTCAATCTTAGTGTTTCAAGTATGGTTCGAGGTTCGCCAATGTCATTTCAATTTATCAGAGACTATATACCGTGGTCTAATCGTGGATCTGCGATCTAGTTTAACTTGATTGAAGTATTGATATAATTGATTAATTAATATCAACGTGTGCTATAGGTAGGTGGCTTTGTTTAGCAGAGCTTCCCTTGGTAGATTAGGTTGCTGCGATCGTGGGGAAACGATACTGTTGCATTCTTAACGGTAAGTCGGTCACCTTAGTCGTAGTTACTACGTTGTCGCCTGCCGGCCTTGCTCTAACTGTTAAACGAATGAGCCTAGCGCTTGCCTTGTTGATCTAATTCGGCAGTTGGCAAGAACCAACGTTACTCCTTCTTTTTTGACCTTCTTTCCATCCCGACGTTCGGCATTCGCATACCGCTCTTTCCTTATCCCCCAAACCGGACAGTTCACATATTGTCGGTCGATTTCCCCTGCTTTCCCCTCTTCACCTCAGCCAAGCCACCAGTTTCTATTTGCATCAGCCCCTGGATGCAGAATCAGCATCTGTTCACTCCAGAATTCTCATCATCTTGAGCTATTACCACTGAAAACTCAGCCCGTTCATCATCGGATGCCCCTAACCAGTTACCTCCCGACTGCTAACATCCACTGGTGCCCATATGTGATCACACTCAGCACGGCGTGTGCTTCCTCCGCTCCACCGGTAGCTAGGATCCCGGCGCTAGCCAAGGAGGCCCTGTACGCGCTAGAAGGTTTGCCCTTCTAGAAGCCCATCATCGACTCCTAAACCAGGGTCCTGGATTTCGATTCGAGCCCTAGCTCATCAATTGACGTACGATCGTTCATGACGACAATGTCAAAACCGTTTCGCTTGATATGTCATACCTCAGGAGAACCGCGTCAATGCGTTGTTGTCACCGGAACACCATCTTTCCGGATCCCAGGGCTCTTTTTTGGCCTCATCATCATGCGTGTTTCGACTTCAAAACCGTTGGAACCCTACGTGATGCACTCTTCCGGGGGGCAACAGATGGGATGGCATTGAGCATTGATGTGCGCAATCTTGGAGTTCCCGATCAGAAACCTAACCACCACTCAATAGGGCTGTTCCAAACGCGCTGGCGGTAGGCGAGAGTCCTTTTGGCAATGGAAAGCCCATGTCTTGATGATGCCCTCAAGTTTCGTTATCTGGGTCCGGCTCAAAACCGGGTTCGTCAGGCCTGATGCAGGAGTTTTCCCATAGGGCTCCATGTTTCTCAGACGAGCAAGCATGCACGCATATGTCTGAGTTCCCAACCTTTCGGGCTTCATGACCTTTACCAGCAGCTCCTTTCCGCTCCCATTGACGTGCCAAGCGATTCACCACAAGGCTCATCTCGGTCGCCAATTCTCATATGGATGTGCATGTGGCTGGTGACCTGAACCCAATCCCCCCCCTTTGATAGATCCAGATAATCGGTTCCAGGGTCAGTACTCCCGCTTATTGGGCCCCTGCTCACGCACCCAGGTGTGCCCCGACCTTAAGCCGCGAGACAGCTTCCGGCCCTAGGCACTTGATTAGCTGACTGTCACGCACAGGTTCACTGCGGGAGCTTGTTCAGTCCAGCCACCGTTGACCAGGATGTCGATCTAGCTTGGTCATGGCGTGCGTGCTCACATTGATCAAATCTGGATCAGCCCCGACTACCCGTCGCGCACGCTCTCCCAATATCATGGGCTTCTCCCTGTCACGACACCCAGATTCGCCAAACGGAGGTTCCTGGCCTGTGGAGATGGTTCTTCTTGCGATCTAGTCAAATTGATAGGCACGATCCTGGCAGAGCCATTTACTATAGTTGGCCCTGGATGTGTTATAACCATCCGCTCCACATCGCACCTCCTGTCCTGCACAAGCACCAGAACTGTTTTCTCCCTTGTTGCCACGCCATCAGCTCGGAACCCACCTCCTGTGGCTCTTGTCTGCAATGGCGGCGAAAAAACCTGGCATTGGCTGTTTTATCTCTCTGTTTCTATATGTACAGTTGTACTTGGCCAGCTCAGTATGGCTTAGTCCCACGCTCTTCAAGCGAAGCGCGTTTCACCTTTGACTCGTGCCCCAATAAGCACAGCCGCCCAGTGTCCTTGCATGTCGTTTATTTCTACAGTAGTAGAGGCACACTCACATAATCGATTTCTGCGCAAGGGCTTCAATTTTTAAAAATTGCATCCGGGCGTGATAAGTGGTCTTGACTTTAAGCGTTGTTATTGCATTGTTCACTCATCCTTGCTAGTCATGATGGTATGCCAGGGGTGGCTCTCGTTTCTATATCAGGCATCCTGGGGACCTTACCATGGGCATAAGATCGTCAAATTGACCACCCTCCGGACCCTGGCCTGGGTTAATAGGTCGTCTCCGCAGCCCAGCACTCGGCGGACGGGGATGCTTCTCATACCGGACTGGGCAAAATCTCCAAGTGCTTTAACCTGCAGCATGAAAAGAGCAAGACCAGTGATCCACTCTCTCTACCACCCTGCTCAAGCTACTCCGTCATCAGACGATATAGGCTGGCCCTGGTACTAGCAACGCTTGCCAGGTTACTAGCCCTTGTGTTAAATACGTTTACAGACCCCAGGCCGGGAACTAAGAGAGATCTTGGAAAGGGACCTATCCTATCATACAAAGTCAAGCATCACCGCCTTAACTATTTCTCTTACACACCAACAGTCATAACTCGATTGTTGTGACGACACTATAATACCCTTCACCTTCTGCAAGTCCTTCACATGTGCTTTGTTCTGTTCTAGACAGCAGACCGGAACTGTACGCACATTCATCACGCTCCTTTGGACTTTTCATAACCGCTACGACTTTGGCTCCAACCCGAGCTCACCCCCCAACACAGCCCTCCAGCGCCAGTCACCAGCGTCTCACTCGACTACGGAAACGGGAAAGCTTCTAGCCCGGTACCAATCATTCAAAATCCAGACAACATATGTGGCAAGCTGCTTAGTAGCTTATAACGCTACTGACTTATACTTCAGACGCCCAATACAAGCCCAGTAGCCTAGCTTGACGCACACATCCACAACATTCTGCACGTTACTAGACAACTCTCACTTCTCCCCGTCGTAGCCCGCAAGGGCTTCAGCTTGTCAAATTCTTTCCATTCAGAGCCCAGCGGCCGTCCAGAGCGGTTCGCTCTGGAGGACCTCATGTGTCGGAGGCACACTGGCGGGCACTTATCGAGTGGGGGATTATACCGTGGATTATTCGGGTCAGGGCTCACAATCAGGACAAAACCATCATCAGTCAGCATATGATACATCGATTCACCAGCGTCCTCGACACCAGCAGCCTAGGGCCTCCATCCACCATCCTGGAGGCCCGGCTGCTGGTATTCATGGCACCCACGATCAACATCACGGAAACCCTCATGTTCAACATACAACCATGGCACAGCACCAACAGCACCCATCACCGCAGATGGTGATGGACCCTTCCCAGCTAGGACATCATCGTCTAGGGCCGCCACAGTTCGGAGCTCCAGGCCAAGTCATGGCGCCCATGTACCAGACTCTATCGACGCCGACACCGCCTAATCATCCTCAACATTCTGTCCCTGGCTCTGGCACCAAACGACCACGACCAAGTGACCTCGATTTATCAGTTGGAAGTATGGGCGAGTTGGAGCATTCAGACCTCAGTGGCATGCAAACACCTTTAGGAGCTGCCTATGCCCATGCAGCCGCAGTCGCCGTGTCACAATCTCAACACCAACCCATACACCATCACCACCACCTTCCTGACTCGGAGCCACCTTCGAAGATGATGCGTCGCGATGATGGGTTAGGAGGCGCTCCAAGCGTTGTGGGACAAGTAGGAATGCCTGAACCAGCTCCTCGACCTCGAGGACCGAAACTGAAGTTTACGCCAGAGGACGATCAACTTTTGATAGAACTCAAGGAGAACAAGAACTTGACCTGGAAGCAAATAGCGGATTTCTTCCCAGGGCGATCTTCGGGGACACTGCAGGTTCGATATTGTACAAAGCTCAAAGCAAAGACAACGAATTGGACCGATGAGACGGTATGTTTAACATCACTTTGTTCCCATCACAAGAACAACGCGCTAACTCTTTATTCAGGACCAAAAGCTTCGAACTGCACTTCAGGACTACGAGAACGAGAAATGGAGAATCGTCGCTAACAAAGTTGGCACTGGCTTTACTCCTGCAGCGTGTCGAGAACGGGCCGAGCAATTAATGGTTGAGGACCCGGCAACTCTGGCGGCTCTATCGCAGTCATTGTCACCAGCTGTAGCGTCGAACGCGGACTCTGAAGAGCCGTTATACACGCATCATCAGCTTCAATAATAAAACAAGTTAATTACTACAGCGGAGGACCCATCATAATAATAATTACGACGCTTCACAACACCAGTTTCTCCCATCAGAGGCTTTTGCTTTATCATTTCCTTACGATCATTCGACCAACGTCAAACACACTCGCTTACATTTGGACGCTCTCATTCAGCACAATCTTTATCAAGGTACTCTCTAATGTCGTCGGAACCGTCGACCTCGCAGAGCTATCATATTGATTTGAACCCCCCCGATCCTAGCCCAAGTAGGGCACAACGCACCCACGACTTATCTACTCTACTATCCCTGTATTATTTTCTTTTTGCTTGGTGCTTACAGGCCGTTTCACTTTTCTTTCGTTTCGACACTGGCCTTTTGTCACAAATCCCTTTTTTAAAACGATTAATTATACTTCGCTTCCCCATTCTCTTTCTCAAAATTTATCTTGTATTCCATTTTTTGTCTCGATGTCTATGATCTCCTATGTCCGTTCACGAAAAAAACTTTAGACTTGGGAACCCCGGAAAAGGAGAAAGAATTATTTACATGCACCTAATATTCCCCATCCTTCAGTCAGGGGAAACCGTCCAATCGCTTGGGATATGTGGCTGATCACATTTTCTTGTCACTTATTACCCTTATCTTATTATTATATCCAACCTCTTAATTACTTAACATATGTATGAGAACAAAAGCAGGATCATGGGCGGAGTAGGTTTCCTTTTCTGGCGCAGCGTATTTTCGGCTTTGTGTACGGGGATAAAAGGCAGAGACAGGAACATATTTTGATGTTTCTCGGCGCTATAGGGAAAGGATACGGAGAGGAAGCACAGAACATGTTGGCAGAGTAGGATAGAAACGTTGAGTAGTGCCGCTGAGAGTTCCAAACTTTTACAAATGTCATGATTCAGGCGGACTTGGAAAAGGACCGCGCTAGAACACACAAGAAAGGGATCTGCTCGATCATCATCAGAATCACGCCATTAGGCTCCTGTTGAACTCCAAATTAGCGACACTAGAAAATTGACAAAATGGAGCCCTATAACCTCGAGTCTCTTCGTAGTGAAGCCTATAATTGAAGCCTTGAAACAAGATATAACGGCCAAGGTACAAAGGTTCCCTCCGATCTGGGTCACAGCCCCTGCCTCCTTTGTCTCACCGGAACTGGTGTCCCCACAGATGAGCTAGACGAAACGAAACGGTTTATGCTTTAAATCCTTGCACCCAACTCCACGCATCTTCCTCCCCATGAGATATATAGGTGTGGCTACCGATCAGGTATGATATAGGTAGGGCAAGGCAAGGCAAAGTAACGGAAGGCAAGGCGAGCGGAGAGCGGGACTTGCCACGTAGCTGTGTGCATACAACGGTACAGTCGCCATAGTTGCCGACTGGCAGGATGCATCCCTGAACCTGAAGATACAGTATGTACTTGCCAGTGAGCGGATGGAGCCGATGAAACTTCTCTCTTTGGATGCCTTGTTATGTCACCTGTGGTTGAACGCAGCCGAACCCATACCACCGGCTATCTCATGACCCGGTGCATACTTTGCCGGCGGCTGCATCCCCAGAAGTCAATGCAATGCTCGTCCTTAACTGTGGTAAGGTTTCGGTGTTTCTCGTTTGCCTCACCTGAAAGAAGACCCGTATAACCTGGGTATCGCGACTATCTTCTTACATACATAGCACCGCATGGCATGCGAGTCACGCTAGAAGATAGCGGTTGTGGATTTGAAGGTCGAGGCTATAGAATACAGTGGACTATCCGAGCGTGCATGTCGGCGATGTGGCGAAAGACATGGTGCCTCCCTCATTGTGACGTGGTGAAGGATAGATGGAAAGGCCTGCATATGTGTGGGCGCGCGGTTGGAGGACACGCGAGGAACCGTCACACGGGGTCGAGGGGAGTCTCCTGTTTTCTGGCGGTTGAAGGTTGGCACGAGATGAGCATCACCTATACTCTTGTGTTTGAATAGCATCTTGCTCCGACTTCGGGGTTGTATCCGTAGTCCAACTCAGCTGCAGCGCTGTACAAGAGACAGCTTTGCCGCATCTTGTGCAAGTGACTTGACTGCCTGGAGATCAATGCTGCAGTCGAGGGACCGGGGAACAGAAAGGAGTACCGCCGTTGAAACATTTTCGTGGGAAATCTCCGATATGCAGCGTCTAAGCGAGGCATCATGGGTGGTCGATGTCGATGATTTGATGTAGGTACTGCATAACGCTCACAAAGGATACTGCCCAACTTGCAGAAGACTATGCCTAAAACTGGCTTCAAGTCCCGGTTACTACACCGACGATGTGTGATAGAGTTGGGGCACGACACCCCCTTCGGAAGGTTGATCAAGGATTTGTCACACCCTGAACAGAGGTTTTCCCCATCCTAGGGCTATAACGGCCTGGGGCTTGGAGTAGCATTGGCCAACGATGAGCAGAGGTTGGTCGATGATGGTGGTGCCTTTTTGGTGGTGATGCATTGCGACGCTGGACTTGGTTAGGTGCCTGCGTGTTTCTCTTCTGCCCCACGGAAGAGATGGGCTTTAAACATTTGTTTCATCTGGTTGGCAGAACGGTTGTCGAGCCTGCTTAGCGCGACTCGATAACCACCTGTCTTATTGCCTATATCACGGAGTGTTATAAGTTGGGTCAAGCGATACCCTGGCAATCGAGACCAAGAAAGAAACAAACGCGACCAAACAAACCGAAACAAAACACGCCACTTTCGGAACCCCCCAGACGAGTCAATCAAATGCGACAGGACATATCCCCTAATGCGGATGGGGCCTTGTTGATACAGCATCCCGTGCTCGTTTTCTTGCCATGGCGGTACAGAGTACTGTATAGTATAATATGTTAACGTTGACCCGCAGCCGATCCTGATCCTGGTCTGTCAGACGCGTCTCTGTACAACACTCCTGGCCCATGCTCATCCAAATATCCAATGCGGGGCATCGCATCCGAGCTGACCACAATCAACAACGCCTGCAACGCCCAAGGGCAGGCAAGTCCACAGATCTGTAATTACCGGTCGGTACCCGTGACTCTATCATGAGTTCCTTGTATCCGTCCCGGAACAGCTGAAGTAGTCTCCGAGTTGATCCACATCTAGGGTACGGCCAGCCTCCACCAGCTCAACCAATTTGCCGTGGCATGTAACGTTCAACTCTGGATCTAGAAAAGCTGCCATCTCGACTAGCCAGCCGTTAAAGTCCCTGATCTCGGTTGATCTGCCGGCGCGCACATCTTGCAGCATGGAGCTTGTATTGTCCCTGACCTTGTGACCCACTTGATAGATCATGTTTTTCAGTTGGGAGTGAGAGAATCTCTCGTGTAAGCTTTTAGGCGAAAGATCAATGGTAGCCTCTGGCTCTGCCGGTAATTGCTTTTCCTGTTTTCCAAGGATTTCTGCACTGCTGTCATGGGCCACCAGAAGTTGGAGTACTTGGCTTGCCTCGCTCAAGAGCTGGTCAATAACCTGGGTAAGAACTTTATTGGTTTCGTCGAACAAAGCACCGTTCTTGCATCCAAGGATGGCTGTCAAGGGGTTTATCACAGCGTTGACTACCAACTTTTCCAACTGAAGTATCCACAGTTCTCCTCGCGATACTGCTCTGGCGTCCAAGTGCGGTGCTTCGAGCAACTGCTTCATCAGGTATGTCGTCCTATCAATCGATAAGGAATTTGGAAGAACTGCGCCGACAACCACATCTGCCAGAGAGGCATGTAGGCTTTTAAAGGTTCCTTGGGAAGTGACGCCATGTGTTGTAACACAAGCCAAGTAGTTTGGCTCATGACTGCTATGATAGCGATGAGAAACATACGATGATCCATGGGGTGGCCATAATTTGGACATTCCGTTTTGTACGAAAAGCACCGTGCTGTTTCGATCGAGATATCCTCGAACACGATCGACTTGTGGTAAAGCAGCTGAAGCCTTTGTCGTAATTATGAGATTGCTCAATTTCTCACCCTCGGCAACTTCTCGTATAGGACCAGTATCGGGCTCATTTTCGGTCCACCACTCGATATCGAAGTCTTTGTTCCTCTCGGTTTCGCCTTTTCGTACAATTTCAATGCCTTGACCCTCGTTCCATTGTTCCAGAAGCTCTTTTCTGTGCACAACCAGGGTGATGGGAGGTTTATCAGGGGCCTGAGCGAGTGAGGATGCAAAAAGACGGCCAAGGTTACCAACCCCTAGAACGTATATACGTTTTTCAGAATCACCGGATGCTGAGGATGTTGCATATTCAGAGCCGCTGTAGGAGGGTAGATTCGACAGATTCCAGGCAAACAATGTTGGTGTCGGTCTTGAATCGTTGCAGCATACTTCTAGCCAGGTAGGCCTTTGAGAATACATTCTGATAGACGCAATAGGCCAAGCGCTTGCTTTCCGCGGTGTAGACTTGATCTTATAAGCGGGGCGTAGCTTTAACAGAACAAAGCTCATTGTTGACGATATGACTTGAATGAAGTGGTTTACATGAAAGCCGACTGTGCCGGTGCTTCCAATGAGAATGTAAAGGTCTTGTATTCTCGTAACGGATGGTAGTCGATTGGACGATGTCACTGTAACTAAGCCATCAGAGCAGTGGGTCGAGTGCCAAAAGAGAAGAAGAAGCCAAAAGATGATGGTTCGATTATACTTTGGATGTCGTTGAACGCGAGGCTGGTGATCTGAGTTCCATGCTGGGGCGGTGGAGTAGACGTCACAGTGCATACGGTATGAACATGCTACTCACATACAGTGTGATCATAGAATGAGAGAATCGCATCACGACTTTCATATATTGGTAGTCTAGTCAAGATTCAAAAACCGAAGACCTTTCTTTCTGAGTATTTATGCAACATGTAAGAGCCGTCTTATTCTGTTCAGGTATTGAATAGCACCTGCTCAGTCACTGTGAACTTGGGTTACTCTCTCGCTACTAACCTTACCTGTGTGAACCCCCCATCGTATATGTAGACTTGAGGTTAGAGGACATTATAAAATCAAGATAATTGCTTGTATGCTAGATATGTATACCATAGGTATTCACCTTACAAATAAGGGGAGTTTGTGCTTTGGCAGAGTGTGTCCTTTGACCGGAGCCTAAAGTTCAGATAATGACTCTTTTGTCAACTAGACTCATTCGACAAAGATATATTACAAAATAGGCCTATTCTAACTGACCGTTGAGAAAATAAACCAATATTCAGTCTTCGTCAATATCATCCTCCTGTTCCTCTAAACCCAGCAACGTATCCGTATAACCTCCTTTGACAAACGTCTCTAGGTAGGTAGGGTTTCGTCTTTGCTTTCTGCGCTGTAACTTCCAAATATCGCATTGGGGTCTGCATGATGTCTTCATCTGACTTGACATCCCAGAGAATATCCACCAGGGTCTTCGCCTTGCAAACTACAGAGTATGTTGAAAGGAAAGCGTATTCATCTACTTCCTGGCCACTGTAGAGATCGATATAGACAACCCTGAATGCCAGATGGTTGGCAGGTTTTTCATATCTGGCGTCACCGCGGCTTGTGGAAGAGATGGTGATACGATCTCGGGCGAGTCTAGAGCAACAGCGACTTCGACCGATGCGGTGATATCGCATGAATCTAATGGAGCCGAACCAAGTGCTGCTTGTGTTTTGGGTACCGTGGCTATGGTCGGGTTTTCCAGGACGGTTGTTGCACTGTCAGGTTCCTCAAAAAACCCCGGATCTTGGTTTGCCTATTGTTTAAAGACGTCTATGTCGCTGTCAAATTCACAGCGCAGAAGGCTTGAGGAAGGAACTCATTAAGCTTAACCTTGTCGCACACGGGATTGCGGCCCGCAGGCCCACTTACCGCAAAAAACGATATCATCAACAATAGGAAAACAGAAAATGAAGATAAAGGACATCGATTGTCATATGTGCAAAAAAGAGAGTAATAATCACTTCAGCCCATGGCGAGACTCGCTTTTGATTGGTTAGTCTCTAAACGAATTATTAAGGAGGAATTGAAACGTACAACTCGCAATCTTCTGATTAGAAGTCAGACGCGTTAGCCATTACGCCACACGGGCTGTTGGTGGTTGTTGAAGGGTCGTGTGATTAACTAATGATAATAATAAGGCTAGGGCTCCGTCTGAGGTCTCTGTGTTGAATTAGGGGGTGCGAGTTGTGTGATGTGAAGGGTGTGTCTTGTGAGGAAGCTAGGCTAGGGCCAGCTGGGTCTGAAGGAAATCCTGTATGTACTCAGGTGGGTATCAGAAGAATTGTCCCTCAAGTCTTAGGGTATAGAAATAAAGCAGTCTAAACCCCGGTCTAAGTCAGCATAAGGTGACCAAAATATTTCGTCTCTTATGCTCTCAACGGCCAATTCTTCTAACACCCTGACGGTACTGTAGTGTCTTGCACTTCCCATCGTCTCCAGTTACACTGGACACTGTTCTATCAGGCACTTGAGTTTCTGGTAAACCAGGTATCTAGAATCACCCAGAAATCCTCAGATTAGAAGTCTGGTGCCTTAGCCATTAGGTCACAAGGACTGTACTGCTTGTTGTTGAAGGCCTGTGTTTCTTTGACAAGCATATGGGCGGGCTTCTCCATCTCTTAAAGACAAAAGCTAAACAAGTATAACGAATTCTAACTAATCATACAAGTTAACAACTTACTAGTATCCACAGTGAGAACAATATAAAGCAGCGCCTGTAACGCGATCGGTAACTCTACTTGCCGCCAAGCGCTGATATTTTACTGATAGCCATACAAAACCCAGACTTCTGGGGCATCATGGTCAATCACTCTAGGTAGTACAGACGGAGCCTCTGTTCGCAATAGGACAATCAAAGGCCAGTTGACTTGCCAAATGACTTATTTTGACCGACCTTTTATTGTGTCGTAGAGAACCGTTTGGCCGAGTTACGCAGGAACGAATGCCCCGTTGTCAAGATGAAATGAAAGGCAACAGAGCGATCAAACACCGGCGTAGCTCACCTGGCTTCCCTTCATCGCGCGACTGGCTATGCAGCAAGAGTCAATACACATCTTCCCTCTGATGCTGTATCTATTTAAAATAAGGTAGTTCTCGTAGGTACTAGACTATTGTGTAACTGGAACATTAGTAAACGTCCTCGATCTTTTTGCCGCCGTTTTGGTCTAGGGTGGTTCTTTTCCCTAAAAGACCCGCCTGGTGCCTGGATTCTTGTGCGCACCAATAAGCGCACGTGTGACTCCTTCTCTAGCATACCTTTCAGCCTGGATCCGACTTCATCTTCACTTCCTCTACGTCATTACAATTAATTACCTACCGACGAAGAGAATTTCTTCAGCACTTTTTTTCAACCTCTCCAGCGTGCTTTGCATTTTCCGATATTCTAATAACTTGACCACAGTTCAAACGTAATTCTCAGCTCTAAGAAGCACTCGCGAAGCTTGGCGTTCCTATACGCACGATTTCAACATCTTCGGCACTTCGATTTCTTCTACTTCATTGCACACGAACCAAGGTGGCCATGAGTCACTATTTCTAATTCAATAATTCAGACTTTCTCACATACAGACGAGCGCACTCTTTATTTTTTGTGCTCATTCCTACCAGGCGCATATTATACACTGCCCTGTAAACAGTGACTCAACGACTGCATCGTTAATTATGGCAGCCGATGATGCAGGCTCGGAAAACCAGGAGGTTGACAAGGCAGCCCTTCTTAATCAAATGGTAGCTGCGGCCCAAGAGAGCGTTTCACAAGATCAAGACCCAGAAGATCAGCCAAATACTGAAGGACTCAACGAGGAAGACGCGCTACGGAATTTGACCGGTGCTGTCAGGGACCAGAATGATTTGGAGCGAGATATCACACTTCAAGCTAACGCTGCCTTGAATGAAGCCGAGGATAAGAAGGACCAGAACCGTATCGCAAAGTTACAAGAGACAAAACACCGACTTCAACTTCAACTAGACAAAGAAAAGAAGAATTTGGAAAGAGTCGCCCATAGTAACGTTTACCAGTCTCGGAATGTTCAAAAGAAGATTGCCAAGTTGGATGAAGAAATCCGACAAATCAGTAATGACATTTCGGATTTTCAGACACGAATAGCCAAACGTCATGAAGAAACCCCCATTGAGGACCCCAAGAAATCAAAGTCTGCAAAGCTTCCTGGTGAGAGCAATCGCGAGTTTCTGATCCGAACTGGAAAGATTACACCATTTGCCAAGATTGGAGGACCACGACCTGCAGGTATTCAAGGGCAGCTGGCAGACACCATCTTAGACGCAGAAGAAGAGGCAGCAGCAGAACAGCTGGGAGGAGAACTTGAAGGACCTGCTTCTCACCAGCGGCTTCGACGGCCAGGCTTTGCCGATGAGGCTGAGTCTGAAGCAGCGCCATCTCGCGAAACATCGAACATTGCTGAAAGTGAATTCTCGCTGAGACCGAGAAAAAAGAGACGTGCCCAGAAAGAGGATAGCCCATCTGCCGACTTTGAACCTGAAGCATCCGGTTCCGAATCACATGATGACGATGTCTGGCAGCAAGGGAATGAAGACGATCTCATCAGGGAGCAGCGCCGTCAGGCTAAAGCCAAGGCCAAGGTTGCCGATCAGGAGCAGATTGATCTTAGTAAGATTGATGATGGCAATGAGTCTCATTTCAAAGCGAGATTGAACGATTGGGTGACGCGTAGAAGCCGCGCCAGAAAAGTCCGACGTCAAACAGACGACCTGTCCACCGATGCCAACGAGAGCGACCAGGAGGAAGAAGAATGGTTCAAACCTGCACCGGATTTTCCGGACTACGATTTTGGTGATGGGCTGAAACTCCCTGGCGACATTCATCCGTCACTATTCGGTTATCAGAAAACGGGTGTGCAATGGCTTGCAGAGCTCTACAAGCAGAACGTTGGTGGTATCATTGGCGATGAAATGGGCCTGGGGAAGACGGTACAGCTAATAGCTTTCATTGCTGCCCTCCACTATAGCAAGAAACTCCACCGCCCGGTTATTGTTGTCGCTCCTGCTACCCTTCTTCGGCAATGGGTAAGTGAATTTCACCGGTGGTGGCCACCACTTCGTGTCTCCATTTTGCACGCTTCAGGCAGTGGCATGATGAACCCAAAATTCGAAGATGAATATGATCTGGATCGTTTCAAGCCTCTGGCTACCAAGTCTGAAAAGGCTGCCAGCAGAATTGTCAATGGGGTTGTCAAAAGCGGACATGTTCTCGTGACAACCTACACCGGTCTCCAGACATATGCAGAGACCCTGCTACCAGTAGAATGGGACTATGCTGTTTTGGATGAAGGACACAAGATTCGAAACCCAAATGCTGAGATCACTGTCACCTGCAAGGAACTAAACACCCCAAACCGAGTTATCCTCTCCGGAACTCCGGTTCAAAACAACCTGACTGAGTTGTGGTCTCTGTTTGATTTCATCTATCCTATGCGTTTGGGAACGCTCGTCAATTTCAGAGCGCAGTTTGAGATCCCGATTCGTCAGGGTGGATATGCAAACGCATCCAACCTGCAGGTTATGACAGCAGAGAAGTGCGCAGAGGCTCTGAAGGAGACTATTGGAGAGTATCTGCTTCAACGTCTCAAAGTTGATGTTGCTGCTGATCTCCCCGAGAAAACCGAACAAGTCCTTTTCTGCAAATTGACTGATGGTCAACGTAAGGCGTACGAAACCTTTATCAAGTCAGATGAGGTCTCGGCCATTCTCAACCGAAGACGGCAGTCGCTTTATGGCATAGATATTCTGCGCAAGATTTGCAATCACCCTGATCTGCTTGATAAGAGTCTGGGGAAGAAGGCTGGATACGACTTTGGTAACCCGAAGCTATCGGCAAAGCTCCAACTCACCAAAGACCTGCTGCAAAAGGTTATGATACCCAATGGGCATAAAACGCTCCTCTTCTCACAAGGCAAGCAAATGCTCAACATCATTGAGAAATGTATTAGCAAATGCGGTATTTCGTATGTTCGGATGGATGGAGAGACACCCGTGGACCAGCGACAGCCAATGATCGACAGGTTCAATGAATCTCCGGACATACATGTGTTCTTAATGACAACACGAACTGGTGGATTGGGAACAAATCTTACAGGTGCTGATCGAATCATCATCTTTGACCCAGACTGGAACCCCTCAACAGATCTACAGGCCAGAGAAAGAGCATGGAGATTAGGGCAGAAGAAGCCAGTCAAGATATACCGGCTTATGACTGAGGGTACCATTGAGGAGAAGATCTATCATCGTCAAATCTTCAAGCAATTCATGACAAACAAAGTTTTAAAGGACCCGAAGCAGCGAAGCAGTTATGATCTGTCTGACCTCTACGATCTTTTCAGCTTCAACACAGGTGAGGATGCAAGCGCCAACCGAAGCGAAGTCTTCAAGAAGGCGGAAGTTGACTTGATCAACAACAATGAAACCGGAGACGCAAACCCAACCTCGCAAACAGTTGGAAGTTCGGACCCTGAGAAGGACATGGAGGGTAGGGAACTTAAGCAAATGGGTCTGGTCGCTGCCATGGAAGAATTCAGAGAAGACAAATCTGCCCATGACGAAAAACGCATGCTGGAAGGTATTTTTGCCAAGTCAGTGGGCAACGCATACGACCATGAGGCTATTGTCAACGGCCCCCAAAAGGCAAAGGCGGATATGTCAATACTCCAGCACGAGGCGAATCAAGTGGCACGTCAAGCCGCAGCGCATCTTCGACAAGCTGGTGCCGAGGCTCGAAGAGTCCCTATCGGCACTGTTACTTGGACTGGTGAAGTTGGACAAGCTGGTCGTCCTGGAGCCAATCGTCGCCGGGGAGGGCCCAGCTCAGCAGGTGTCATGGGCAATCTGGCAGATCGCCAGGGGCTGGACACAGGAAGTGGGAGAAGCTCTCGCTCGGGAACTCCAGGTACAGACAAGAACCTGAAGTCCAAAGATTTTGTGACCATGATTAAGGCTTTTATTAACCGTCACAATGGGCGGGTCCCCAGCAAGATGCTGGTAGATCACTTCAACCCCTACTGTCCAGGCAAGAAGCAGAGTGACGAGTTCAAAGCAGCCTTGGACAAGGTCGCAGTCTTGAACAAGACAGGAGGGGCAGGAAGAGGAATCTGGACACTGAAGCCAGGTGTGAAATAGAGACATAAAAACACAGCATGGTCTTGCGAGGCGTTCGGACAGCATATGGCACATGTACTAGACATCGTCGCATAGAATTGCACTTGACTGCTTTTTAAAATATCGTATCATCGTGGAACGTTAACCGTGAAGCTACATGAAGTCACATCAAGGAAAAAGTTTGACAAGCAGGATGATTCATAGGCCTTCTTCGGGCGAATTTTTCAACTGTCTACTGCGTCCTAACCCATAACCTGACCAGGCTCTGCAGTGTAGACTGGAGACCAGGCGAAAAAGCCGTTCTCCTCGTGATTCTCAACGCCAGAGAGAAACCAGATAGCGAAACTCCTGTCCGATCCAAGCCACCCATGTGCGAGCAGCTCAGAGACGACGACCACGGCGACCACCCTTTCTGCGGGTAGAGTCGGAAGGAGTAGGGGTAACGTCCTCAATTCGGCCAATCTTCATGCCAGCACGGGCAAGGGCACGGAGAGCGGACTGGGCACCGGGACCAGGGGTCTTGGTACCGTTACCTGAGTGTTGATTAGTATTGATGTTATAGTCAAAGACACTCAATTGAACTTACCACCAGTGGCACGGATCTTGATGTGAAGAGCGTTGATACCAAGCTCCTTGCAGCGGGCAGCGACGTCCTGGGCAGCCAACATGGCAGCGTAGGGGGAGGACTCGTCACGGTCGGCCTTGACCTTCATACCACCAGTAACACGGGTGATAGTCTCACGGCCACTGGAATCACCCAAGTTAGCCTCAATGATCCATAAAATTATATCTTGTCCATGCTCTTTCTCGCATTTCACGGGCTGACGAACCTCAGATCGGTGACGTGGACGAAGGTATCGTTGAAGGAGGCGAAGATACGGGCAACGCCGAAGACCAGCTCGCCTGTTGAAGCATTTTTGTTAGTCCTTCAATTTTCTTTTTGCTATCATCAATCGTTTATCGTCGAGGGGTCGCATACCATCGCGAACGGAGGGTCCGAGGGAGATGTTCTCCTGGGGAGCACGGGTGGCGGTCTTCTTGGGAGGCATTTTGAAAATGGGCGACTGCTGGTTACTTCGTCACTTGGCGTATGAGAATGAGGATCCCGAAGATATTTTCGCGACACCAAAATGTCAGTTAGAGGGAAGGACCAACCCAGCCCTAATCGTAGGGTGTAAGTGGGGCGCTCGCTTTCCACGCCCCACTTTTGCAATTTTGCAAAATTTTTCCCAGCAACAAAAGCCGACTGTTCTTTCTCCAACCTACGTTTCACCGACCGACAACCACTAACCGACCCTTCCAACAGCCGTCGCCGACAAAATGGGTGCTACGTACGTTAATCCTCCTTGAGGACATGGACGATATGGACAGATGTCCTGGTATTCGAGATTTCTTTGCAGATTGCCGTGGTCCTCTCGCTGGAAAGTCGCGATCTCTCATTGAGACGTGGACCTGCCAGCTCGATCTTTCTTGAGCTTCTCCCTCAATTGCCCCAGCTTGAAATACAGCTAGAACACTGAGAGATGTTGCTGAAGGTGTTGGATATGAAGATGGAACACTCTTCTTTCCTAAAATCATTGTCGTTGAACTGCAGTCGGTCGCTGGAAAATGCACCGTCTTGCCTCTTCGAATATTTTTCTCGAACGTTATGTTGGAGGCGTTGTCGGATGAGTGAATAACGGAAGTACTCGTGATACTCTTGTATCGCCGTCTTCCTAGCTCACCGATTAAAATCATCTTTCGAGTTAGCCAAGCAGAGAATGCTGCATTGCAACAGTTCTCGCACCGGCGCTCTGTTCCATACCACGTCTGTGGTGTTGTGGACTGCGAGCTAATCAATTTGTATAGCGTTCCTACCAACGACCAGATCATGGTCCCCGAGACCCTTCTCAAGAAGCGCAAGTCTCAGGAGAAGGCTCGCGCTGAGCGCTCCGACGCCGTTGAGAAGAAGAAGGCTGTAAGTACTACCATTTTTTACACTATGGCAACATGATGGAAAACATACACATCATCAACTAGACTCCGGTCGATGCTGTTGATAGTTAACCTTCTTTCGGGTCTGACATTGCCTGACTCATTCCGATCATTTCTTTCATTTACTTGAATGACATGAACTAACAAGTATGGAATAGGCCAACAAGGAGAAGCGTCAGGTCATCTTCAAGCGTGCTGAGAAGTACGTTCAGGAGTACCGCGATGCTGAGCGTGAGAAGATCCGTCTTCACCGCGTCGCCAAGTCCGAGGACTCCGCTTACGTCGCTGCTGAGGCTAAGCTGATCTTCGTCGTCCGTATCAAGGGTATCAACAAGATGCCCCCTAAGCCCCGCAAGATCCTTCAGCTCCTCCGTCTCCTCCAGATCAACAACGGTGTCTTCGTCAAGGTCACCAAGGCCATCACTGAGATGCTCAAGGTTGTCGAGCCCTGGATCGCCTACGGTTACCCCAACCTGAAGACCGTCAAGGAGCTCGTCTACAAGCGTGGTTACGGAAAGGTCAACAAGCAGCGCATTGCTCTTACCGACAACTCCATCGTTGAGGAGAACCTCGGCAAGTACGGCATTGTCTGTGTTGAGGATCTTATCCACGAGATCTACACCGTCGGCCCCAACTTCAAGCAGGCCTCCAACTTCCTCTGGCCCTTCAAGCTCTCCAACCCCACTGGTGGATTCCGTCCCCGCAAGTTCAAGCACTTCATCGAGGGTGGTGACCTTGGCAACCGCGAGGAGGCTATCAACGCCCTCGTCCGCCAGATGAACTAAGGGATTTTTTAAAAACGGCTTTTAAGGGATCGGTCGATAGGACCTAATGGATTCAAAAAAGAAATTTGCATTGGCTGCTCGGCGTTTTACTCATGACAAGGGATATGGCAATTGATACCAGATGAATGACACCCGAGTTTTCCAAATTATCATTCTGTGAAGCTATGTGATGTGTAAAATTGTAATGATTTTTCAGTATGCACGTGATTCTGTCCTTCTGCTCGATGGCGGGGGTATTAATGATTTTTTGAACATATATGTGGGGGACCAGTGAAATCTATGTAGGTGTGTGCCGTCGCCTTCATGCTCTGCTGTGTTTTGCGATACTACATCTTGATATCGAAGCTTGTACCACAACCGCAGCTGCTAGTAGCAAGCGGGTTATCAGTAATCTTGAACTGCGAGCCGATCAACTCCATCGTGAAGTCGACTTTGCTGCCCTTGAGAAGGTCAAGGGATGGCTCATCGAGTATAATCTTCGGACCTTCCTCCGAAGCAACAGCTGGGTCAGCGTCATCGGGGATGTATTGGAAGATCGTATCGTCTTCGTTAACAATGGAGGACCATTCGGCGGCGTCTTTTGCTGGTAAGGTGACGAGACTCATAAGATATTGGAAGCCATGACAGCCACCACTCTCCACTTGAATTCTCAAGGCGAGGTTCGGGTTTCCGTCTTTTTCCATGATCTTGTTAAGGCGCTTTTTGGAGTTAGCATTATTCTGTCGATTCACTTGCTTGAATTACCTTGGCAGCTCGGTCCGTGATTTCTAGCATCATCTCGTTGCCATCCTCGTCTTGTTGGGGATTTAGTATCGCTCGTGTCTTTTGTCGTATAGCCGATGTTGAGAAATGTCGGGTCGCACTCTCCCGTAACGCATATCCCCATAGTTGTCTCGAATGCTCGTGTGTAATGTATCGATTGACAAAGGACCTAGGGGCTTGCAGTCCAGTTGGTGGCGTGCATCTCGGGACAAGAAACTCAAGCGGTGCCGAGGGTTGAGCAGAGGCGGTTGTATAGCTTCGTCGTGCAAGCTGCATAAAAGACGTGGCGGTAGATCGCGCACCAGCGCAGTGGACTCGGGCCATCGTACGTATAGTAAGAAAAATTGAGGTTATAACAATGATGTTGGTGGTAGAATTACGTAGTGGATGCTGAGAAATCAATGCCTAGAACCCAATTCATCCACTTACCTCTGGACCTCGAAATTCTTCTACGGACCGGAGACCGACAGAGGAACCCGGAGGGCAAATTCGGCTTAACGACGGGAGAGACCGGTACGTACCGGGTTGATTCAAAACACTAACATCGAGGTTGGTCAACATTTATGAGCTTTCTTTCAATTATTAAATCATGAGCTTAACAAAACATTAGTAACTGATAGTCAAGCAGTTGTGTAGCATATTCGATATGAACCTAGATGTAAAATACGATCATGCTTCTTCCTATTCGTCACTGAAGATGGTATTTTGTATACACGAGCACTTATGAGAACACGAATTGTAGGAAGAGGAACACTAAACATATAATAGATTTGAGTTTCATATACAAAAGTGAAATCCAATAGTCTCTCTCAGTTTGACATAAACTACGCGCTCATAAAAGCTTGTGACTCATGTTACCAAAGATAATGAAAGTTTTCAGCCACACGTGGCCGTGCGTAGGAGGCAAAGCACCTCGCTACAACCCCAATAGCCCAAAGAGCCCCACTCCCAGTCTCCCACAATCGAAAATTCAACAACCCCGCGCACTTCAGTGACTTGAGCCCGCAGACAAGTTTCAGTGCCCAAGAAATCGCCCAATATGTCTCGATTTTTCCGCGGCGGCGACGACAGCTCTAGCGATAGCTCCAGCGACGAGGAGGAGCTCTACTCCGAGGAGGAGGAGCAGGAGGAGCAAGAGGACTCCCAGGAGGAGTCTTCTGAGGCCAACGACAGCGACGACTCCGACAGCGACGACGAGGGTGGCAAGGGAATCAACAAGTTCTTGAAGGATGCCTCTTCTGATAGCGACGATAGCGACGATGAAGTGCGAGCCAAAGTCAAGAGTGCAAAAGACAAACGTATAGACGAGTTGGAATCTTCCATCAAGCAAATCGAGAACGGTCAAAAGAACGGCGACTGGACCCTCATCTCTGCCGGTACGAAACAACCCAAAAATCTTTTGTCAACAATTCAAAACTGACACAACAATAGAATATGAGAAGCTTAACCGTCAGGTCGCCAAGCTGCCCGGCAGCAAGGCTCCCAAGTCCTATATCCGTATCCTCGCCGAGCTTGAGGACTTCATGAACGAGTCCCTCGCTAAGCAGAAGGTCACCCCCAAGAAGATGAACGCCATCCAAGCCCGATCTCTCAACGCCGTCAAGCAAAAGGTCAAGAAGACCAACAAGGAATACCAAAGCCAGATCGATGCCTACAGAGCGGATAAGGATGGCTTCATGGAGTCTTCCGATAATGAGCCCGTTGCCCCTGCCCCCAAGGCCAAGAAGGTCTCTCTTCAGGTCGACGCTGCCCCTACCGAGGAGGGTGACGACGATGGTTTTGCTACCGTTGGAAAGGGTGGTCGCACCCTTCAGTACACTCCCGAGAGCATCTTCAAGCACCTGCGAACCATCATGGAGTCTCGTGGAAAGAAGAACACCGACAAGACAGAGCAGATCAAGGTTATGGAGAAGCTACACGAGATCGCCAATACCCCCTACCAGAAGATCCGTGTTCTCCTTACTCTTGTCTCTACTCGCTTCGATGTTGGCTCTGGTGGCGCTTCTGCCATGCCCCTCGAGCACTGGAAGGCTGCCGAGAAGGAGCTTTCAAGCCTCCTCCAGGTCCTCGAGGAGAACCACGATTACGTTGTCGTCGAGAACGCTGAGGAGTGGGATGATGACGAGAAGCCTCCTAGCCTGCAGGAGGGCGAGAAGCACATCAAGGTTCCCGGCAGCATCGTCTCTTACATCGAGCGTCTCGACGACGAGCTTGTCCGTTCCCTCCAGAGCATCGACCCCCACACCTCTGAGTACATCGAGCGTCTGCAAGACGAGGGTGCTCTCTACAACATTATCTTCCGCGGTCTTCTTTACTACGAGTACCTCCGAAAGGACGACTCACTCGAGATTCCTCAGGACAGCGTTAACCGAATTGTCATGCGCCGATTGGAACATGTCTACTTCAAGGTAATTATCTCATCCTCTCACGTCATGCCACAGTTGACTAACAGCCTTCTAGCCTGCCCAGGTTGTCAAGACCTTCGAGGAGAACTGCTGGAAGACCGTTGGTGACTCTGTCGAGTCTGTCATCACTCCCCGCGACCAGGCTCAGAACGCTGGCAACCTAGTCAACGTTCTCTGCAACTACCTTTTCAGCAACAGCGACGGCATTATTCGTGCTCGCGCTATGCTGTGCCAGATCTACTTCCTCGCCCTTCACGGCGAGTACTACAAGGCTCGTGATATGATGTTGATGTCGCATCTTCAGGAGAACATCCCCAACTTCGACGTTCTGAGCCAGATCCTCTTCAACCGAACTTTGGTCCAAGTTGGCCTCTGTGCATTCCGCAAGGGACTCGTCTACGAGGCTCAGAACACTCTCCAGGAGATTTGCGGCAGTGGCCGTCAGAAGGAGCTGCTCGCTCAGGGTGTTATGATGCAGCGATACAACCAGGTGTCTCCTGAGCAGGAGCGCCTTGAGAAGCAGCGACAACTGCCCTTCCACATGCACATCAACCTCGAGCTCCTCGAGTGTGTGTACCTGACATGCAGCATGCTCCTCGAGATTCCTCTGCTGGCCCAGACCGGCTCATCCCCCGACGTGAAGAAGAGAGTTATCAGCAAGACTTACCGCCGCATGTTGGAGTACCATGAGCGACAAATCTTTACTGGCCCTCCTGAGAACACCCGAGACCACGTGATGCAAGCATCCAAGGCCTTGGCTGCTGGTGAGTGGAAGAAGTCAATCGACTTCATCCACAGCATCAAGATCTGGGATCTCATGCCCAGTGCTGAGGAGATCAAGGCCATGCTCTCCAAGCAGATCCAAGAGGAGGGTCTGCGAACTTACCTCTTCACCTACGCCCCCTTCTACGACACCCTCTCTATCGAGACCCTCAGCGAAATGTTCGAGCTTGAATCAGCCAAGGTTGCGGCTGTTATCAGCAAGATGATCAGCCACGAGGAGCTCGCTGCCTCTCTGGACCAAGTCACATCCACCGTCATCTTCCGCAAGGGCGTCGAGCTCAGCCGTCTCCAGTCCTTGGCCCTGACCCTGTCAGACAAGGCCAGCGCGCTCATTGAGAGCAACGAGCGAACTCTGGAGCAGAAGACACAGGGAACATCAAATGCCTTTGAGCGACAAGGAGGCCGAGGCCGAGGAGGACAGAGACGAGGCGGTGGCCAGGGCCGAGGAGGAGCCCGAGCAGGTGGCAACACACAGCGACAAGCTGGTGGTACACAGTTCACAGGCGGTGCGCTGGGTGCGGCTGTCCGGGGTTAAGAATGGGGAAATGAACGAGATGAGGCGTCTTAGTCGTTTGCATTTTGCATGGGATGGTTTCTTTTAATGAAAAGGGGCGATGATGCGGAAGCACTCGCTACGTGTCACTAGGTCGAAACGGAATAAGGATACATAGAACTCGTCATACTGTGCTTGTGTTCCGCTGTGAGGTGATGGTTATATACCGAGGCATTGGAGGATACGAGGAAGAAAAGTATAGAAAAAGTACAAGCAGGAGCCTGTAGCGGAGTCTATTGAAGGGGATTTTTAGATAAATTCTGCTTCCAGTGAGGTTTCCAAAGACCGCAAACAATTGAAGAGCCATTTCTATTTTTATGTCTACTGCCTATGGCAGATTGTCGATCTTATGGCTCTGATAAGAGAATAACAGTTATATAAGAACCTCGTACACAATAGGCTGAACTTCTTTTGTCCGAATTACTCGTTTTGTCTAGAAAGGCAAGATTGTGATGAGGTCGGCTTTCTTACCGACTTGAGTCTTGACTCGGATCAAAGCCGCAAGGACATAAAGCCATGAGGACTAGACTCTAGCGACCGATCTCTTGACTCTATAAACGGCTCTAATCGTTAATGTGATTTCTGTAGAAACAACCAACTCTCCCTGAGATTCTGAGAATGAGGAGAGACTCGGCGTCACGCCAAGCTGACTAAGTTGGCGCGCGATACAATCGGGCTCAATCAGTCAGCGCTTTCCAATCTTTTCCAGCTTTTCAATTGCGGATATGGGCGGCTTCTGAGTGGTCGAAAGGGCCTGAGACCTGGGGGCATCATGAGATAGACAACTCCTTTCTGGGATTTTTATATTTTAGTGAGATTTTCTCTTCTTTTTTCCCTCTTCTTCTTGAGTTTCTTGAGAATGAGAGCGATCTGGCGTTTACAATCTCGTAACAGCGCTATAAAATTTCAGACCTTGCCACTTAGATCATCTTCTTTCCAGCGACCTATTTTGTCACCAGCGCATACTATTATTTCTCATAGACATTTTACATCGCGAACATATCACCATCAAGGAATCATGGCAGACTCAAAAGTTGAGGATACATCAAAGCCTGTTGAGGCAAAGACAGAGGAGCTACCACCCTTGTCCGATCATGACTTTAAGGCTTATAACCGGCTGGCTGTTCATATGAACTTCTTTGTAAGACCGACCTGATTATAGTTTGAAAACAATGACCAACAGACTTATAGCACGATAACTTCCGAAGATCATGGAACCTGCTGTGGAATGCTTGCATAAACAACCGCAGACCCCAGAGTATGACCCTCAAGCAGTTCATCATGGAAGGTCTTCAATTCGCAGAGCATCTCACCGTGCATCACAACATCGAGGAGACGTACATCTTCCCCATCTTAGCCAAGAAGATGCCCGAGTTCCGCGGTGGACGTGCTGAGCTGCTACGTCAGCATAAGCAGATCCACGCGGGTCTGGACCATTTCGAAGAGTATCTTAAAAAGTGCCGCACTGGAGATGAGGAGTTTGAGTTGAGCGTGCTCAAGAGCAAGATGGAGACCTGGGGTGAGGTCCTCTGGACTCATTTGGACCAGGAGGTTGAGACTCTGGGTGCGAACAATATGAGAAAGTACTGGACGAAGGAGGAGATAGCAAGAATCCCCATGTAAAGAAAACGGAATACTCGTGGGGATGTTTATATGATTTGTTATTTAGCTGTTAATCTATGTACATATAATTCGCAGATATCACCAAGCGCCCAGTTCTAATTCCCCCAAGCTTTTGATGAGGGATGGTATCAATCACGTTTCTATGTGCGAATGCTTCTTTGTTGGGGTTTTGCGCTTGCATGCATGTATAGTTGCATATGCGACTGCACGTTCTTCACTCGATGCTCAAATGCCAAATCACTCTAAGCTGTTTGACGCCACAGATCTTTCATCATCTTGGTCGCTGGCAATGTAGCAATAGTCGCGACCGCAATCTCAGGCATGAGACCCTGCTCAGTGCCCCAGTGAGCCGACAGAGGCATCCAGGGAAGAGTGGCAATGAAGTTAGCCTTCCAATCCGACTTCCACTCCTCCTCAGCGGTGACATCGCCGCTGGGCGTCCTGCGTGCACGTTCAACCAGCAAACGAACAAGCTCAAGAGCGACCCAGACACTCCATGAGCGAGCAGCATATAAACCGAGCTTTGCACTGGTCTTCTCTGACAAGTTGGTTGCGCCCTTGCATGTCAACCAACAGGCTCCCTCGCCGATGTTATAGACGAAGTTGCAGAGAATCTGGACGGTCATGAAAGCGACGTTGACCTTGTTGGGAGCAGCTAGCTTTTGACCCTTCTCGTCAACCGCTTCACCACGCAAGCGCAGGACAAGATCTCTGGCCTCGAGATATGTTCCAATGATACCCCAGAAACGGTTCATGGTGCGCCACTCGCCCATCATGTTTGTGAAACCCTGGATATTTCTCGACAGGCCGAGAGCCAGCGTCGCAAGAGGCGGCGCAGTCGCAGTGGACAATACGACAGAAGTCGAAGGTGGTATCTTAAATGCCATCTCGACAATCTTACGAGCCGAGTGACGAAGAGTAGTCCGGCCGAGAATGTCGAGAATGGCTCCGATCAAACGAGCGACATAAGTTGTGAAGAGAAGGACAGTATCTGTGCCCTGGCGCGTGCGAATGACACGATGAAGGTGTAGAATGAAGTCATCGAGAGCTGCAGGCGACTTGAGAAGTCGCGCAAGAGGACTGGTTTTCCTTGTTGAATTCTTTTCTGTAACTTCATCTTTCTTTGTGGTTTTATGGTCGGCGACCGGAGGAGAGTCGGCGACAACGGGCTCCGCCGAGGGAATGACGATGGCCTCGGCGGGCGACTCTACGGCAGTCACGGTCTCGGTCTCAGTCATGGTGGAGGATGATTCGGAAGAGAGAAGCTCACAGTGAGCATTTGATGAAGGGGAAATAAAATCACAAAGCCAAGAAAAGAAACAAAACCCAGACAAGGCGGTCTAAGAAATAGTAATGGAAATTAAAATGATCAAAAAACCTGGCACAAATGGTCGCACCACAAAGGTCAGATCGAGGTACCTTAAAACGACCTGTGGAGGTTATTAGCGGTTCTTCAACGTTGGTGGGACTGATTGATGGACCTTTTTTTTCTTTTATCAATCAAATCTAAAGTGGGCTCAGAGAAAAAGAAAGAGATCGCAGTACTGACCGAGGCCGACAGGTGAAAGCTCCGCTTCCTAATGCCCGTTTGCCTCGGCAGTTTCGGGTGTCTGATTCGTTGCGGACGGCCGAGATGCCACTCGAGGCTCCGTAAATACAGGGATCTCTTAGGGATCATCAGGGCTCCATCATGTCACGTCTTCTATAAAATCCCTCTACCGGATTAGGAAATTGTCTCCTGAGCCAGATGGTCATCCAAGACACTGAATACTATGCATCATGGGACCTTCATACTTGTTGACCCCATGGGTAAACCGTAAATGGCAAGGTCATCATGATCGGGTCTTTTCCCGTTAAAATCACATGCAAATATGTACAAATAGTTACCGGCCAAGACCCGATGCAGACTGCGCTTGCGCTTACTTGAAAACAGATGACGTTGCATGAACAAAGAGTATATACATATGCTGTATTTTGCTGGCAGCATGAGCATCGGAAGAATTGGCTATCGAGAGCCTAAAAGACGAGCCCTTCTTAGTGCTCGCAAAAGTTCCAATCCTGACTGCGCATGTTGTTTGTTACCATTTCCTGCTGTCCGGTCCTTTCTGCCATAAGTTTAGCCCGTACCTCCTTTGCCTCGTCTAGTCCGATAGGAAAGTCCATGCTTTCCACCACCATATGCGTTATCTCTGGAGGTAGCTTGCCGACTTGGTTGTTGCCCTCTAGCAAGCTCTGCTCAAACCAATGCCGCTGTTGAGGCGGCACATTCGCGGTTGAGATGACCGGTATCAAGGGGTCTACCAAGAACAACGCGAGAATCTTACGATGGCCGGGTCGTGACTTGTCGGCAAGCTCGAAGGGGCTGACGTGATGCTGATAGACATTGGGAAAGAAAAGCATCCTATCCTGTCTTGTAGCAACGCTCCCGATATTCTGAATAGTGTCACCTCTCGCATCGATAGCGAAAACGTCTTCAATGCCATCATAATCGCTTTGCTCGTACCGCAACTCCATCATCAGATCCTCTTTGTTGGAAGACGTTCGGAAATCCAGACGAGACTCAGTGATGTTCTCACAATCATAGTAGTAAAGAGCGGTTGCGCAGATGTGCTCGTTCAGCTGACCCTCAATATGCCATGAGCCTCCGTCGTAGGTCGGTTTCTCCGGTGTGAGATGAATATTTGCAAGCTTGACTATAACCTGTACACGGGATGCGTTATTGAGCCATCCCGAGGTTTTCACATCGTCCGGTGTAATCCTGAGTTGACCTGGATAGTTAGGCTCTGGCCGGCCTTCGGGATGGGTCCTCTCAAACCATTCACGATCGCGCTCCAGGCAATCGCTATTCTTGGCCACTTTCCGGGGGTCCGGACGAGGAGGCTCCCCTTCCTCCAGTGGTCGCGACCTCGAAGTACATCCTACGAAACGGGAACAAATTTCCGGTACTCTGCACTGCCGCTCGACATTCCTCGTGATAATACGCAGAACTTGGAAATCCCGGTGCCATCTGTAGATAACATCCCAAGCGGGTAGCGACTTCTCAATGAATTTCTCTATTACCGGGTAGAGAGCAGCGTGCTTGATGGGGTGGGCATTGTTGATATAGCTATCAATGCGAGGATGCTCCCCCGTCAAATCGACGTCGCAGGGAAGCCATTGAAAGTTTTTCGAGAAGAAACTGATGGGCAAGAATTTGTCGAATTCCTCTTCTCCCATGTCGAAGGCCTTGGCATCGAATTTTGGATCTTCTGGCACCACGACTCCTTTCCCACAATGAGCCAAAGCTTCTTCAGCGTTGATGCGCTTATTCGGCAAGATACGCGATTGTCCGTAACAGAGAGGCCAGAGAGAGGGGTGCACAATGTCGAGCACTTTGCCATCACTACCAGGGTGCCAATCTTTCTGGTCCTCGGGAACATCTTCCAAAGGAGCAACGGCATCTTTGAGGGCCTGACGGAGATCTTGACAGATCAGGTTATCTGATTTGATAGCAGCCGAGCTATAGTCCATGACAGGAATAAGACCTGTCTTTTGGTACAAGTCTGCTTTCTTGCGTAGCTCTTCGATGCATGCCGAAGCCATTTCCTGGGTAAAATCTGCATTTTGACGAAATTCTGCCCAAGGTAACTCGGTGGCCTCTTTCTTCCATTTTGCAGCGATCTCTGGATCATTAACTTTGAGCCACCATTCGGGCTTGTTGGTGAGATCTTCTATGACTTTGAGCATGCATGTCTCGCGAATCGTCAGGGTTTTGGCTTTCCAGTCCTTGGGTTCTTCGTATTCGCCGAGGACTACGGGATACGGCTTTTCAACCATCATATAGTTGAGGGGCAGGCCAAAGCCTGGGAGTTTGATTCCTGGCATCTTGTTGTCGAGAGCACAAGAGACAATTATGCTGGGGTATATTAGCACCTGGACTGCTTTATTTCGACATCCTGAGCTCTATTCTAGTCGAGAGGACAATCTTCTTACCTGAACAGGCAAGCGCCTAGTTTTCGAGAAGTAGATAGGTAGGTAGAAGAAGTGTTTGCAGCATCAACGAAATAAAACGACAGGAAGGTGATTTTTATAATGGTTTTATATCGAAGGAACGTCTGTAGGATGTAGGATTCACGTTGCACGGGCATGAACCTGGCCAGTCTAAGGCACCAGCCTCCACTCCTGCCTACCGCATTAGAGACAAAATGAGCTAGTCACCTTGGCTAATCCTTTATGTTATTTATTTCTTACACCTTGAGCCTTTAGTCTCTCTCAGTTATGTATCTGAGGCCCCTACGTATCCTAGACTTTGACTTATAAGAGAGAGGGTACGAAGCCATTTCTGGAGTAGCCAAATAGCACAGGCCCACAGGAACCCCCCATTCGAGATAGGAAGCCTAGAAGAATCATCTATATCCAAGGCAGCAACGCCTAGGTAGGACTATGCATGGATCCATTGTCAACTAGAGGTGGCCTAGAAGAGGGTTTACGCGATCGTTTCTGCTAATTGAGATCGCGCTCAAGACACGAAGTCACGTTACCTGTGAGACAATATCATTGACATTTCTTTTGAGGTACAGATATCATCATTTTGCAGTTGACACACTCGCCAAGACCAATTTTACCAGGGTCCGAACCTTGAAGATCTACCCACCAGCGCAGGATTACACCTAAAGCGGTAAGCGGATGATGGAACTCGCATAGTAAACCAAGCGGTTTACACAGTTTACGAAAATCAAGCCTCTTCATCTTACTCCTGATAGGCCTTTGACTTGGAAAAACGGCTGAAAAAGGAAGCTTGGCAAAGATGATGAACCGGCTAGATATCCAGGTCGAGCGTGCTTATGGTGTTTCCTAAATCAGGAGATTGAGGTTTGAGTGTATATACAATGCTGAATACCTCACAACGACGGGTTCCTCTCGATCTAGACTCTCACATTATGGATTGCTTCTCCCTTATACTCTTGTTTGGGTCTTTGACACCATCTGCGTAGAGTTCCAGCCCGTCTCATAACGAACTTGATTGTCTATCGAAAAGGAGCCTCAGCCCTTTGCATTGAATCCTCATACAAGCAGCTGCTGTTACGACCTCTCCTGATATCGACCAATCCTCGTCAGACTCGTGACATCATGGGTTTCATCAACAATGTCGCTCCCAAGCCAACGGCACCTGCAACAGCTTTCAATCTCTTACAACGAGCAGAAGCAAGCGATCAAATAGTCCTATCGGTTGCGCCCAACAATGTTTGCGGATACATTTCCGGGAGACTAGGCGCCAGTAGAGCATGTCCAGCTGAGGATCGCTGTTACTTCCATCCTCCGCCATCTTCATCAAACGGAGGCGTTATTTGTTGCGGCAAAACAACTTGCCAATATCATGCTACTTGCATCAACTCACGAGACTACTTCCAGTCAAGCAAATGTGTCGGTGGTTGCGAGGTTGACAACTACACTTTAAAATGGTACGACCAGGTATTGCCATCTGTTGATGATCCTTGCTGATGAGAAGTACAGTACCAACTCCGATGCCCCCTACTGCAACACAGTCTCATGGAAAGGAAACACGCTCGATTATTGGTGCAACGACCTCGATATCACAACTGCGCAGAGCGCAGCTCTTACGTACAAGGAACAAAAAGAACCCCCGGAATTTACTACCGCCAATGAGGAAGACATGAGTTCGATAGATGCACAAATGAGCAGGGCAAAGACAGGAGGCACCGTTGATCCAGGCCCAACACAAACATCACAATTGACTGCCACTGAGACAAACAACGATGATGGTGGCTCAGAAACCCCTGTAGCCGTAATCGTGGGAGGCACAGTTACAGGTGTCGTTGTGCTCGCTGCTGTGGGTTTAGGGTTATTCTTCTTCATGCGTCGCAAGAAGAAGAAGAGTGAAGCTAAGAGCCCACCAGACGACCAACAAACGGAAAACAAAACTGCTTGGTCTCCGGGCCAGCAACCAGGTGCTCCGTATTACTACGACCCGAATTCACCTCAGAACAATCTAGGGCCAAATGGACAATACATTGCTGAGCTTCCGCCTCAACAAAGTGTTGTTCACGAAGCAGAGGGTCAAGCTGTGGCAGCGAAGCCTCAGGAGCTACCTGATAACGGGAAACCTGCGGAACTTGCATAGAGAATTCTGTGGTTATTGGGATGGAGTTTTCTGTTATGGTCTAGGTAGCTATTGACTAACATTGTTTGTGTATAATCTTATTGTTTTTTTTTTTCTTCTCTTTTTTCTCTCTCTTAACCTAAGAATTGGCTCCTGGAGGCACAAGAGATGAAATAATTTGATCACTTTATGCAGATAGCTTAGACTAGCATAGGCTACTTTATTTTGGTAGCCTAAGCTGTAGAGGACAATTCCTCTGTTACCAACTTGTGTGTTGTATTTCCCTGGCTAGCTATCGATCCAATGCTAAGCTTCTCTCATATCCATCTCTCCCTGTATCATCTCAGTAGACATAAGCTGCTGTTTCTTCACCAGACAGAGACCAGGTTCGACATAGGCAGTCTTGTCTCATCACTGATAAAGCTTCTCTTAGGTTTATCTTCGTTCGGTACCTAGTTCAAGTGAATTTCCGATGAAGATACTGCATAATCTACTGAGCATACATAGAAGTTGGTAGCTTCTGTGCGCAGTTTGACAAGTGTCGTCCGTAGGGCCGGAGAGAAGAAGAAGAAGAAGGAAATCGGGTGCATCTTATACTCTGAGTTATGGGTTCTAAATTTGTCGCCCTACATTTATACTCTATGATACAGTGGGTTGATTCGAGCCATACAAAAGCATTACAGTTAACTTCCATATCTAAGTAGGTATTAAGGTAACAGAAGAATTATCCTTTAAAACTTAGACTACAGAAATAACGTAGCCTAAATACTAGCCTAGGCTGGCATAAGGTGACCAAATTATTTCATCTTTTATGCTTTTAGCGGTCAATTCTTCTGGCACCCTGTGGCTCATTACATGTTGAACTCATAGTCTGCTATTTATCGCTGTATCATTGGCGCTGTCGCTTTTTGTCTATCTGTCGTTGTTACCAGCTCACATGGAGAACCTTCTCAGTGAGCTTACAGCCTCAGGATCAGCCGAGGTGTAATCATTAATGTCCAACCCATCTGCACCTGTATCAACATCCCTCTCACCTCTGACAAGCAACGCAATACTGGTGCCTTCCCTCGTTCGACAAACGCCCGCCCCGACCGCCCCCTGAATGGCTCGAATCGCATACGAGTGCACTGTCAAGGAAATGAACTGGCATTCCTTCGGCGTCTCGTTAAAAATATCTTCCAGAGCCCTTTGCTTCCTCACAACGTGCTCCTCGTCGGTCTCTGGTTCCACCCTATTAGTGAACTGGTCCTCCTCCTCGAAGCCATCCTCGATTTGGTAGGTGGGATAGTTCTCGGCTATCCAGGTACGTGGACGTCTGTAGTCGCATGTGTGGCGTGTGATTCTTTCGCGAAGTAATTCTTTAACGATTGGTTGTAGAGGGGGTGTTTGAGTGGCCATCAGAGAGGAGAAGACCAGGTCTGTTGTCTGGAGACACCGAGCTAGAGGGCTGGTGTAGAAAGTTTGTGGAAGTGGTGCGCCTTGAACTTTGATAAGGTCTGTCCAGAAATTGTTGAGATCTTGGGCTTGTTGTTCGCCTACTTCAGTGAGAAAGGCGTCGAACCAAGTTTCTTTGCCGTCCCCATTCTCAAAAGATACTCTCGTCTGTCCGTTCATTAGTTTTCATGTGTTCGAACCATAAGAAGGCTTTAGAAACTCACATTCCATGCCTCAGACCCTACTTGGGCGTGCATCTTGTTGTGCACTCCCAAACCATGCCGCGTCAAGTAGACGATTTTGTATGCGACGTTGTTGGAGCTATTCTGGTTGAGCCATCTTACATACCGCGCAAGACGAGCCCAATCACGCTGATCAGAAGCATCTGGGTCGTCGGAAGGGTATGACTGGCCCGGAATGAGGCCTAGATTTGGTTGTGTGGTGACCTTTTCTCCAGGGTATTCATGAGCAATGTCGGTGAGTTCGACAAAGACACCTGGTTGGGCCTTGAAGGACCATTTAGCAGCCATGATACCTGCACGCCGGGGAAGCCACGGTGGTCTGGTCGGCTATCAAGATCAGGT